CTTAAAAGTATTTTGCCACGAATGACGTTTCCACAGAGGTCCCGGTACAGGCTCATGTACATCAATCGGAGTGGACTTGTACGTGTGTACTCTACTAGCTACTAGCTAGTAGTGCCGGCACTGGACGACGGACCAGAAAGCTGATGAGGTACTCCCAGTACTCCGAGTACCAGTCGAGGTGGGCCGGTCGGTGTGCGCGCTTTCATGTTAAGGTATTGTCCCCTCTTTGACGAGAGGGATCCTCGTCATTATCACCAAGTCGATCGTTCACCGAAAGGAGATCAATAGCACTGCATAAATTGTTGTCAAGGCTCTTTTTGAATCAATCATCCGCTACGGCGACTGTGGAATTGCTTGATTTTAAAATTTGATATGCGTCTAGTATATTCAAAGCACCGACAGCTGTACCGGTATGCATACCTGATCCTGCAAACATTTGGACCAGCACTGATTTCTAAAGATCTGCTTTTGTGCTCGTGTACTAGTACCGGTACATACCATACAGTACCCGGTACGGGCAGGACCTGCAGAGGCCTCGATATTATCCGGGAAGTTGGGTAAATAATAAAGATCCTTTTTCTCTCGGTTGAAAAAGAACACTTCAAGTTCAAGAAAAGACTTAAAAATATGGGGTTGGTGAACAACGATTCGATTCGACTCAATCGACTCGACTTAACGAAATCTCGATTCGATCACGTGCGAAGCTCGAGTGCTCTCAAGGCTTAGTTTAGGATGCCGATACTGTGCTACTGTATCCAATCACTGGGAATGGCTCGTACCTAGTACCGCAGGATGCAGCCCTCGCAAACAATGATTGTAAAGAGCGATACGTACCTTGCAGTGCCGGTAGCATCAGAAGACTCGATTTGACTCCGTGACAGCCAGTATCCCGCTTGGAACTTTCTCATCCACAACCCATTGCACGCCTTTTCTTGGCAAAATCTGAGCACTAGCCAGCTAGCTACTGTAGCTTGATAGAAACATCTCAACTTGGAATCATTGATGGGAGAGGATGTAATGAATCCTTGCTGAGAGGAGAGATTGTGAGGGAAGCTTCCTAGCTAGCTACCGGTAGATTTGAGAGGCGCGCCAAGTCATAAATCTCCTCAAACCTCATGGTGATTAGTCGTTTGAAAGCGAAACATACCGCCAGCGGTTTCACATCATTGTGTCACTTATTATATCTATACTTCAAATCCGTATACGAATATTAGAAGATGCGTTGCTAAATAACTCATTTTGCGGTTGTTCGAAATGGAGGGAGCGCGATTTAGTGCTAAATCTAACCTTAAACCCCATGTGCAACGGATGTGGAAGCAGACCACATGGCGGTTGATACCCTCATCTCTTGTCAACTCCCGCAATGAAACAGATTTCCCCGTTTGGCGGCAATCGGAGGGAAGATCCAACTAATCTAAAGGATCCACGCACCGGGAATTACTTTCCTAAAATCACCCGCCACTTTCAAAATTGCTAAAGAGAGAGCAGATCACATGTTTTCTTTTTGGTGGCCCGCTAATACAGTTCGAACGTCTTGGTACCAACAGGACATCGATCTCGCATAAGTTTCCTTAACCGGCGAGAGGTTTCCACACCAGGCGAGTTTAGACCAGACCTTTGAACAATTCTCGAAAACAACGAAGAAAATGATTTCTCATGACGGAGTAGAGCGTCGGTGGATGTGTCAGGAAGCCAATCCATTGCCTGCTGCCACAGAGTCAAGCCATGAGCAACACAGAAGGCGCTGCCATACAACCAGGAAAGCAGCCAAGATGACTCTCCAGAACACCATGTGGACCGTTGTTTCCCTTCTCTTGGTTGGTTTGTCTAGCGAGATGGTTTCAGGCCAAGAGCTTTGTTCGTGTTCACCGTCGACCTACGAGTTCACATTCGACTTTAGCTTGGACTGTCCTCGTGCTACCAACGACTACCCAGATGGAATATCCGAAGTGACATGCTTCATCACGTCCTTCTCGGCGGATGTGGAGGACCTGACACCGATAGCAGTGCAGTCGATATCTGTTATCGAAGCGGATGTCGACCGTATTCCAATAGCACAGAGTCAAATCGAAGGAGAGTTTGTTACTGGAGACACCTTTACATACTCATCCATCTCAGCGCTCGGAAACTCGACACAAACGCCTCAGTCTATTCAACTCACCATCACCGGAACAAATGCTGGAAACTCATCTCTAGTTCAAGTATGGGCGATCAAGTTCACTAATGATTGCGATGTCTTTCCTGTGCTGGAAGAAGGAGAGTCCTTTGGCTGGACTGAATTTGTAAGTCCGTTGTCCTTGTTTGGGCAGGATTCATCTTTGCATGTTCTCGTACCCTTACTCTTGGCTCGGCCCTGATATCAATATCGTAGTCTGATCTAGGCTTGCCCAGGTCTGAAGTATGTCCAGCTGCCCCCCTCTCGACATTTGCCCCAACCATGCCCGAGGTAGCCCCAACAATGGAACCGACGATAGAGGGGACCGATCCCGTTCCTGCGGTACCGACTATCGAGCCCATGGAGCCTACAGCAGAGCCTGTGGAGCCTACGACAGAGCCAACAGTGTCGGAAATTGTTACAGACGCTCCCACTAATCGACCGAAGAAGACCCCAGAACCTACCCTTGTAGCAACAGACATGCCGACCATTCGCCCAACATTTCTCCCAACCGCTTTGCCCTCCATTGTTGAGACATCGCCAGTTGTTGATGAGTCACCAACGTTAGAACCAACGACGACGCCCCCGCCTACGAAAAGCCCCAAGGGCGGAGGCAAGGAGCCAGACCCCACATCCCCCCCAACGCTTCTTCCGACCATGAAGGTGGTGACCAAGACACCAACGATTCAACCCACCGTCACACCTGCAACCCCGTCCCCTACGAAGAGACCCAGTCTGTCACCAGAGGAAACTGAATCTCCTTCGCTGGCAATGTCGTTCAGTTACGACTATGATCTCGACTATGAAGTGGATATGGAGTGGGGTCGTGGTGACGACTCAGAGGACTCGGATGAGGATGACAAGAAAAGTGCAAAGAAGACCAAGAAGGCCAAGAACTCTGATGATGGGAGAGGTAGAGTACGAATTGGACAAAGAAGAATCCGCCACTAGGCAGGAGTGGTTGTTCAAAGCCCGTCCAAGACTGCCCTGGCTTCAGTATAGGTGGGCCAGCCAGGTGCAAAAGAAACTGGCGACGACGGGCACGCCCATGATCCTGAGCATAGACTATCGCTCTCTGTATGTCGCTCCATGATGGAGAGCTCTATATTTTGTCGGGGGCAGCGGCGTAGCGGACGCTTTTAGGAACCCCGGCGACACAACCCTAAATGTCTCTTGTAACATAATATGCCATTCGTTGATAAGCTAAGCTTGGATTAGGATTCCGTTGATAAGCAAAATCACGGGTTTGCAGGTGCCTCGTCTGTGTGAGCATTGTTTTTCTGAAAGGCAGTGGTGGTCTCCTGGCGTACCGTTTCTGCTTGATTGGGGTCTCCGACCGCAAACGAATACTCGCCGTAAGGATCCACGAAGATATCCAGATTGCCAATAGCCTCTTTTCCGAGCCTGAAGACGAGGTTGTCAATGGATGTTTGTAATACCACGGCTCTATCTTGACCCTCTGAGGGATTCTGATTGTCACCGCCTGCAGGAATCAGACTGCAAGCAAGCACTGACCAACCCGTGCTTTGGAACAGCCAATAGGGCAATGGCAGACCATCATCTCCGGCAGGGTCGTTTGGAAAGGTTCCTTCCAGTACTTGGTCCCGGTCGTCTTTTACATTACGGTGGACTCTTCCTGACATCTGTTGCCCCGTGATGTGTTCCATTAACCAGGCCAGTGCCGGCAGCGCTTCTCGATAGGTTTTGGCTACCAGCGACACAGGAGCCGCTTGTTTTTTGCCTGGAACCATGAGATGGCAACAGTAATCCGACCGAACAGTCCGTTCTGCTTGTTCCATGGCGTATCTCCCACCAAAGCATTCATGTTGGCGTCCTGATGGCTGCGGCTGTTGATATTCGGGAAGATGAATTTCCACCAAGCAAGAGCATTCCTTCAAAGGGGGTGGAGACGCGTTGGGATCTCTACGTTTTCGTGGGGGTCGATAGGGTCGCCCCCCATGCCCTCTTTTTCCCACTCCTGCTCTTGCTGAAGATCCGTGGCTGTACATACCGGTACTGTGGATAGCTCCTCACGGCTGCAACAAAGGACCCCCCTCTCTCTGTGGCAACTTCTACCGGTACCAGGTACTAGCAAGTGTATGATTCGGTACGATCTCAGGACAAAGACAGAGCGACAGAGCGACAGAGCGAGTTGTTGTTGTTGGGGTTTGTGGAGAGTATCCATGACTCAAAAAGATCTGCATTCGTGACTTGCATGCGGGCAAACTTTGCTCAAGCCCTTCAGAAGTGAAATGGAGCAGGAAGCTTTGACTTGTCGACGACCAAGGACCAAAGTTCGTGTCATGGTGCAGTACTACTCTGAGAGCCGAACCTGTGGGCTGAAACGGTTTTCATGCGGTAGCATTTGCCCAAGGCAAGCATTTTCACGAGACCTTAGCGACACCTGGAACTTAGTTTTATTCACTGTGCTACCGTCCGACATGAATAACTTTCGGGCTGTAGCTGTCTAAGGCATCGTAGCGGTGCGTTTCGCTCACAAACAAAACCTAATGTGGCCCACAGTACATAGTTCCAATTTATTCCAATTAGTTGTGACTTGGGACCTTGTGTCTTCTGAGAGCGCCGAAACGAATACCTGGAGAGAATTTTTCAGCTTTCAGCGATTGTAATCAAATTTTGTCATCGAGGTTCGAATTCGTGAGAGGGAATTGAACATGTTACCTTATTAGGCTATGATGCACTTATCTTTAGAATTGGCGTCCAACGGAGAGTACCAACTACGGGTTCGATTTTTGAGAATAAATAAAGACTTTTAAAGATATCATCATTCATTACTGGCAGAATCATCTTGATATTCCTCGACCACGGTTTTGACAGCGGCAAACATGGGGGCCCCCTTATACGCTTGGAGGAGCTGATCGCCCCCGTATTTGATGAGTTCTTTGGCCACGGCGACTTCATGTTCATCATGATGCTTTTTGGCTGATTTTTCCGATTCCAACAGGTAGGCATTGGCCACCACCATGAGTCCAAATTGTGCCCGTCCATTGCTGGGATCCAACTCGAGACTCTGTGCCATGTGCTTTCGTGCCGCCATTAAATTTTCCAATCCACCAACGGTGCAATAGACCTCTGCCAATTCACAGTGCAGCGAGGCTTCCAAGGGACAGGACAAAATGACTTCTTCCAAGGCATACGCGGCACCTTTGTAATCCGCCATGTTCATGCGACACTTGGCCATTTCGTACCACCCGGCGGAATCTGCCATATTTTGTGTCAAGTACTCATTTAAAGCATCCATGGCCTCGGTCTCCTTGTTGGGCTGTGCTTTGAGCATGGCATATTTACGCTGCAGTGCCACGAGATTGGCCGGATTGGCTTGTAGCATTTCATTGTAAACTTTGGTGGCGCCATCGAGATCTCCCGCTGTTTCCAGACAACGCGCTAGCAACCGCCGAAAGCGATGGGACTCCATGCCCTGCGATGCCTTGAGTTGACTCAAGCACTGATCCGCCAAATCGTGATTGTGAAGATCCAGAGCGGCCAAACAGACTTGTTCCAACGCCGATAAACGAGCCGATTCGTCTCCCCCCACCGACTTCTTGGTGAGATCGTTGCCGAGCAATTCCAAACCGTGCGACACCACTAGCTCGGGCTTTCGCAACTGATGAGCGCGAATGTAACGCAACACATTCAAGTGGTCTTTTCGCTGAATCAGCGTCGGGAGATCGTCATCAGGACCCATGATGGATGGTACTGTAGAAGTGGCTGTAGTTAGTTATAGTTGTAGTAGTATCTAGCGAGCTAGTTGTAGTATGCTGCCGTTGTTGGTGGGTGTGTTGCGACAATGCCTGCCATGGCGCCATGGTCTGCTGTTCGCTGTCGTTGGAGGTATCCGTGACTCGACTCAATTAGACGTGATTGTCACACTTTTGAAGTCTACTAGTAGCGGTAGCTGGACTCGACTCGACTCGTTTACTAATCAGCTTGAATGGCTTAATTCATATGCCCTCTGGGTCGTCTCCGTTTCCAGTACTAGTTTAACCCGTTTACTAATACAGGATTATGGTGAATAGAATCGAATCAATCATGTGGCTTATATTTAGGGTTTAGGTTTGGCTGCAATTTTGAAGTCAACGTGGTATTATGTGAGGTTGTAAAAGTTTTGTGTGATAGTATGTGTTAAGTGGAGGGTTGGTTCGCTTCCGCGGGAGCTTGGTGTCTTCTTCTTCCTCTGTTTCCTGCTCTTCTCGGTACTGGGGTATTCGGTAATAGGATCGTGAGCAAGTTCGGCAGCTTTCTTATACCATGTGATGTCATCATTCTGACTATTCGCAGGTGACACTTTGGCCGACGTGTTCGTCTGGAACAGGTGGAACGGGAGATGACGTATTTGGTTGCATTGGAACTGGGAATGGTTTGCGAGAGTGGTGATGAAACATCGCTCTAGAAATTTAGCGAGCCGTGGAGTACTTCCCTACGCTACCTCACGATCACAATGCTAACGAATCTTCCCAGCGTTTCCGTTGTTTGGATCGTGGAATGAGTATTGCTACCGCAACCTACTCTATCACACTCTACAGTCTCCCGCGGGAGTTCAGATCTACGATCCTTCGATTGTGGATCTCTCTCGTTGATTAGTTTTCATAGCTTTCTAATCTTCTCATAACTTTCATTCTCTCAAACTCAAAACACTCGAAAGATCTTTACACTAGCTTTTAGCGTAGTGCAGAAGGGTGTGACCCTACTAGGCCTGATGGTGGTGGTAAATGTGACGATCCCTTGCCTGAATCTGACTTCATCCCTTCACTTCCAATGACGTGTACAAGCTTCGCTCCTAGTAGCGACGAAGAAGAAGAAAGTGAAGATGGTTCCGTTCACCTTGAAGAAGGGGAGTACGTCCCTGAAGACGATCTTTGTATAGTCGACGAACCTGAAGGTATGCCTGATATAGACGATATGTCAGACGACGAGAACGTTACAGGTGAACCTAGTTTTCCGGTTGATGATGACGATGATGAAGATGACGGAGGTTTTCTTGAACCTCCAGGTGCTGAGTTTCTCACAATCAGACGGTGACGACGATGCGTCTATACCCGACATCGAACCGGGGATCGACATTCCGGACGATGAGACTATACCCGACAATGATGATATCGAACCGGGTATGGACATTCCGGACGATGAGACTGAACCGGGAAACACCGTGAGACCTAGACCTTACCCGCAAGACGATGATGACATCCAAGAACCTCCCGCGAGCAAACCGAAACCCAATCCTGATGGTGAGGAAGACGATGATCCGCTTCAATGGTTGGAGGAGGAGACTGACGAGGAAGATGATATTGACGAGGATGATGGTATACTTGATGATCCACTTCCTGTCGAACCTGTTAGCCCCGAACCTGAACCCAGTTTGGATCCAGTCCAACCTGATCCACTCCAACCTGAACCTTTACCTCCTGCAAGTCCTGATCCTCCGACTCCTAACGAACGTCTCAAAGATCTGATTAATAAATACAGGGAGGGTCCTGGTGACTATATTTGGACTAATAATATAGTCTGTGTCAGGAAAGGTCCGGACGGAAAAGAGTACGAAGTCAGACCTTCTGGTGTCTTCCAGAGCTTACCTCCATTGAACTCTAGTGGGAAACTGGATAACGCCGCTCAACATCTTGCTGACCACAACAATGCTCATGGTGTCACATCTCACGAAGATGGTCAATACCAGAATGACGCGGACTGTGACATGGGAGATCCTACCACATGGCGCAAATGCAATGCACATATAAAACGGGCTCAGGCGTTTGGGTACAATTCTACGTATGTTGTCGAGAATGCTACAGGGATTCTACCTGACGAGGGCCCTGAAGATGCACTCAATAGGTGGATCTGTTCGGATTTCCACAACCAAAATCTCCTCAACCCCGAAACGACTGAAATTGGGATTGGATGGACTGATGACCAGATTGTCTTCGTTGGTGGAAAGTGTAGTGAAGTTTGCACTCTTAATAGGAGTGGTGGAACATCTTGCTTCTGTAGGGCTGGAGCACCGGAGAGACAGGATAATAACGAGGACTCAGAACGGACTCTTCTTAACTTAGTTGATTCCTTCAGGAAAGATAATCTGCTGTTGATGTTCCAACGGGAAAACGAAGAACTGAAGGCTGCGGCGACACATCTTGCTGCTCATAACTATTTGAATTCTACCCTTTCACAGGAAGATCAAGATTATAACGGTCCTGACGCACACAAGGAAAGGGTTAAGGATTACAAATACAATTGGCCTTCAGGGAGTTCTGATGTCATGCAACTTATTGGTCAAGTTAGATCTGACCTATCCGGTAATGACGTCATAAACGTATTTGAAACATGGATTACGAATCCAGAAGTGAGGGATAGGTTGCTTTACCCTTTGCTTGACGACATAGGGATTGCATGGATTGGGGATATGGTCGTCCTTATTGCCGCAAACGACCCTAGCATTTCCAATGATGATCTCATTTCGGAGATGCAACACGAGTACGAATCGGATCCTATCGGTTTTTGTTCCAGGTACAACTGCCTGCAATACACCGGAGTCTGTGTCTGAGGTCGCAGGGAGCCCGGTTACTTGCAAAGACCCTTATTATCTATCATCTTGATCCTGAGGTTAGCTGTTACTACTCATAAAACAATCTAAAGATGGATGAGTTGCTCAAAAACGCGATGGAGGGAATCGAAGCTAAGGATTCCAAGGATTCCAAACGGGGCGGGGACAATGACCAGGACAAACCTTCCACAAAGAAACCGAAAACTGAAACCAAGAAGGAAGAGGATACTAAAAAAAGGGAGGTAGACGAACCTAAGAAAGATAACGACGGGAACAAGCCATGGTCGTGGGCTCCGTCTGATAGTGGTGGTCACAATAATGGTTACAATAATAGATTCAACAACGGGAGAGGTGGTGGTGGTGGTCAATACCAGTCTCGTTACCCTCCTCGCTACGGCGGAGGAGGTGGTTACAGGAATTATGGCGGAGGAGGTTACAATGGTAACGGCGGAGGAGGTTACAATGGTAACGGCGGAGGAGGTTACAATGGTAACGGCGGAGGAGGTGGCCGTTTTCAATCTCAGTCTCGTTACCCTCCTCGCTACGGAGGAGGAAACGGAAACGGCGGTTACAGGAATAATTATTAGCTCGGAATAATTATTAGCTCTCATAAAACAGAAAACATGAGTACTTTCGATACTTTAGTCAATCGCATTACGGAGGCCGGGCGTACTGGGCGTAGTGGTGTAGTCACTACATGTAATGGTGTGGCACCAGACGGGGCTCCGTCTTCTGTACCGTCGGCTGCTACGTCAAATGTGGGCAGTGGACAGGTGCAGAATGAGCAAGAAATGCATGATGCATCTGCGAACAATCATCCATCTGCGAACAATCATCCGTTTGGATTCGTAAATGCTCAGGCTGCTGGTCAGGGAGAGATCCCTGGTGTTACGGGTTTTCCGAAGATTGGGGCTGGGGCTGGTGGTTCTGCAGAAGATGACTGCATGGCTGGTTGTTATCAGGATCAGAGGGCGAGAGATGATATTTGCGGTGAGATTCGCAAGCGTACTGAGCTTTGGTTGGCTCAAAACGGTTGTCCTTCCGTTGTTCTACCAGTCAATGACAATCCTAACGGTGGATCTGGGAATGGACTTGGATGTGGGACTTGTAGACCTAGACCCGACCCGCCTAACCGCGGGAGTGGGTCTTGTCCGCTCCCGCGTCCTAGACCTTTCAGGAACATTTACGAAAATAAGTGTAGTGACTATTAAATAAATAAATGATCTTGTCATAAAATAAATTCCTTGACTTTGTTACAGGATGCACTGAGATACTACTAATAAAATAAAAAAATAATAAAATGAACACCGATCCGAGTATGTTGGGCTCTACGGTAGGGGGAAGTACTGGTACTTCCCCCTCAGTGTTGGGAGATGCCTCTTTGGGCACCTTCTCAGCAGGAGAGGTACCTATTACTGATATGCCATTTGGGATGAAAGACTTCGAGCAGGCCCAGACTATGGCTGATTTCACCGGTGTCCAAAGTGGACTGACGGCTTTCCCTGTTGTTACTAATAATCCTAGCCCTGCCGGTGATTGTCGTGAGAGATGTCAAAAGGACCAACAAGCCAGGGCAGATGTTTGCAAAGCGATGCGTCAACGCACTGCTCTTTGGTTGAAACAGAATGGTTGTCCTTCTAAGGTTACGGGTTACTCTAGAAAGTCAAAACCAAAGGCTTGTAAGAAGCCTAAAGCGAAAGCGTGTGCTTGTAACAAATAATTAAATAGTCTTATTATTTTTCATATCACAAAAAATATCACAAAAAAAATGTTAAATAGAGCGCAGTACGAAAATGTCCCTTTGGCTAGAAAAAAGGAATTTTGGATTTATATTCAAAATGCGGGATATACTAAACAGGCAAATAATGTAGATATTACATCTACGTTGGCTTATGAAGCGCTGGATGACGTGCAGAAAACGTTATGGTGGATGGGTTACGACCGTTGGGAGAAACAGCGCGCGTCAGGAGATGGATTAGGCGAAACTTGGCTCAGTGAGCTCGATGAGGAAGATGAGGAGGTGGATTTCGATTTCGAAGAAATGGACGTTGAAGATGATCTGCCTCCTGTCGTTCCGCCTCCTGTCGTTCCGCCTCCTGTCACGACAGCGGATCCTTTCCATTTCCTACCGAGGATACCGGATGAACTTGATTGTCTTCTTAAATGCAAGTCTAAACGAGAGAGCGATAACTCTATATGCGATGTCGTACGGGAGAGGACTTCAAATTGGCTTACATTAAATGGTTGTCCTTCTATTATTCTACCTGTTTGTCAACACTTCTCATAATAAAACAAATTTGTCTACTATGGGTTGCAGCAAACCAAATACATGCTCTGATAGCGACGATGAAACGACTACTGATAGCGATGATGAAACGACTACTGAGGGGGAGTCTGAAAGCGAAGATGAATCGACTGAAGGCGAGTCTGAAGGTGAAGACGAGGGGTATTTATACTATCCTAATGAAGGCGAGGAATATTACTATGGCTGCGACGATGAGTATGCATGCAATGATGAATGCTATGAGGAGGAGGATGATGATGAGGAAGATGAGGAATGTGATGAGTCGACTGATGCACCGTGCCGGGGATGTGCAATAGAAGATGCTGCGACAATACATGCAATAAATGGAGATGCACAGGATGGAGAACAGTCTATACAGACTGTAGAGGGGATGCATGTTTGTATTGGATAATAGAAAGCTTAGACAATAGAAAAAATTGAATCAAAAGATGAAATTTAAAAAAATATGGATAGAATAGAATAGAATATATAGAATAGAATAGAATAGAATAGGGTTAACGAGGGTTAACGAGGGATAGAATAGAATAGAATAGAATAGGGTTAACGAGAATAGAATAGAATAGAATAGAATATAGAATAGAATAGAATAGAATAGAATAGAATAGAATAGAATAGAATAGAGAATAGAATAGGAATAGGAATAGAATAGAATAGAATAGAGAATAGAATAGGAATAGGATAGAATAGAATAGAGATATAGGAATAGGAGGTAGGATGGATAGAGATAGAATAGAATAGAATGAATAGAATAGAATAGAATAGAATAGAAATAGAATATATAGAATAGAATAGAATATAAATATGAATAGAATTATTGAATAGAATAGAATAGAATAAGAATAGAATAGAATAGAATAGAATAGAATAGAATAGAATCGCTCAATTGCCGCGTGGGCTGTTTGGGAACGCTCAGTTGCCGGTGGGCTGTTTGTAAGGGCTCCTGGTCCGTGGATCTCAATCGCCGTTAGGCTCGAGCGTGGAAACCTTCACCGTGGAGACCGGGGGGATGTCTCACGGGGCGTGGGGGACCGGGGGACCGTCGTGGAAAACGCTTTGAGTACCGGTTTAACTCTTCAGCTTTTTCCATTAACGCGGTCCCCCGGCTTCCCCCATTTTTCGGTTTCACTATAGGAAAAACAGTAGGGGGACCAGGGAGACCCGAGGGGGTAATAATAGTTTCGACATATACGCCTCTAGATGCACATTTGATCGGTGCATCTTTTGTCGGTATGTCTCACGCGCTACGCTTGACCCCCCTCGGGTCTCCCTGGTCCTTTCCTACTTTTCACACTTTTTAACAAAAGCTTATAAATAATGGGGTTGCGGTATATACAGAAGGTCGTTAGAGAGTTTCAGGGTGGTCTCGTACGAGACCACTACCATGACCTGCGGTATACTGATTCAAGATAGTCGAGGCGTTACGGAAGATGCAGCGGGGTGATGGCACGAACTTTTCATGGATAGACGCGGTTTTGGAAGCGTCTGAGATTATCGAAGAGACTACATTGATGAGAGGGCAGACGAGAGAAGACGAGAAACAGTATAAACAGGACTTGTACAATTGGCACTGCTGCGACGAGGGTAAAATGATGTATCGTATTCCTAATAAGGTTAATACTTTCGCGCAATTCCGGAACAAGAAAAGCTGTAAAGTGAAAGACTACGCTATTGAAATTGTTACAAAGATGTATAGACTGGATCAACTTAACCGAAAAGAGGTGGTCGAGGAGATGCTGACTCTGTCAACTTTAAATACACCTGGGCTAAAATAAGTGCGTCCGATAATGCTGTGTGTTCCACGGTTCCCAGACTATACCGTTTTGCTAAGGCTTGTAACGAATTAGACTGGTACGGGAATGTCTGTTTAGCAATTCCTAGAGAGTCGGTTACTTTGAAGGTCTGTCTAGGTTGTCCTTTATCCATCAGTCTGAACTCTTTGTCTAAAAAGGAGATATCAAAGGGTGCATTGTGGATGATGATCTCTGAATCGCCAATGAAATCGAACAGGTCTTTGGCTATGGACGCGAATCGAGGTTTGTCTTCCAAGAACTTGTTTGACAGGCCATGGATGGCTGCTGCGGCAGGGTCTACTGTTTGATTTGGGTTAATGTAGCGATGAAACTTGTGGCCTGTTATCACTCTGTCCACCATTTCGACGCAGCCGATTTCAACAATGCGGTGACCTTCACTGATGTCATGGTCGGTCTTATTCATACCTGTGGTTTCAGTGTCGAGTGTGACCTGGCGCATAGTCACGAATATTATGGGATTCGAGGGGTTGGGAAAAAATGAGGATTTTTTTTGGTATCTATCGAACTTCAACTTTGACTGACATGTCTATCGAACTTCAACTTCGACCTCTGTCTGTGGTCGAACTCCACTTTTCGTCATGGCTACTAAAGAAAAAACGTTGGGCAGTGGTAATGTCGGGGCCTTGTTCAAAGATGATTCTAAACGTCGTGCTATTATGGACTACATTGTAAAATGCAAGGATTTGCGTCAGATTGTCTTGTCTTCTATTACCAAAAACGAGTTCATCGCTGAAATAACTAGACGTGAGAACGAGGGGACCAGTCAATACAAAATCGAGGGTTGCATTCACTACATTCGGTTTATTATTCGAACCGAAGGTTTGTATGCCATCCAAATCAATCGATTGTTAGCTGATTGTCGAATTGCTTTGGGTATTGGTCCACTCGAAGGAGACGATGATGACGAGTTTGATGATGGCGTTGTCCCTCACTTGAGGACGGGATGAATAGTGTTAGTTTAATTCACAAAATACTCTAGTCTCATTTTTTTTAACATGGACTATATATTGACGAAAACTGAATTATTTAAATTGAATGATGCGTACGAGGAGGTTTGGAAGAGGAGAGGGTTGATTTCTAAACGGAAGAGGACGGTTGGGGTGGTCGACGCCTTCGTCGAATGTGGTGTGAATTTCTGGGATAAACCTTCTGGAGTACCGCCTCCTTACATTCCTTCCGATGTTGCCTTCTACCATGGTTTGAGGCCTATGGCGGATTGGATGTATAGTGGTTACTTGGCCAACAACGGGATTCCTAATTTCTTTGATCTCAGCCAAGCCGAAAGAAGGCATACTGGGTTTGTTCTTCTGGCTTTGTGGCTCCACAGAGATAAACCAGAACAGAGGCTTTATGATTCGTTGCTTACCGGGGATCGTGAATCATCCGCGATAGCATTCCGGGGGACTCTCGATTTAATTAACCCTCTTACAGGGGAGTTATTCGCTGATTCAAATACGAGGTATTATTTCGGTCTTTACAGATATTTCATTGTCGCCTATTCGCTTGACGATTCTATATTCGATTCATACACGGTCGATTCTGTCATCGATTTTAATATCCCTGCTGCGGACCCGTACCCTGCACCTGGATTCGTCGATGCTTGGGATTCTTTTTCGATGGGACCTATTGGTGCTGGGTTGACGGCACTAAGTTCTATATTGCCTTCAGTGGCTACGTCTAACTGGGCGTGTTGTGTTCGTCACGAGGCTTTCGCGTATGACAAGCATCGATACTTCGATTACGTATACAACTTCCTTCTCAGGGGAGATGCACTGCTTGATCTAAAGGGATTCACAACGCCTGAAGATGCTGCGGGGGGTGGTGTGTCATTCTTCGGAATTCATTGGGATTACACAGAAAAATTAATTTTTTTTACTTGGTATCTAAATCATCGGCGGACTCCTAACATGTACGAGCCTTGTTCTTAATTCATGGTTATTTTTAATATTATAATTTTAATATTATGGGGAGCGGACTGTCTACACGTACAGGTTTACCTGTTTCTTCATTTCTCTCGCATTCTTCTTCACTACACGCCTTTTCTTGTTCCTGAGGACTTGCTTGCATGGCTCTCATATGGTAGAGTGGGAGTAACTTACAGAATTCTCCTAGAGTTTGATAGATGTCGTCGTGTTCGGTATCGGAAGCTGTTTTATTCATGAGGATGAAACCATACATGACATCTCTTTCGTCGATCTCATCGACTACATAGACTCCACCGTAGATACCTGGCCTCTTCAGGATGGCTTTCACCGCGGCGATACTCTCATGGTCTGGGTCTTCCATTTCAAAATATCCATGGCCTATGATGCGAGTTGACATTGTTGCGTGGGAAGTACCAGGATGCAAGGATGCGAAATTGTGGTTGTCGGTTCTCTGGTTTGATGTTATTGCCGGTTGCTTGCCAGGTTGCTTGCCAGGTTGCTGATATTGCTTGCAGCGATTACGAGGGGGTTCACGTCTACTGCTTCACGTCTACTTCACACCGGCTTCTGTATCTTAGTCGTACAGCGGTCGTATCTTAGTCATGCCGGTGAAATAGGGTTCGCGTTATCTTGCTTGGTTTCGTCTTACGCTTGCTGAGCTGTTTGATGACCGAGGTTGTTGTTCATAATTTTTTGTCTTCAATTTTTTGTCTTGAAATACGAGTTCAACCATGGCCAACACTTTGGATGTTATCAACGTTACCGGGGAAAGTTGCATTGTTTGTTTTGATCCATTCCACAATGGCGGCGGTGTTGCCGTTTTTCATTGCAACCACTTCATCTGTGGTGAATGTCACGACAACTTGATGGCTGTGCGAGTTACGGAAACCAACATGGATGGAGAAGACATCTTGATGGAGGGCAAGAATGGGGATGGGTGTCCAACCTGTAGGGGGGATGATGAGGTTGTTACCGTCTACCAGGCTCAGATCTACTGCCACGGAACAGAAGAAGACCCTGTTGTTATCGATTAAACTAGGCCCTGTTGTTATCGATTAAACTATAGGGTAAACTATAGTATCCATGGTAACTTTCCACTCCACGTTAGGGTTACGGATACTCGGAACACAAAACGTTAGGTTACGGATACTCGGAACACAAAAACGTTAGGTTACGGATACTCGGAACAGTCATAAAAAGACAATCATGGGAAAAGAGACGTGTGCATGCAAGGAGAAGAAGGTGGTGGGGTATATGTTGTTCGTAAAAGAGCATTATGATGAACTTAAACAGGAGGATCCTGATCTTTCGTTTGGGGAAATTGGCAGAGTATTAGGAGAGAGATGGAGGTCTCTCTCGGATTGCCAGAGGCAAGAGTACTATTAGAGTATAATCAATAGGGATGAATTTAATTAGTTTAGTTCTACATCATGGCATCCACATGGACTATTCGCAAAATATTGTAGAGTTGAACATAGATATTTCGGAATGAGTCCTCTTTGTCCGTACAGCCAGTACTGTTGACATGTTCCTACTCCTATGTATAGCATATTCAATACCATCGAAGGATCTGGAGGTTCTGTTGCACTTCGACAGAGATTGCATCTTTCATGAGGGCCATCTTTCACTGGTGGCACGTTTGGAGGCACGTTTGGGCACGAGGGATTGGTTGGATACTTCACACCGCAACAAATCTCGCTGTATTTGGACGTTGTTTCCTGACACAAGGGGTCTGGAAGGTGTGCGATCTCTACCATCAATTGGGCGCAGGTTACCCCGTTCTTTAGACAATGAAGGGGGTTGCTAATAGCCCCATTAGGGCATAGGTTACAGTGAATCATTATTTGTTTTTTATGGACTAACTCACGTTACGTTGCTACCTCCCAAACAATATTGACGATTCCAAGTTTAATGGAGGTGCCGTTATTGCCTGAAACTAACACGGGTGCATTGCCAGTTACTTCCAACCTTAACATTTTAATGGATCGCCATGCATCATTCGTAGTGTTCGTTATAGTTCTCGGACTTGTTGCGTTTATGTTCTCGTAGACGCTTCCATTCTCTTCAACAGATTCGTTGTATGGGAAATCTTTGTAACCTCGAAACTCAACTCCTACCATGTCGTAGTTGCCTGGGGCAACGTCTATGGAGTGTATGTTAATTGGTACAGGACTCTGGATCTCCATTGCTGGATTTAGTCCTGCTATACTATACCATCCAACATTCTGTCGCCCACTAACGGTCAACAGATTCTGGATGCCTGGGGGTCTTGGTAGACCGAACGTTGCTGAATCAAGGTAGAGGGAAGGAAAAATTAGACCATCCACGGAACCAATCAAATTTGAGGTGACGTCATCGAAATGGGTTGTAGTACTACTTGGGGTGTTTGGGGTGGTCGACGGAGCGGTGGTGTGATGTTTTCGTTTTGTTGTCAACCCTTTTACAGTCCATCTCTTTTCATTCTCGTCGTTGGATCTTCGGATATCCGAGGGTGTCATCAGCGCGTCGATACCGTTCATTGTTGGTCTACGAATTATCGGATTATTTTTTTATAACATAATGGCTAAGCGTTATGATTACTAGGTTGGCAGGTCGATGAAAGATTTAGAATCCAATCGGACAGTTGTTTTCCGGATCGTGAGATCAGAGTCTTGATCATCTCGATGGAACCTAGATCGTCCAGAGTATTAGGTTTCTTTCTTGCTAGATGTTGAATATTTCTGGGGGTCGAAGAAGCAAAACTGTGGTCTGTTGCAATGTCGAAGTATTTCTTGTTTATGTGTCCTATAACATCGATGGGGTGATCGGCGGCTTGTTCTGCCATCGCTCTTATAACCCTTTTATCCCGGGTGTTGCAAGCGACGATGGAAGTTTTGCTGTTGCTCTTGTACACTCTGAGTTCGTGACCGCCATGGTCAAAAATCCCTAAGGGAATTGGAGGTTGGATCTTAAAATAAAACATTGGACGATGAGGTAGACTAATTGTGTGAGAGAGAGAGAGGAGAGAAGAAGGAGGGAGAGGGGAGTGGTGGACGAATTTTTTCATGGCATGAAGTTTTCAAATTATTAATTTAATTCGACTTAGGATTGAGGTTTGGCAAAGAAGGCCCTCCAACCTTCGGGGGTGTTTGTTGGTAGCTTTCTCGACTTCTCAATTTCACCGAATTCCTTAAGTCTCAATTTTTTAACCAGGCTGCTGTGAGTGATGATCTTGTCTTTCTTAAATCCGAGGTTGTTTCGTATCTGGAGTTCTGCCGGTGTTGCGAGTCTTTTGATCTCTTCCTTGTCGGTTGAGGGAAATTCTTCTGTGTGAGTTAAGACGAATCTTACTGCGCGTTTCATCGAACTGAATTTGTTTACGAGTGCTCTCTTATCAGCCTGCGGCAGACCACACCAGGTTTTCCGGTCTAATAAATACCCTGTGGGGTAATCGTCGGCGATGAACGCAATGGTTAGTTCTGTCAGGGATTGATGCTTCGTTCCACTGATGACTGAAAACTTGATTACGTTCTTCGACGGTTTCGGTTTGGATTTTCGTTCTGGTCGGGGTTCTCCTACAAGGTGTCTCTCAAGTCGTTCGATGGATTCTTTCATCGAGAATAACTGCCCTACGACAAAATTGTTCGTGATTCTGCTCTCGTTCTTGATTGCGTGATGAATGTCGTTCACTTTATGTTCGAGATTTTGGAGTTTCATGTGATTTGATTGAGCCAGCGAGGCGAGGACGTTGAAGTGGTCAACCATGCAACGGGGATCCACAAGGATTTGCTTTCCTTCGCCGCCGTATAGAGCAAAATTCTGGTTCGGGAGACCTGGCATGTTTCGGGTTAGGAAAGCCGTCCGGGCTTCGCGGGTCCAATTGTCTAGTAAAAGTTCAGCGTCCGCTTTCACCAGTGCTTGCTTGATGCGACAAAGAAAGGGGTTATCCCGTACGGTCGATTTGACGAATTCACCATCTTGTCGACCGCCATCTTGTCGACCTTCGACGAGTTCTGTAATCGGGTGACATTCAAGGATTTCACAGAACTGATTGTATCGTAGTAGAAGGGTCATAACCAATAGTTCTCGGACTTGGGGGCTCCAGAGATTCTTCACATCGTCTGCGAACAACACATTGGTGAATTTGTTTAGTACATCGACGTCTGTTTCGATATCATCAAAGGTCGGAGATTGGCCACCGAAAATCGTGTCACCGTGGTACTTGGTTGTCCAGTTGGCTAGGGCTTTACCGGCTTGGTGTGACATTTTGAGGGATCCGCTGATGTAGTCGAACACCGAATGGAGACCACCGACCGACCAACCGGTTCTGAATATTCCTGCCATACCATTCAAGGCGAGACATTCTGCCATTTCCTGGTTGGATCCTTTCCGGTTGGAATGGGAAGACAATGCTTCGTTGATCTCATCGGCTAACCACTCGAAGGTGTTGCGTGCTTCATCAAATAAGTTAGAGAATGCTTTGGAGACACCACTATCGGATTTGCCTGATGTAGTCTTCAGCGCGGCTTTGGAGAAGAGTGGGAAGATGTATTCATTGTTGCAACCATTCAATACCAGCAGATGAAGAAGAGAGAAGTAGAAGTCTTCGAGAAGCCCGTCTCTGTGGGGGTAGATAGGGAGAGTCTGTGGTTCGTTGTCTTTTTGACGTTGGCAGTAGGTTGCAAGGACTGGAAAACGATAGACCTCTTCGTTTACCTCGATGGTGGTCGTATCTCTTGCTTTTATTAGGGATACTTCACTACCGCGTCCACAGCAGTGGTAACTGGTGTTTAAGAGATGCCAGAACTCGGCGTATTCCGGTGTTTTCAACCAGATGCACGCGGTTGCCAATGCTTCTCGGTCTTGTCGTGTGCTGGTTGCTTTCTCTCCTGTTTTTCGTTTGCCAGCGGCTCGGTTGGATTCACGGTAAAATCCTCTTAGCTTCTTCAACAACTGGCTCCAATGGGTTTGTTGGAGGATGGGGATCGGGGTCTCGTTTCTGAACTTGTTGGCAAAGTAAGTTTTGACCCCAGAACAGTATTGCTCGGAAGTGCTTCCTGCGAGCGACGTTTTATTCCCCATGAAAAAGATGAAATTCCCGAACAGTTGGTCCCAGAATACAGCGATGGTTTTTTGGGTGGTCTGCTGGGGAATGCCATGGTAGGGTATGTCGATGCCTTCTATCACACCGATATTAATTTGTAGACAGTATTCTTTAAGAAAGCGGTTGAAATATTTCAAGGCTTTCTTCTGTCTCGAGGTGGATGAAACAAAGAGGCAGGACAGGGCGTGCACGGTGAAGGTTGCGGCCTCATCGTCGTCTTCGTCCGCCATGTTTCGAGTGGATTATGAGACCGAAGATAGATGAGGTCAGTTTTTTTCAATGGTATGAACTTCCATCCTTGCTTGGTTGTGAGTTCGCGCTACGAATCACCAGGCGTTGAAGGCGTTGAATATGCTCGTTTTGTGAAGAGGCGCGCGCTTGATTTTTATGGTCTGGAGGGTCTGGAGGGGCGACTCTGGGTCTAGAAAAAGTTTGGTAAAGTACGGTATTCTGTCACCTTCTCAATGACTTCTCCGAACCAGCCAAGATTTCTCGCAAGGATGTCATTATTCTCATCACCCTCGCCGCTCAGGTACCACAACAAGAGAAAAGAACAAACTGTAGAGGACAAGATGAGACGAATGCGACGATCATGGTTCAGCTCCTGGTCTGGAATAGTTCCGGTAGTAATATGCCTTTGGCTTGCTTTACTCGATGTGGCCCAGTGCCAGGAAGAGCAAAGAGACGCCCGTGGGAATCTCCAATTCGACCCTGATGCTGATAACACGAAGGCTTGTTGGATTCCACCGTACCAGAATCCAAACAATTATTTTCAGCCCCGACAAGGTCTTTGTCACAACAGTCAATTGGATCTTGATACCATATCCGATGAGAGTCTCCATGAACTGGCCGTTGCCTATGCACCTGTGCTGTACTTTCACCCGTTGGAAAAGTATACCATGTCCAGTGTCAACTACACGCTGTCGAACCCTCAGGGAGGCCGCATTTATCGGAAAACAAAAGAAGATGCAAAGCCCTACGTGGTAGACGACACTATCAATGCAACCTTCATGATGGAGACCAGCAGAGATGAAGTGTGGGCGCTTAACCCCACCACGTTTTTCTTCGAGACTGATCATGGCTACGAGATGTATCGGTCTGGTCCCGACGAAAGATTTGGAGACGGATACGACCCCGGAACGGGACGTTCCAGAGCAGCTATATATTACAATGTCTATGATACCGGCAACCACACTTGGACCTTTAACTACTTCATGTACTACCCTTACAACGGAGCCGGCAACATGGGAGTTCTGGCGGCTTACGAGGGAAACGTTAACTTTACAAGATTTACGCTCGCTCCTTATGGCATACACGAAGGTGCGTACAATGTCAGCAACAGCGCTGCATGTGTCCTTTTTGTGTTCTTTGTTCTTAAAAACTGACAGCTAGCGTCCTGGTCCCAATCCAACCAAAAAAGGTGACTGGGAGAGTATCAATGTCATGGTCTGTGCACCCACACAAGACTTTGATAATCATGAAGATCGATCCAGGATAAGTCCTCCACTGGCTGTCAAATATCACCAGCATGAATGGAGTGACATCAATGACTGCACCAAAGGTCACTGCAATTTCTACAAAGATACCTATCATCCAGTTGGTTTTGTCGCCTACAATTCACACGCAACCTACCCCAAATCAACGGGAAACATGATCTACGAAAACATTGAAGTTGGGTTTTTCTTTAGCATGCAAGCATTCGTAATCGTGGACAGAACAATTTACAAAAAGGAAGATGGAACATACAACTGGTTCTTCCCGGAGGTATCCAGTTTGGAGCGGTTTCAAGATCCAAAGACATTGCAATTGGACCCGTCCAATTCAACTCGAGGGGAACTCGAACAGTACTATTGGCAGGCTTACGGCGGACGATGGGGTAACAGCAAAGATGTCAGTGTAGAACCGCAACCACCACTCTGCTTGGCGCCCGACCAATTGTCACACCAACCGTGTCCCACTGCCGAGGAAGATCCGGTGTTCGACTTGGCCATGCAATTCATGGCAGTGTCGCCACCCAAATCTGATTTCACGGCAGTGATTCAATCAGTCTCAAGTCAAGTCGTGGCTGCTTTCTCCTCCACTGGAAAGGCACCAATAGGACCTGGCAGCAAAGGGTTCTGGGAGAGATGGACACCACCTGTGAATGCCCCATTCTGGAATGGTGTGACGAATACCAGCATCACTGCCAGAGAATATTGTGAACAAGTTCTGTTCATTGACGATACGTATCGAGACGCCATTAACGCAGCCAAATACGATCTCAGAAAGGAAATCATCGCTATCATTGCCTGTTCTTGCATAATCACTGCACTGAACCTCATAATCCCTCTTGGACTCATGTGTGTACAAAGGCGGCATCTCTATCAGCCCATCATCACTGGCGAAGACGGCATTCCCCAAGACCCCGACAATCGACCCTTCGGCCATTTCCACTTCATGGCGGGGGCCATTGTCTTCACGCTGTTCTTCTTTCTCATGATCACGGGTGAGTATCGAGATCACCATGCCCTCATTATCGGAACATTCCGCTCACATATCTCTGCTTGCTTCATCTCCCATGCAGGAGGCATTTTCTTTATTGCGTCCTGTGGCAGTCTGTTTGAGACTCTGACAGAATGGATCCCAAACGTAAATTGGTCATGGGTACAATGGGTCATCGAAACATTGGGTGCCGTTGTCATAGTGGTAAACAGTATTCTCCTATTCTTTCTGTGGCTACAAGCGTTTGAGATGCGCAATATGATCAGAGGAACCTACAATCAACTTGTACAAGCCAGGAAAACTGAAAGCTCCACACGAATCTTCCGAGGTGAGTCCTCTTCAAGCGCTGACGGATGCGGCGGAGGAAACTATCGCTTTCAAGTTGCACTGCTTATTGTACTAAGTTTGCATACTCCCTTCAATACTTGTTCAGGTGAAAAGTATTACGTGCCTTGGAGTCCTACGGTGGTGGAGGCGCTATTTCGAATCTGCTTTGCATTACTCTTCTTGAGCTTGCTGCTATCATTGCTATGTGTCATTGTGGGTAAGTCTCATCGTAATTACCGAAGCTTGCTTTCTATCTTGTCACCTAACCTGTCGAGCACATACATAGGCTTCTTGGCGGTAGGGAGCTCCTTTACTGTATTCCACGTATGTTCTACCGTCGCTGGATCTCTTGACCATTATTGCTTAGACCTGGATGTTCTTGGAATCCCCAAAGTTACCTGTGGTCCAGACTTTCAGGAACTGTGCAATGACTGGGCGAAAGTGGGCGGCAAGGATATGCTATGGAGCTCTTTTTGTGCCTTTGTGAGCCATTTCTACTTGGTAGCTGCCGCTGCGTACGCATCACAACAGAGGCGAGCCATTCCTGCCATCTTGAGCCAGTACAACTTTCGCTCGGAATCCCTAAAGAAAGATGTACCACCTCCTGAACGGAGTACATTCGTCGACAACGACAAAGGGTTGCCGCTGAGTTGCTCACAGAGGTCCGTGGTGCAGGTGTCAACGCTGCATGTTGGCGAAGTACCGCTAGTCGCAACATCCGAAGATGACGACTGACTGCTAGCTTGCTTGCAACCTAGCTCTGCTGTGTAGCCACGCAGACAAGTCGATATCGTGTCCCCATTTGATTGATTTTTTAGATTGTAGTACTGTGCTGTAAAGTAAAGGTTCCTTGAGAGCAACGACAGGAACTCTTGGTTTCCAATTGAGGCACTGTAAAGTAAAGGTTCCTTGAGAGCAACGACAGGAACTCTTGGTTTCCAATTGAGGCAAACACTTCCGCCAACAATTCTGATTTGTACGACTCTTCCGTTTTGACCTGCAGTTGCCTACTGTACCATTCATGCAGCTGCGCGTGATGGTTGCCTTCTGATGTTTCAACAATTTCTTTGTGAAGTTAGTTCCTTGTGCTCCTCGGATCAAACTTTTGCATCTGGTATGCGCAATCACGAATACCACCGATTACGCGGTGGTGCAAGCGTCTTCTGTCCCAGCTAGTAGGCATGTTTCTGGCCACCAGTTGCAAGTGATCCATTCCTCCTAGCACTTGCCACTGGAGGCATCATCATCCAACTCCCTTTACTAGCTAGAGCTTATCTTTAGCTAAGAATTCGCTTTGATTGGGATTCCAGTCTTCTTGCAATGGTTCAAATATTTTACCAAATACCATGACTGCCAGGGCGAGACAAGCCACAGTGTCTGGGACCCCCGACGGGTCCCCTGGTGACAGAAGAACCCATAGACTGGCAGCAAGGCCCAGCGCCGCCTCCATTTTGTAAGCAAGCCCAAAGTAGTATATTTCTCGCACAAACAAAGCAGCTAGCCCAACCAGAGGTTGCCCCGCAACTAAAGTTGCCACCGACGCAGCCAACACTTTTCCGTCCACCAACATCACGGATTTCTTCTTGGCTCCGCTTTTTAACATGCCAGCTTTGGGCGCCAGAGCCGCAGCAGCGGTGGTGAATCCTATAGCGGCAAGAGGCAGGATGGGATCGACTTCAGGGAATACCGAGAGGCCCGCATCTTGCAAGACAGGCAGTAGGAGCTCCAAGCTGTACGCAACGGAAACACCTAGAAGCGCCACGCGATAGCCAACAGTTTGTCCAAGCTGAGTTGACGACAACTTGAAGACTTGTTGCGAAACGGTAGCAGCTTCATCCTGGATTGGAAGAACTTCGTCCAGACTCAAGTCAATTTCTTTACCAGCAATACCAGCCACCCTGGGCAACACCCTTTGTGAGGTTTTCGCGACTCGGTGGTGTCTAGTTGGGATTGCAACAAACGCAGATACCTGATCGAAGCAATGAAAGTACAAAGCTGCGACAACGACAGCAGAATTCCTCATTGTCTGAAATTTCATGCGCTCGCAGTCACCTCTCCTCTCTTTTTCTGACCGTCTTCATCGATCCCATTCATATTCATAGTCTTCTTACTTTTTTGGAGAGAGGGTCGGTCTGACAAAGGAACAATGACGTGGTCAGAAGGAACCGTGTGTGGGAAATTAGCTCCTCCGGCTTGGACGTGGGCCCGCACTCGAGCTGACAGAAGTCATGAAATTTGAATGTCCTCCCAACTTTGCCAAAGCAGTCGCACACTGCCTCTGATGATCACGGCACGACAGAGTACTGTAGCAAAGCTCTGGCTGGACCTCCTAGACTAGCTAGAGCTACTACATCGTAGCAGAGTATTAGGCTAGTCTGGTACAGTCGTATGGGAGATCGGTGAGTATAAAAAGAGTGCTTATTACAGATAAGTTTCAATAGACAACCGCTGCTCCAGCGTCACCATCGTCCTGACCTGGACAAGAATAGATTGTCAGACCTCCACTTTTAACACAACCTGCCTAGCTTGAGAGTCAAGTCTTGCCCTTCTGAGTGTACATGTACAGTACCTGTATCTAAAGAGCTTTTGTCTTGTTCTGTTGGTTCTTCTTGCGGTAACTGACAAAGAATAGAATTCCAATAACCAGGGGCGCCAAGGAAGCTCCAAACATAACCTCTGCCGCTCTGAAGGCTCCAGTCACACCCATGATCATGGCCAAACCAACCGATCGAAGCACAACATTTTGGATTCCGTTTACAATGCGGAGAAGTTCCAATCCATAGTAAGCGTAGTAGGGCATGCCGTCTTCGTTGCTAAAACTACTTCGGCAAAAGCTGGAAGAAACTCCAAAACAGACCAATCGGTAGGGTGCCAAAGTGAGATGCACCATGTCATGATCCGAAAGAACCTTGACATTGGTATTTTTGTTGGCAGGGAGTCGAACATAAGAAGAAGCAACAACACCATCAACGACCAATGTACCTCCTGTCGTCAAAGGAGCATAGATTCCACTTCGTTGGGTAGTGGAGATCTTGGTTACTTTGGATCCTGCTGCGTTGACTGTGCGAAGTATATCTCCAACCTTCACCTGCTCGACAGGGACAGGTGCGTCTTGGCCTTTAAGAAAGACCAAGTGCTCAGCAGTCATTTCCAAGGGCGCCTTCGGTGATTCTTCGTTGAAAACTTGAAAGAATTCGGCTTCCCTGTTGGGGTTGTGGTGGCCAAAACCATAGACCGTTTCAAAATGGCCATTTTCTGTAAGAATGCTGTCTCCAACTTGCAACTGCATCATGGTTTTCTGTTCTCCCTGCACCTGAACTGTTGTTTCACCAGAGAAGCAAGCCGGTATACCGCCTGAGTCGCCACCATCAGCACCACAAGAACCGCACGCAAAGTCTTGGATAACACCAAGGTCACAAGCTGCATCGAGAATGTCACAAAGACCACACATGATACAGAGATAGTCTATGTCGTCCAATTGACGGTGCTTCTGAGACCACAAATCCACACAGCACATACCGGTACAGGTAGGCACAATGAAGATGAGTGAGTAACCTCATTGTTCTTTGTCAGAAAACCCAACCGAGGCGCCGACGTACGTACCTGGGCTGGTCGCACCCCTCCTGTCGCAGCTGCGACAGCTGCCATTGCAGCAAGGGTCAGTACATGAAAGGAGAGCTTCATTGTCTATCTGGTTGTGGTTTAGTTGGAGGTATTGATGTGAATGATTGCTAACAACGAATTTGTGAAAGAACAAAAGAAGTAAAAAAGTGAGAGATCACTGGGATTTTTGGCGCGGGCCGTGGCGCGAGCATCACTCAATTCAAAAAGATCCACCCAACTGTTTACCACCAATGCCATCTCCCAGGTCCGGTTGAAACGGAGCCACATCTATCTGTTTACCAGATATAAATAGTACATGAATGGTATCAGTATCAACCACTCAGTAAGGCAATCACTCGGCTGTACTAGAGTTAGTACTGTAGGTCCAAAGCATTTGTGTTCAGAAGAGCTTTCTCGGAAGCCATTACATGTACAAGCTAGTAGATGCTTCAGGCATGGCGCGGTTTTCGATTACATGGGATTCAGACTGTGCGGTTCTGCTACCGGTACCAACAACAATGCGGAAGAAGCAGGTGCAATCAGCATGCATGCATCAAGTAAGTGCACGTCGTGTGCTACTAGTACAGCTGTAGACATATATTTTTCCAATGAGGCAACCCTGCGGTACCGGTACCTAGAGCTTGTACATGTAGATTGCACTGTTTTGGGTTGTACTAGCTTCTGAATGCAAAGTATAACGTGTAGCCTTGGTTGCCACCACTACATCAGTGAAAGATTAGATGAGATGAGTTTCTTATGATAACTTCTAAAAAGATCTGATGAGATGAGATAGATGAGCTGAGATTCGCAGTGGCACCTGGATCTCTTCTTCCACATTCCACGGCGTGGAATGTGGAAGTACTCATTGGCTGCACTGCCCGGGTTACTCATCGAGCCTTCAAAGTACGATACATTCCGGCTTACAGTTTTTAAACCCCGTCCACGGTTTCAGCTGCTAGTAACTTTCTGGTATCTTTGGCATCTCTTGATGGCCGGCAGCGCATCCAGGACTCTTCCAGTCTGAGCTGGAGTGGTGGCTGGGCGCATGATGCATGAGGCCAGGTGCTGGCACTGGCCTGGTATTGTCATTACCTGGTAGCACTCCCATCCGCCACAACTAGGCAACTAGGCAACTAGATACCTGGTGACCTCCGCTACGAGGCATCAGGAGGAAGCAAGTAGTCTTACTTTTATCACTGGCGATCGCTCTGGCCATCCGACTCGACTCTTGGTGGACAGCCCAGCAGCGCCATGACGCGCCGTCGCAACCGTAAACATAGCACGAATGCTATCCAGTGACCCACGTCTTAGTAAAGGTGCTTACCGGTACGCCAAGTAATTGTTGCTTTTTCAGCGCTGGCATTGCTGGCATATCTGGGACTGCAAGGTACAACTCCTATCTATTGAGATATTGAGATAGACGCAATCTAGCTAGCTAGCTAGGTAGCGAGCAAGCTAGCAATCGCTCCAAATGCCCACCAGTTCCGAGAGGATCAAACAAGTTAGATTTCAAACAAACCAGCAAAGCTTTTGTTCCCATTTTTGTTGGGAACAAGGATCTATTGTGGGAGTTGATTGGACGCTGCATCACTGCACGCACGTTGTCGTTCTCTCCAACCAATCCCGTTCCTTTAGGCCGATCCTAGTCGTAAGCGAGACCGAGACACGAGACACATGGGAATGTGGGTCTCGTATGACACCGCGCCTAATGCTCCACCACACCGACACATGAAATTGCGCAAAACGTGGTACAAGTGGCACCCAACATCCAATCAGATTTAATAGACAGCAGTGTGACATCATCAATAAAGCGCGCTCTAAAACTGAACTCACTTTTTCATCTCATTCCCTCACTCCATCGAATTGGTGGTCTCCAGAGTGGAAAGCTGGTTGTGGATAATAGGATTTGTCTTTGTTTTAGATCCCAATCTGGTCATTGGCACCATGGCAGCGGACAAGTTACCTGACGCCCTCCTGCAGGAGGTGAGGAATGTCCTGGCCACAGAGTGCAGAGAGATGGTTATGTGTGAAAAAGCTACAGGAGAGAACGTTGCTGGACAACACAATATGATGTCGAAAGTTTTTCATGGATCTGCTGGGTACGCTTCTGTTGTGGACAAATTACTGGATGGCAAAGGGCCATATGCATCAGTATTCAACAAGCTCCCTATAGAGAACAACCGTGAAGGAAATGACGAACGTCCCAGTGGACACATGCTGGTAATGAAGGATATTGTCAGCTGCAACGAAGGTAAGAACAACTCGAACAGAGCTTATTGGTGCTGTTTTTGTGTATTCAAGATAAATGACATTTGCATCTGTTCAATGTACTATTTAATAAGGCGCCAAGTATGTTGCCCAAGAAAGGGGTTTTAACAAAGAAGCTATTACAAAGAATGGCGAAAAGAAACTTGAAGGGCGTAACATCGGAGAACGTGCAATCACTTCTACTGCCAACTACAAGTTCGCTTTGAAATACTGTGACGAATATTGCCAGGATGGAAAGCTTCCCTCTGGAAAGTCGCTGGATGACATGGTTCTCTATGTTCGCCAAAAGATGTATGTTCACCTGAGAGGTGGGAAGAACAATCGTACAAGCAACCGAAGAGCAGCAGGCAGTGACAAGCCTGCAAAGGAATTCGTGGAAGAGGATATGCCGGCAAAGTACATGTTTAATGGCTACCTGGTGTTTCTTTTGTACGGTCCTTTGGGCTTGTGTGGTATCACCCTCAGCTGTCTTTCGAAAGATGGAAGTGATATTAAGAAGAAAGGTAGAGCAGCTGCAAGGACCAAGGAAATGGAAGTGAAAGCTGCAGAGCGCACTGCCGATGATGGAGGCACTGGTATCTACCATCGAGGTGTTCCTGTCAAGGAAAAGCTTGCGTGTGCCACTTTGGCCATGAGCGAGCTGAAAGATGCACAAAGAAATGTGCGAGACTTGCTATTCCACAACAGTTCCTCTGAAGCGAATTGTCTGAATGCACTCACCCAAGTTGACAGCATGTTGGAAAGAGCTGAGACAAGAGGGGAGCGTCGTGACATGTCTTTGCTAAAGAAGAGAAAGAATGATCTCTTTGACCGGCTAGATAAATTGTCTAAACGCAAGACAGAATTGGAGGCAAAGAGCGACATGCTGATGCAGCAGACGACTACCAAAAGCAAGGTGCAGGCCTACTATGATGCCATTGGATCGTTCAACAGTGTTCCTAAAGCAGTGGCAGTTGTGTCCAAGAGTACTCCAGACGATGGATCATCCATAACCAACAACGAAAGGTCATGTGTAGGGACCCCAATTGCTAGGCGCGGTACTACTGGACAAACGAAACTGGTGACACTACCCCGCCATTGTTCGCAACTGTCTCAACCATCGCAAGATGAAGAAAGTGTTGTAGAGAACCAACAAGAGCCTGTCATGGATTCTTTCATTGAAGTTGAACCTCGCGGGGAAATAGAAGAAGAACCCATTGTCGTTGATGGACCCAGCGAAACTGTCGACAATGATGCACTGACTCCATACCAGGCGCGACTACCAGCAGCAGGACAAGAATTCATCTTGGAGTTTCGCAGGAGGGAGCGAGAGCAACTTACGTTCCAGCAACAGCAAGCTGCTGTGGCAGCAGACGAAAGGAACCATGGTCGTGGATTAAACCATCCTTCTTCGTATCAGCCAGGTGGCACCTACCATGCGCATCCCAGGACCACTGTAAATGATGGTCTTACTATCGAAACAGCTCACACTTACTTTGCTCAAGAGGAGGGTTAAAGACTTCTTAGTGTAGATAATGGAGAACTAAATATTTGTTAATTGGTGGATTGTTGTTGTTGTTGTTGTCGCTGCCGTTCTGGCCAACGCACTCTATGTCTTCGGAACTGAATGTCGAAGTGTTCCACTAGCCGGTTTCGGAAGTCATCGTATGTGAGGGAATTGACTCTGACGCTCCCATCAATAGCCAACTGTTGTGCTCTACCACTTAGGTGATCGTCGCTCTCCTGTGCAATTTCCCCAACACCGTCTTCCTCTTCTTGAAGTTGCCCTCTTTGGCGATTAACTGCCCTGCGTTGTTGTTCTTCCATAACACACTGTTGCTCGTGATCTCTGCTGCCAAAGCTCATCAACTGATCGTCTGCGAGTCTTTGAATGGCAAAAGGTGCATGGCGCCTCATTTCCACGACATCGTTCTCTCCCACAGAGCCATTCCACTCATCCAACCCATCACATTCAAGCAGCATATTGTGGAGGGCGCAGCAAGTCAACCATGTCTTGTCTGCTGCCTCTGGACCATCCAGTCTGATCCCTGTCTTCAGAATTCTCCATCGCCCTTTCAGTATTCCAAAAGTGCACTCAACATCTTTTCGCATCGATTCGATCCACTGACTCAAGCGTTCTTCAGATCGCAGCAGATTGAATTTCGCTGGTGCTTGCGTACAAGCCCATTTGTGGTAGCCATTGTCAACTAAGCCCCATGCTCCAGAGTATTTGGTAGCCTCGAGAGATGACTTGCCCACTTCACCTTCCCACGAAAAAAGATGGAAGGTAACGTCTTGTAAAATTGTGCCGTCATGTAGGCCTGTCATGAATTCATCGAAATGAGCCAGTGTCTTGTCATTCCATCTGGATGGATGCCCTCTTGTTGTGTAAAGAATCCTGTGCCTGTGGTTTGCTGTCAAGTTGTATGTACGTGCCGGGGTACTCTGTTTGAATCCCATGTTTGACTGCCGAAGATTGTGGGAACATCTCCACATGATCACGTTTGTTGCATCTGTTGAAAAGCCTGCTCCAGGCAAACCGGCAACGTTGAATTCGCCCTGGTGGGCCTTGTACTCTGCAGCAGTGGTAGGCATTCGGACAAATTTGGGGAAGAGCCAGTCTTGGCCCCACGTAATAAAGACATGAAAGAATTGGCGATGGGTCTCTTCATTGATTGCTGTGTACTCTTCCAAGTCATCGAACGTCAGTCCTCTTCCCAAATATCGAAGGGCGCCAAGTATCATCAGTTCCAGTGGAGACGACGAATTTCCCACTGCATCCTTGGATCGCCAACGTTGGAACACCTGTGCATCTTCTGACCAATCAACCATGCGCAGAAACTGCTGGTATGGCATACGGAAGCGTCTTCGAAATTTGTGGTTGAATTTCTGGCAATCCAGAGTTGGGGAAACCACGTACATAATGTACCAAATGGTCTGCTTCGGTTGCAGAACAATCTTGTTTCCTTCATCGTCGAAGTAGTAGGGCTTGATTGATTTACAGCGACGTTTGCGTCTTCCTGTTGCTGTTGTTGTTGTTGTTCTTGTTTCGTCATCCAAGGACATTGTAATATTGCCCTCTGCTTCCTCTTCTTCTTGGTACAATGTCTGTAGCTCGGACTCTTCTAGGTCAAGCAAAGCATCTTCTTGCTCTGCATAGAGGCGGTACTTGTCAACATTGATGGAACCATCTTCGTTGAAGCAACTGCCGATTCCAACTGTGTCACCCTGGACATAAGAAGCGGTATCATCAATATCCATTGGGATTAATACTGGTGCTTCTCTACAACTTCTCTTGCTCGATTGTTGCCAACAAGTTTTGTTGGCGAAGGAGGGAGAACCCATGTTGGGAGGAGTTTGTAACCTTGTGTGCCATGTCATTAAGGATAAATTTAGAGATATTATAGTCTCGCGATGCATGACTGGGTCCCCGAGACTTCTCCAAAATTTTGTTGGCAAAAATATAGCACGAGACTTTGGGCACTGACGTGGAGAATTTATATTGATCTCATTGGCTCACCAATGTCTCGTGTCTCGGTCTCGCTTACGACTAGGATCGGCCTTACACCCGTGCGTGAGGCCAAGACACAAGCTGACACGACGGTACCAGGGGTTAATTCCGGCCAATCAAAAAACCTAAGTCCACCCAATCACAAAAATGTCAATGAAGTTCCTCGTGTTGCAGTCGAAGATTCTTTGGAGCTCTCATTCTGGTTGAGGATTTAGGGGGGCCTCTTTGCCCAGACAGGGAACCTTCTTGACACCACCACGAATGGCCATAAAAAGCCAATATGAAATCAATTGGCATCTGTCAGACGTGCTTCGAACGGATCGATTGTCTGAGCGATTCGCTCGACTCCGCTCAATCATCTCAAAGCTGTTCGGTACCGATACCTGCTACCTGGTACCGTACTATTATTTGCCAACGGGATATCTTGGAGAAGCAGTCCATAATGTACATGTATCTATTGATTGAATAGCCACAAAGGCAACGTGGAGTGCTGGTAGGAGCTATCATACAGGCTGACTCAAAGTTTGGTGCATGATCCCGGCAGCCTTAGTACCAGTACCCGTATCCAAAATTGTCTCTAGTTAGGCATGATTGTGCTGTTGTTAACACTACTTAAAATAAAAACATACAAGTACCTCCGGAGACGTATCCCTAATGAGTGGATTTTCATCCAGACAGCAAATGCATTCCTTTCTTCAGTTGGTCTTTTGCTGGGGCAGCCAACACAAAGCAAACTTTCAAATCATCCCTTCGTGACGTTGTCGATACCGGTACCATAGATGTATGCAATTGTAGTTTTGCACTCTCATTTTCGTTCCCTTTGGCCTGAAGCCTACCGTTCCGGTACATGTACCGATGCATAAAGGCTTTGTACACTTTGCCTAAAGGCTTTGTGCAACGTGGAGCGTTTGCCTGATGCAACTTCCAGCCAGAATTACGCTGAAAATTGCCTTGCATTTTCGACGTTCAACGAATCATTGAATCTTCCAATTGTTGTTGTTTTCGTCGTCCTCTGGTGTCCAAGCGTTACTGGCGGGGAAGGCCACTCATCCAATCAAGAGGCCAAAACTCGAACCAGGATGACTGTATTGCTCACCGTATTGTTATCGCCAGACCTGCTGTGGTCCATCGGTCTCCCACTGTTGATGGCATTCTTCTTTTTCACCCTGCATGCTTCGTTGAAACGCTACGGTAGGACAGTACAGTACGTACTGGATCGTACTAGCTATCGTACTGCAGTATCGGAAGCTGAACTTGCATGCACAGGCGTATGATAGGCTCAGAGAGAACACGTTGAAAGTTGCAAATGCAAACCCTTCTCTTTTGGGCCTTCAACTTTTCGCCTCTGTTCGCCGCCAATCCAATCAAGCGCTGTTCTCATAATTTGTTGCCAACACAACAACCACCGCAAGACAATCCAAGAACACTCTGTTCCCCAAACTATCTCAAGATGGCCCCAAACCGCAAACAACTCGCCCTCGCTCAACTCGAGCCGTTGATGGACACGGCTCCTTTGGTCCAAGCCAAGTACTTGCCCTTGACAGCTCAAATCCAACAACAAGAAGCTCCCGTTGCTCCAAAACCAGCAGAAGAACCCACCATTATCCGATCCAATGTCAACAGCGACGACTACTGGGGCTGGTCCAGTAGTGAACCAACACTTACAGTGGATCTTTTTTCGGCCGACCGCATGGAAGCCAACTTGCTGGCCGATGTCGAACGCCGCTCCAACGCCACCACCAAAGTGATTCGTGCCGCGGACACTTCGGAAGACTACTGGGCCGAACGCGTCGAAGCCCACATTGTCCACAGTGAGTCCAACGCTGCCGTTTCGGAAGCCACTGGATACTGGGAATGGCCCCAAGACGCCAGCACGGTCCAGATTGCTTTGATCTTGAAGGAAGAATTGGCACGCAATGTGACATCTGCTCAGACGATGGAAGCTCGCTTGGTAGAAGATGCCAAGACCCACACGACTACTGAATCACAAGCCAAACCCGAAAACGATGACTATTGGGCATGGACCCCCGAGGCCACCATTGTGCGGGCCGATCCTTCGTCTGTGAATGAATCCTACTGGCAATGGAACACGGAAACCGCCCAAGTCAAGGAACAAGTGATTGCTACCATTGTTGCTTACGAAGAGATTCGCGGCATGTTTTCAGCGGAGCACATTCAAGCCAATTTGGAAAAGACGGTCACACCAGAGCCATCTCGCCCGCAAGAATCCTCTGATTCCTACTGGTGCTGGCCTGCCGAAGAAGACGACTACTGGAATGAACGTCCTCAATCGTTGGTCCAGCGAGCGGAAGCAATGCCAATCCAAGGCTACTGGGATATGTAAGCAACGAATGAAAGAAAGAGACACCCGTTGTACAATAGCACGCCATTATTACTAGAAATCATTACAAAACAAAAACATCTCTCCACTAGACTAGCTAGAGTATCTTTCATCACAACGTTGGCAATGGCGTGAACGTTGACATCCGGCAATCCTTTGGTCTGTGACACCCTTCTTGCTTGACGCTCGCCAATGCAACGCACCAATACGCACGGTACCGCGAGTTCAAGGCTTGCCTTCGGTCGTTCTCTAATGTAATCTGGGTTGGATCCCGGAGGCTCTCCCTAACTCTTTTGACTCCTCACAGTTATACTGGGCGAAGGCTCTTTTCTAACTCTTGTGGGCATGGAACAGGGAACAGGGAATGCCTAGTTCTCTACTCTGGGTGGGAGGCTATTTTCTAACTCTTATGGACTGCCCACTGCGTCCGGCTAGTTCTTTAATCGGGAAGGGAGGATCTTTCTAACTGTTATAGGCATGAACCTTAGTTCTTTTATCTGACTGGGAGGCTCTTTTCTAACGCTTATGGTCGTGACATCCTTTCTGTCCGACGAAAAGCCACGTCGCCTCTAAAGAATGCCAAAGCCTTTATGGAACGAAACAACCAATCAAACGATAGCTCAAACCCTTTACCGAACAACAACAACAAAAGAACGGGAAGACACACATGTAGAGCTCTACGGACTGTACCGTACCGTACCCTACCCCCTACCCATACGGTACGGTAGGCAACGGGCAACGTGGTCGTTTGCTGTCTCCAAGAAGTTTGGCTTGGAGTTGTTGCAGTGATGTTTGCGTTGACGCATTGATGAGGACCAGGAAGGCCCGGTCACGGGACTGCTGGTCGCCAAAAATCAGCATAAAGTCGCACACAGCATGAAAGTCGCATCAAAAGTCGTATGTAAAGTCGCATGCGAGTCGCATGAAAGTCGCGTGCGACATTCTCGCACGACTTTCAAAGTCGCGCAAGATTTCTATAAGCAAGGTGACAGAGTCGCGTAGGATCGCTGAAAGTCGTTTGGAAAGTCGTACAAAAGTCGCATGCGACTCGTACACGACTCGCACGCGACTTTGTAAACGACTTTTAGCGATCCTACGCGACTTTGTCCAATCCGGGATTCTAAGTCGCATGACGGGGCCTTCCAGGGAACCAATGGCATTGACTAGCTGGAGTACTACTACTAGTACTAGCTAGCTAGCTAGTAACTAAGAGCTGGCCACTTGTGCTAGCAAGTTGAATTCGTGGTTGAGCAAGATAGATCTGATCTTATTTGCTTGCTTTTGAATAAAATTTCAATCAGAAGATTCTGTGGATGAATCTATTGAATGAATCGAATCATTCTGTTATGTGGCTACACAGGTACCCGTAAAAGTGATTAGTTGAAGGGGCTCCAGAGGGGAGAAGGAGGAGGGTTAAGCTAGTCTGGGCAAGAGCATCTAGTTGCACATGTTTTGAGTTGTGGTACCCGTAAAAGTGATTAGTTGAAGGGGCTCCAGAGGGGGGAAGGAGGAGGGTTAAGCTAGTCTGGGCAAGAGCATCTAGTTGCACATGTTTTGAGTTGTGGTACCCGTAAAAGTCACTCCAGAGGGGATTATGTACAAGTACATGTAGTTACGGTACCCTTTCGAAGTATCTTAAACCAAGGGTTGGAAACCAAAATGGGTTATCTTAAAAATGGGTGTGCCGCATCCCGAGCTGCCTGAAGCTGGTCTGCCCCTCTGAGAGTAGACCTACCTGGTAGTACATGTACTAGTATGTACTATTTGACCGGTACGGGTGGGGGGCTAAAAAGGCAATGGAATCTCGGCGTGCCCGCTACCTCTGCTTCTTGGAGCTGAAGCATTCTCTACCAGCTCTCTACCAATGCAATCGAGTAGAGATTGTCTCGCACATACATACATGTGGCTGCGCATCATCACAAATAGTTCTTTTGCCACATGTGCTAGTGTTCGCTCCACTATGGTTGTCACATGACAACTCAGTTGTTACATGACATCTACAGATAGGTATATAATATATCGATTTTCTCCATACGAAACCACCCATTCTAACCATTGGAACTTATTCTCCATAGTAGTCTTAACGTCATGTGTGATTCTGGCCGGGTTTGATCGGCTTCATCGCTGTATATTACATACAAATTTCATCAGATCGGAGGATTCTACTCATGTCGCCAAATTCTTCATTATTTCCTTTTCCTTTCGGTGAGTAAGAAAAGAAGATCAAGATGGCGCTTTTGACTTGTATCGCTTTGCTCTAACACTCCTTGTTGCCTCCACTGTTGTCACCATGCCAGGTCCTGATCTGCATCTTGATTACTCGATTCGAATTTGGTGAGCGTGAAAGCCTTTGGACACCGAAGGCGACGAGCAAGTACATTCCTCCTCCTGCAATTGGGAAGCGATGTGGCATGTCAAGACATCGGTTTGACATGTTACTCAAGAACATCGTGTGGAGCTTCCAACCTGGTGTCCGACCAGCCGATGTGTCGAGTGAAGAACTTTGTTGGGCTTGTGTCAAGACTTTGTCAATCGATTCAATGACCATTGAAAGAAGTACATGACTCCATCTAAGCTTATCGTGGTGGATGAGTCCATAAGCAGGTGGTACGGATTGGGTGGTCACTGGAACCACAGTATGTTGCGATCGAACGGAAGCCTGATGATGGATGCGAGATTCAAAACTCAGCATATGGAACATCAGGAATTATGTTGCAGCTGAAGCTGGTGAAGTCAGCGGCTGCCATTGCTGCTTCTGAGAAGGAAAAGGAACTACTGGAAGCAACCGGAGCTGAGGAAGATGCGAACGGGTAAGTCAGGTTTTCAGGAGGAGAACGTTGAAGTTATCATTGTTACTTATTCTTTATTATTATATTTCTCACATCGGAACATTGTAATCCCACACAGGTTCCTGCACGGGTGCAACATCCTGTATGACTTGGTCAAGCCATGGGCGAACAGTGGAAGGATTGTGGTGGCTGACTCCTACTTTGCATCCGTGCAAGCAGCCAAGAGGCTTTTCGGCATTGGGCTTCGCTTCATCGGAACCATCAAGACAGCAACCAAGGAATTTCCCATGAATTATCTTGGAACAAAACAGTTGAACGCTGGAAAGGGCGACCGCCATGGTGTTCTGTCGAAGGATGAAGAAACTGGAACGTCGTTGCTTACATATGTTTGGGTGGATCGTGACCGTCGCTACTTCGTATCGACATGTTCCTCATTGGCTGCCGGTTATCCTTGTATTCGGAAGCGATGGCGTCAGGTTGACAAAACTCTCAATGCTCCACCCAATCAGGTTGAAGTCAACGTTCCTCAACCCGAAGCCTGTGAGATCTATTACCGCGCATGTGGTCGCATTGATCAACACAACAGGTTCCGACAAGCTGGTCTTATGCTAGAGCGGAAGATGAAGACTACCATGTGGCACAGAAGAGTCAACATGTCTCTCTTTGGGATGTGTGTTGTTGACTCTTATCTTCTTGCAAGAGGATGTCAAGGCATTAACTGCAGCTATAACACCTCTGGTGATTTCTTTGCTGCTCTGGCTGAGGAACTCATTGACAACACCTATGAGCTGAGGGCTCTGCGCAAGAGGACAGCAAGGGCTGCTTTTGCTGGCTAGTATGGCACAACTGTTGCCCCCAAACAAGATTGTCCATTTTCCATTGATCTTTCCAAGTCATGCTTACACATCATTTGTCTGTCGCGAGTGCCAGCAATGGCAACCAAAGAGGGAGGAAAAGCAGTACTTGATCTGCAACAACTCTGGGCAGCCATGCATGGGAGCTCACATCATCGATCTCCACCCTGACAAGCAGGAGGTGACTGAGTTGGAGTAGTTAGTGCTCACCTTGCTTTGTTAACTTCCTCTTGTCGAGTACGTCGAACATATCTGTTGTTGAGGCTGTTGTATGTTGAATGTTCTGATTTGAAACAGATGGCAGTAAAATTCTACGCTAAGTAGTACTAAACTAGTGATAGTTGTTATGAGACATCAACGGTCATCTCTCGAATTCGAATTTTGTATTCACTTCCTACTGCACTACAGTAACTGGTACATAAATGATTTGCGATGTCATGTGACAATTTTTCGATGTCACATGACAATTTATTTTAGCCAGGAGAGGGAACACTAGGCTAGCTAGCTATTCGTTTGAACAAAAAGATGTACGAGCCCCCCTCCAAGTGTAGAAATTCTGCTTTGCTGCTTTGTTTGGAACAACGAGTGGTTCCAAAAGTGTGATTCAATTGCAAGTCGCATGGAAGACACATTGGTGTTCGCTCCTGAAGGATTTTGGAAGGCATAATATCATCTGCTGAGCGTATCTTTCAGGGTTGACAACTCTATTGTGGCTGAGCAGTCAACTGCAGTGCAATGTGAAAGCAATGAAGCAAGCAATGAAACAACGAACAACCCAGCCGTAAGCAGCAGGAATATGCAACTTATGCCACGAAAAGGTGGAACTAGACTAGAACAGGAGTGTCAAGAACATGAACAACAGTCTGAAGCCCATGCAAAATTGATTCAACAGCGTGAACATCGAATGGAAACTTATTGCCTCAAAGATACAATGAAATGGCAGGCAGAGGCTGCTCACTTGCAAGCATTTATTTGATGTACTTAGCTCGGTTGCCGGAGAACCTCCAAGATACATGTACATTGGACAGTACCCTGAAGACTAAGGCAACCTGACAAGATACAGGTTATAATGGAGGAAACGGGCATCACCAAACTCTTCCTGATAGAAAAGAAACAATTCATCTCCTGCAATACATACGGACGTTGTCAACAGTGCGGAAGATTTGAGCTTCGACTGGATCATGGAATTCCTTCTAGGAGGGGGGGGCCTCGTGTCAAAGCCTCCAGGGAAGGGATACATGCTACATGTAGCTACGGGCTAGTACTCATTGGTGCATTGTCCCTTTCGGGCTCTCCCTGGGTTACTCGGCATTTTGTCTATTTAAGCTGTTGTGTCTGATTACAGAGTTGCTTAAATGTTCTATGCTCCTTAGAAAAAGTGGCTTATGTCTCACAATGTCTCACTTTGTATACCAATGTCTCACAATGTCTCACTTTGTCTACCAATGTATCACTTTGTCTACTAATGTCTACCAATGTATCACTTTGTCTACTAATGTCTACAAGGTACTGTAAAACAGTACAAAAATGTCTCACAATGTCTCACTTTGTCTACCAATGTCTCACAATGTCTCACTTTGTCTACCAATGTATCACTTTGTATACTAATGTCTACCAATGTATCACTTTGTATACTAATGTCTCCTAATGTCTTAAATCTTTTCAACGGTCTGTAGACATTTCCATAAGTCAAAGGATCACTTTATCGCCAAAACACAAACAGACAGAATGCCGAGTAACCCTGAGAGGTGGGATGAAGTTTTGATCATTCTCCTTCCCTGCAGAAAGCTGATTTATCGCAGTCTAGCTGGCTAGTACAGTTGCCAATTTGCTCCTCTGGCGCTTGTGTGAGGGTGCCTTCGGATCCGGCATTTTCGAGATGGCGCAAAGATACTCGATGGTGGGAGCAATTCGGCCATGGGGTTCTTTCTCGACGATGGAAAGGCACCGCCTGAGAGCTCGAGCACTTCAAGTACCGTGCGGTACCGGTGATGGACTGTAGATAAGTAAAACAAGGCTGGCTACTGTTGCCGTCCATGACCCGAATCGGCGGGGCGCTCGACTCGGACGGAAGGAGAACCATGGTGTCATGATCACCGGCTCGAACTCGAATTTCCAATGCGAAGGCGAAAGATAGCAAATGCCAAAAAGCATTCTGCTCTCCCCTCTACACGACAAAATTGCTATAGCCAGAAAAGACTTCTTTTACTCAAGTCAAGATGATGCATTCCTCCAGCATCGTTCCTGCTACCAGAAGAAACGCAGGACAAGTGCAGCTCGCACTGCTACAGAGCCTGGAAGAGAGACGCCATGAACCTTGGGCGAAGTTCTACGTTAGCGTGGATAGGTTGACTCCGCTGCTTTTGCAAAGAACACGCTACTACAGATCAGCCCGAAACCAGACAGAAAGGTTTTTGGCGGCTCTCGATGATGAAGTTGACAAGGCGGTTGTGTTCTTCTTTGACTGCCAAGGCCAAATTGCCAGAGAACTCTGGGCCATGTCCAAATGGAGCGCCAAGTCGGAACCAGATTCTTCCTTGTATGACCATGCCATTCAGTTGCTCCGCCTTGTGACGTTTGTCGATCTCAATATTCACATTGTCGAACGTGTCCTTGGACTTCACGATGAACTTCTCTCGGCAAACGTTGGACATCTGTATCTCGCGAGCAAAGCTGGTCGCGAGGCAAGGACGCCCAACGATCACCACCGTCTCAAGGCATTGCTGCGTCCTGAAAGCTTGAAGGCAACAGTGGGGATTGCAGCAACAATCTACTATCGATACATCAAATACCAGGCCAAGAGGAATAACCGTGTTAACCTCACTGGACAAAGTCTGAGGGTCGTTCCAAGCATGAGTTCATTGGCTGGATTCTTAGCAAGCGACGACTCAAGTGAGGATTTGCTTACCCCTGAAGAAGGAATAGACGATGAGCAACCAGTCGAAGAGGACGAAAGCGAGGAAGATGGAGATGACGACGACGATGACGAGCCGGCGGATATGAAGGCCCTGGTCCTTGCCGAACGGGCAATCAAGAAACCGGTGCTATCGTCCTCTCTTTCGAGCCCCAATTCTGTGTCGGCCTACAGTTTGGGACCAACTGAAGATCAACTAGTTGGGGCAGTCCTCCTTCGCATTGATACAGCACTGACCAACCTGAACAAGGCGGAGACCATGATGGAATGCTTAGCTCTTCCAGGTGGGTGAACCAATCGTGTGCCACGGTCATGATGCCAACCCGCCCCTCACTCATCCTCTTCTTCTTCTCTCCCCCCTCCCAGATTTGATGGGAGCGAACCGCGAAAGCTTCTTTCCAGAAAGAGAATTCACCGACGAGCCCAAGGGCTTGGGCGAAATCATTGTCGAGCACCAAAGGACTGTGGGTAGCAAGGATCCGGAGAAGCTGAAAGCCCGACGCTGCTCTAGCTGGTTGAACCTCCTCAACAGCTTCTTATACATGGTGTCCTACTACCTGGTTGCCCCAACGAGCTCTGCTTACGCTAGGCGACTTGGTTTGGAAGAATCCATGAGCGGCGCTATCATTGGATGCACCGCAGGCTCGGCATTGGCCTCGACGGTGCTCTACAGCTGGTGGACTTCGCACAGTTACAAGCACGCCCTCATATTCTCTTCATTGTGCTGCTTAGCTGGCAACGTGATATATGCTGCTGGTTTGCCCTTTGATTCGCTGGCACTGGTATTGATTGGGCGTCTCCTCAATGGCTTCGGTTCAGCCAGGGCGATCAACCGGCGGTTCATTGCTGATGCATTTAGCAAAGCCGAAAGGACAGCTGAATCTGCGAACTTTGTGGCCTCTGGCGCAGCTGGAATGAGTGTTGGGCCAGGTCTGGCGGCTCTGATGCCGCTGCTCATGCCCAAGGGGTCCACAAATCTTTGGTGGCAAGAAGAAAACGCGGCAGGTTGGGTCATGGCACTCCTGTGGATCGTCTATCTTGCCTTTTTGATTCCGTACTTTAGAGACCCACCCAAGCCACCCGCCACACCCAGCCCACCCAAGTTACCGAACAATAAGGCTGGCAATCTACAGTCGCTGTACAACGGAGAAAAGAAGCCATTGCTCGCAAAAGATGCGCAAGGCACACAGGACCACCAGGTTGCAGGAGAGTTACCCCTGTGGAAGCGACCAGCTGCTCTCATCACCATCTTTCTAGTGTTCCTGTTGAAGCTGGTGCTGGAACTCGTCCTCAGTGCATCTGCCCCTGTAACTGATTTCTACTTTGACTGGACACCCAGCACTACTGGATGGTTCCTGGCAGCCTTGGGGCTTTTGGTTCTTCCTGCCATTTGGTTTGTCACTTGGATGTCGAAGAAGTGTGAGGATCGGTATCTAATCCTCTACTCTGTGGTGGGGACGCTATTTGGTTGTATTCTCATGATGCAGTACCAACCCCACTATTCACAAGGCCAATATATGTTTGCCACGATTGTGCTTTTCGTTTTCCCAAACTGTATGGAAGCCCCATGTAAGTCCTATTGACTTTGAGTTCCATTCACAACGTCCCAACACCTCATCAGCCACCTCAACCATGTCTCTTGCAATCCACGATCTCAAACAATTGCAGCAATGAGCCTTCTTTCCAAGAACATCCCTTCATCTCTGTCTCGTGGAATTTTCAATCTGGGTTTCTTCACCACGGAGGCAGGCTTTAGTGGACGTGTGGTTGCCGACTCTGTCCTTACTTGGTGTGGATCAGGTGGGACTGAACATTTGGTGAATCATACGTTTGGATTTCTTACCTTGCTGAATCTGTTGGCTTTGGTGCTGGTCTACTTTCACATGCCGGTGCTGGTGGACCCTTCCAAGAAGTTTGACTAAGTTTTGCTGCTTACCACGGTTTCCAGTCTGAAACTACTTTGTAGTGAGTGCATGCCGGGAGCCGGGAGCTTTACGTTTGTTCCTTTGATCCTCAGTTTTGAGAGCTCTTTTTGACCCAGCCTGGCAAGAATCTGAACCATGCTTTTTTGAATGTTGCCCCTCTGAGAGAGTGCTTTTGTAAATACGACAGTAGTTTATTCCTTTCCTCCTGTGGTACCTTAGGATATCGAGCTGTTGGTACCTAGCCAGTAGTGAGTGTGGGGTTGTCAATCCCGGGCCGGTCGAAGTTTGTGTGTGATACCGGTAGGTACGGTACGGTACGGTACGGTGCGATCTTGGATACTTGGATACCGTACGCCCACTCATCGATATCATCACGCAATCAGACTTCCCAGCACACTTTGTCGAGTGACAGTCAAGTCCGGGATCCGGGACCGAGCCTATCACTGAGTGCTTTACTTTGTTAAATAATCAAAGAATGCTGTTGTGGAGCTGTTTGTTCAAGGTTCTGCAGGTTCTGCAGGAGGTAGAGCTCCTGGTAGTCGCGGAAGTCCTCATAACGAATTTCAATTCTGGAACAACTAATCAACTAATGACCCTGCAGAATTTGGGATTAGGAGGCAGGGCTCCATCATCTTGCAACACTTAGTTAATGCGTTGAAGGTTGAAGCAACGGAATCAACAATACAGTGTATTATGAGCTGTACCGGTATTATGGCAGTTTGGTCGCTGGAGATGAGGTTCCACTGACCCACTGACGTCCAGCAGAAATAATGATAAAATGAAATTCAACAATTGCATAAAATTAATGCGTCTCTGTGAATGCTTTTATCAAAAGCATGGAGTGCTTACGACCTGGGAAAAGAAGCTGAAAAGAGAAAAGAGTATTATCTCACTTTACCGTCACTGGTACTTGAACGCCTCGCAGCAACATCATGGTCGCTTGAAAAACCGTGCGTGTGCCTGAGCAAGAAACAAGACCAACCATTTCGAACGAGCGACTACTCCAGTAGCTCTAGCTGGGAACTGGGAAGCTACAAGCGCGAATCTGATGGCCCCTTGCATTGCACCTTGCCGCCCTGAATAAGAGAAGTTCCTCATCCCTCCCTCCCTTCACAGTTCACAACAACCGAACAAACCAGACACCAGACCAATCAACCATGGTCGACACTCTAGGAAACAACAATCTATCCCTCTGGCAAGCCCGCGAGAGGCTTACGCTCCTCTTTCACTTTCCTCACTGGACCCATTTGACCAAGACAAGCCCCAATTCGGAGCAAGATGGAATGAGCGTTGAAGCGTTGTCAATTCTCAAACATTTCCCGACTCTCGCAGCTGAGCCAATTGAACATCACTGCATTTTGAGAGACTCAGAGCGAAGGTACCCCTTGGAATTTTTTGTTCAGGCTGGATTTGACCTGGCCACGGTCAAGCAGGTTTACGAGCTGTACCCAGGTGCAATACACGGTTGTCAGGGGTCATCCCCAACGGCGACCACTCTTCCTCTGCTCCACAAAGTTTGCATCGCCAACACAGCTAGGGAAGATGTCATTCAGTTTTTGGCGCTTGAGGATCCAGATGCCGTGCGGGAGTGCTGCCGTCCCGCTGCCCTGCTGCAAGCCTTGCTCAAGCCAAAGTTCGACAGAGCCCCTCCTTCCTGGAGTTTGATTCAGAGCCTTCTTCACGAGTACCCGGAGTGCGGGTCGACACGAAACGAAGCTTCCGGCTTTCTACTCTTGGAGGAACTCTTTCGTGTGGGATATGAGCCAAAGGAACTACAAACTGTAGTTTCCATGCTTTCCAGCAAAGTGGATGCATTCACAGTCAGCACAGATCTTTCTTCAACACGGGGTCAAATGACTCTGGAACGAGTCAAGGTTGTGCAGCAACTGTTACCAAACCTAAGGACCATATCCTTTCAGCAGCTCCAGTGGACATTCGATGGATTTCACGAGCTCTTGCGGTCTCTTTCACACCATCTGTCTATGTCTTCGTCCCTCCAGGAGATCGAAGAGTGGGTGCTTCCAAGGGAAATCTTGGAAGGTTCCCTGTCCGCACGCCTGCTGTTGAAGGAAGTGTTGGTTCAAAACGCTTCCATCACCGCCATTTCATTCAGCGGCCCCGTCTGGACTTACAAGGACGGCGACAGGTTGTTGTTGGACATCAGTGACAGCATTGCCAAGTGCAAAGTCGAGAAACTCCAGTCACTGACTCTCCAACGCTTCCAGTGTACTTCAGAAACGCTTGACAAGATAGTCTCCAGCCCCTGCGCCCCTCGCAACATCACTCTGAGCAACCTTGAAGTAACCGAACCCGCCAGTGCACTCTCGAGGAGGAATGTTTGCTGGCAGCAATCTTCCGTAGAGCGACTCACCCTGGATTGGCTCGAGGCGTCGGACTCTTGCCTCCACAAACTGCTTTCCAATCTTGCTCGAATGCCACAATTGAGGGAACTGGAAATCAGTCCTCTGCCAAACCAGTCCAAGCTGGACATTACTACACCAATCGTAACCCTCTTGCAGCAAGGCTACCTTCAAGTCTTGCGCGTGGAAAGGCCCTATGGAGCCCGTAAAAAGTTTGCTTCGAGTGTTCGAAGGTGCAACTTGTGGGTCGACCCGGCGGCCCTGTGCCGGGAACTCGAAACGAATGGATCGTTGAAAGAACTCGTGGTTGCCTCTGCCTTTGACCGAAAGAGTCAGACTGCATTAGGGAACCTCCTCAAGACCAACACGCGCCTGGAGAAGGTTTGGATCCAGGGACCGGTTGTGGACAAGCATCAAAAACACATTATTGAGTACTACACATCCTTGAACAGAAATGGTCGTATCGTTGTTCGACGCAACGACGCTTCGAAGCTTGATTTGGTTCGTCTCCTGGCAGAGGGAAGAACCCAAGAGTCTGCCAGACATGAAGGAGATCATCAAGATGAAGATGGAGTCCTGCTGGAACTCTTCAATGTTTACTATGGCCTCTTGCGCGAATCACCTAATCTTTGGTGCTTGAGACAGTCAGCCCTGTCCAATGGGCCCACGACGAGAAAACGATTGTTTGCCGAAATCTAAAGGCGAATGCTGATGATGATGGAACAAAGATGACAGTTCACTGGTTCTTGGTAGCTACATACATATATACCTTGGCTTTCTTTATAACCTTGTTTTACATACAGAGTGTTTGCTGCAAGTGTTTCTAGTTTATGCTCCACTACTACCTGTAGCCACCTGAAGTCGAATCACTGATGCCTACTTCAAACATACTATCATGTCATGTACAGTGATCCACCTGTCGCCGCTGCTGCCAGCATTAATCGTTGGCTACTTGACTTTCCATCCAAAAAGAGATCATCCACTTGCTGCACATCCGCCACGGTGATTTTGGATCGACCATGAGTTTCAGCCACAATATGAGCCGGTGTGAGTAATTGCACCGCATAACGCAAGGATGTCGTGACACCCCGTTCTGCCAAATGTTGCAAGGCATCGTCATCAATGACCAATTGTTCCGTCGATGCTCGAATGGCCAATATTTGTGCCATTTCGTCCTTTTCGTATGGATACGTGGGTACAATGAGCAATCGGTCCAACAAATCCACGGGTATCCCATGAGGACTCTTGGTTTCGGGAGCTCCTCGAATGGGCGTCACCCCGCGGTTGGTGGCCAGTACCACAATCGGACTCAGATCACTTTCCAGTGCTCTATTGAGGTATGTAAAGCATTCCATGTCGAGCATGTGGACCTTTAGAAACATGCATCATTATTGTGAGGTTGACTTTTTACAGCTGCCCAACAACAAAGAAAGGTGGTCCACTTTTCAGATTCTTACCTCATCAATAAACAGCACACCCGGAACCAATTCTGCAACTCCCTGATCCATATACCGATTGACCACTTTGTTGATTTCTTGTCGTAGTTTGTCGGTAATTTCCGTCTTTTTTGGTTTCCCCATGCTGGCTAGCACGCTCATGACATCACGACTGCCGGAAGACTGAGGTTGCGCATTGGCCGCATCGAGATCATGGAGAGTGACATCTTGCACCACTTGCTTTTTCTTGTGTACATCTCCCTTGGGAAGCGGGACATAGTCTTCCGCCTCTAAATCGAATTCCGTGGCAAAACTATCACTCCGTCCGACCCGTTTGACAGCTCCACTGTTGGCTTCGATATAAATGATATCTCCCACCGTGACCGATTCCTTGGCCAAACTGTCGTAGATTGTAGGATCCAATTTGAGCGTCTTTGTTCCTTTTGCCGTTTTTAATCCCAGAATCACATGACTAATGGTTTTTCCAATCCCCGACGCCGCCAAGGGATCGTTGGTTTCTTCCACGGTGAGTTCCGTGACTTCTCCCTCGTAAACTTCCTTTTCTTCTCGAATGCGCAGACCAATCGCCTTTCGAAAATGTTCCATTAACACTTCTGTTTTCTTGACTTCTTTGCTGTACACTTGCGAGGCTACCATGGGACAAAAGGGATGTGGCGTGTGCTGACTGTCATTGCGACCCAATTCTTGTGCCATGGCCATGGCCAAGGCGGTTTTCCCCGTGCCCGGTGGTCCCACTAACAACAACGCTCGTCCAGCCAATTGTTGCATGGCCACCAAATCCACCACCAATCCACAGGCTTGGCGTGCCAACACTTGGCCCGTTAACCCGCATGAATTCACTCCGGGATCCACTTCCCCTTCGTCATTTAATCCCAAGCCGTGAATATGAGTGTGAACCGATATCCGATGGCTGGCTGCTACCGACGAAGTTGGTTTACTTGTGCTGCTGCTTTCTGCTTCAGTAGTGGACATGGTGAATGAAATGAATGGAATCGGAAGTGCTGGTGTACGCGATGTATATTTTTCAGTTACAATGCTTGGAACTCATTCAACAAAATGGAGGTCTGCTGTTTTTGGTCGAAGTCCCGAAGATCGAAAGATCCAATGGTTCTCGTGTGGTTTCGCTGAGCTGGCTAAGACATACTTGTATGAGCCAGCTGGGCGGCTTAATTTCTGCAAGGGTGAAGGTGCTTTTGGGTTCGTGGTGTAGATGTATTATAGCTTCAGTGCAGAATTGAGTTGCATCCAATTGGTGATCTCCAAGTAGATACTAGTAGATAGATATGCTGCTGAGAATGAGTGAAATGCACATGGACGTAAAAAAGGAAATCGTGCATTTTAATAATGTAGACTAGTCCAACGTGTGGCAATCGTAACCAAGCAGCTACTGCAAATGCCCAACTCCCTCCAACAACCGTTTGGCTTCTTGGGGTCCCACAGACTCGACAAATCCATCCAGCCACTGTGGAACGGTATTGCCTTCCCAGAAGGTATTGTGGATGGTGTCTTGATGCAGACGTTCTTCCCGGATCAATTGGGTTGTTGCGGTAATGTCGTCCAGCTCGTCTGGATTCTTCTTCGTCTTGGTGTCGCCATACTTCAATCGCTCCGTGGTACCGGCATAATGATGCACCACAAACATATTGTCACGTTCATGAATGACTTGAATGGGGCAAATGTCGTAGCGGGGAATCGGTCGATGCGAATCCACCTTCCAATGAAGGAAGGACACTGGAATGCGACTCAGATCCAACAGGTGCGTGCGCACTTTGGGCTTGTTTTGCTCGTGCAGCTCGTGGCCCCAGTACTGCCATCGCAAGGTCAAAAAGTCTTGACGTTGCATAGTAGAAGAAGATGATGAATTCCAAAAGGATGCAAATGCGGATGAGCGGTTGTTGTTCAAGTCGTTCTTCAAGCTGTTGGCATCTTTCCGTTCGTAGGTTCCAAACTGTTTGGATGTGAGAGGGATGCATGGTTGCTTCAAAAGGACGTTGTGAGGAGAAGTACGGGCGGCAATGGAAGCGTAGGGTTGTGTACGTTGCAACCATTTCAATACCGACCCAGATTCATTCTGAGATGGAATGGTCAAAGGGATGATGTCATTGGTGGAGTTGTTTTTGTCGTCGTTTTTGTTGCTGGTGCTGTCGTGGCTTTCCATATCGTCGTCTTCAACGATTCTGGTTCCTGTATGGATAATACTGGCTCGATCGTGCAATGGATCGGTGGTATTCCGGACACGAGGATTAATCAATGCATACTCATCGGTATGGCTGAGGATGGTCCAGGAGAGTCCTTCTCGTTTCAGAGTTCGTAAGCACATCCCCAAAAAGACTTTCTGTCGTTGATTGCGGGCATGCAGCTTGTCGTGCAAATCTTGGTCTTGCTGATAGTCATCGTAGAAGTGCTGCTTCTTGCGATCGGGATGTCTGACAGGATAAATCTGTTGGGGCCGATCCCAGACGGTGATATCCATCTTCTCGTGCCATCGTGAAAGGATTGATTCGGGGGAAGTTTCCGAGAGTGGGTCCTTCCAGACAATTAAACGTCGAAGCGGCAACACATGCCAATGATACGCGAGCCATTCCGTGAGATACTGATTCTCGTGTTCGTTCTGGAGAATCAGACAGGCCGAAAAGGTCTTCTCGATGTGCCGTGTTGCCAGTGCATTGTCACGAGTATTGCCATTTGTTTCGAGCTGCATCTCCTCGTTGGCTTGTTCCACGACACGGTCAAGGGCATCTCTCTCCGTCTCAAAAAGCACAAAGAGTCCCAGTCCAACCAGGAGAAATCTCGCCATAATCGAAGCACAACCGACCCACCGGGAACAGCACGATCGTGTAGCACCCCGCAGCGGCTTGTAGTGCTTCGTGGAGTGACGTTGGATCTTCATGGTCAACTATCTATTATGGTGAGAAAGGGCAGAGTGACTCTGATCTGTCTGTCTATCTGAAAATGATGAGTTGTGAGCAACAAATTGCACATAACTTTCATGAAACTTTCACATCCTCAGGCTATCCACCCGTACTGTACCGGTATCTTCTCGTTGGGATCTTTCCGCCAATGACTTTTCGTATCAACTAGCTACAATACCGTTACTAGCTAGCTAGTAGTACTACTCCAAAAACGTAAAATATTATTGGTGTGCCAGAGTACAACCCTGATCGTACTACCGGTAGATTTAAACCTTGAGTTGAATAAATGACGCCCAAACATTAAATCTTTGGAGATGGCATCAGTCCAAGCATTATTGCTTACTGGTAGGGTTCCTGGTAGCCTCGTCACTCGACTCGACTCCGGCGACGAGTGACGAGTCAGTCAGTCATGCTTCTGATACTAGTAACAACAAAAAAAGGGGGGGATTAGAGTAGGGAAATTATCTACGGAAGCCAGCCGGGGCCAGGCTTAAGCAAAGAACAGTCGAAATTCAGGACTAGGTTCTGTGGGATCAGGGGCAAGAAATTGAGGACCAGTACGGGGGCCAAATGGTTTGGCTTTGCGAGATCCACGGAGACATAAAAAGTGGTGGCGGCAGCTGCATCGCAGCAACAAGAGCAAGAGCATCCCAAATCCCAAGTGAGGACTCAACAACAAGAGATCGATTGACCACCCAAGCAGCAGGTTCAGTTGGAGTATTAGTACAGTACTCCAAGGGCAACTAACGCTCGCGCTCCCATGGTCAAACTCGTCCTGGTTGCGATGTCAACAAGACCCAAGCTCAAATGTCTCACCTGATACCAACTTTGTTGGTACAGTGCGCCACCTCTAGCGCTCTAGTTAGTAGCCAGCTAGCTAGCGGCCTATCAAAAGGGTACTCTGACGCGATGACCTGGCTAGTACCGGTAGCGCCGTTAGTGGGAGAATGTTTTGTCGAAAAGGAGGCCGACCGAGCCAAATACCGGTACATCGTTCTCTGTCTCAAGATCCAGCAACAAGCAGGGCAACTGGCGTGATCGCACCAACACGGGACCTCACCGACTTTTGTAGGACGGGATTCCTCCTCGAGCTGTCCTCCCATCGACACGACAATGAAATCGCTAGTTCTACCTTCCGGTTCATAATTTTCCCCTCTCCCTCTACCGGTGGAGAAGCACTTCTTGGAGCAGATCTCCCTTACCAGGCCACTCAACCAATACACACAACATGGGCAGTTTGAACAGAATCGTCATCTTCCTCGGGCTAGCGCTAACATCTCCAGCGTCAATATCGGCATCTGCATGCTCCAGTAACCCTTGCGATCCCAACGCAATTTGTTCAGTAATAGAACCTTCCTCTCAGTAGCATTCGAAGTGCTACTGGTGCTACTGGGAAAGTGGAATTCTGGATACCGCCTGGCTCAAGGGTTCTCCTATGTTTTGTGTGACAGTGTGCTTCACGTTTCCTCAAGGGATTTCCGCATGGGTGCTTACGCGATAGCCAACGAGGCCTGAGAGGCTGATTGTTCACGACTTCTAGCTGGGTAACCCGGAACGGAATGAAGTCCGTCCTATCAACTTTCACTCCTCATTTTTACACAATGGATGCAATCAACTCAAGGGACGCAGTCTGCTGTATTGTATTTTCCCTGCATTTAGGTTTTTAAAAAGTACACCATACACATCAGCGTCTAATCCAAGGCTACAGCGGAGAACACCAAGCGCCTCTTCTCGCAAACACGTCGGATTGCCCTGAGGGGCACGCGAAGTGCTTCTTCTTGGTTGGTGCGACCAAGATCAGCGGCACTAATCTCAATGGCTATCGCGTCTTCATCGTCTCCACCTGCACGGTACTCAAGGTAGGTTTCTTCGGGAACGGACGTAGCAGGATCCCCAGCCCGGAATCGGTAGACATCAAACCCAGCAAGGGGTGCGTTCCGATCTAGGACAGTCGGGAAGGCCGTTCCTTTAGCCGGTATGGCCTTGATAAGGAATCCAAGTTTGACTACCCCAAGATCTTGGATGTGGTCTGTCATCTGTTTTTTGAGCTTCCATATTTCTGTTTGAAGGTCATTTGTCCAACTGAATTCAATTATGACGTGCGGATTCATAGAATTTTCGCCAGGTAAACCGTCAACCGGAATGAACCGTGGATCACAATCTTCATCCAGACGACTGGGACCCCAGATGCTTATATCGGGGTGCTTGAGCTTGCCCTTCTTCTTGTCAATGAGGAGAGGAATGTCCGCTTGAGCGAGCAGGGGATCTTCCGTCTTACTACACGCGTTGACAATCTTAAGAAGCTTCTGAAGAACATCCTGATGAAAAATAGTAGGCATCGAATAGATGGCTTTTCCGTCCGCATTAATCACAATGACTTTGTCTGAGTCCTCAAGGGAATGACTCTTGAGATCTTCAAAAAGCTCGTCTTCCGCGCTGAGTGACTTGCTCGATGGATAGGTTTTCGTCTTTATTTCCTCTGGTAAATCCTCCTGCAGCTCTTCCAATGTTAGAGTTGAACATGTAGTTCGATTTGACTCTTCACAAAGCGTGCTCGCGCTGGTCACCGCAGTCGCAGCAGTGTTGTCGCTATTGTCAGACTGCGGCGAATCTCCCTCCTTATAATCTCTCCGTTTCCCTACACGGTTAGGAGTATTGTCAATCATTGATATGGCGCTGCCAGTGTTTCTGCAGGTGTTGCTGCCTTAGTCGTTGTCCTCGTCGTTGTCTTCGTCGTTGTCTTCGTTGTCGCTTTCGTTGTTGTGCCTTCGTTGTTGCTGCCTTCGTGATGCTTACGGGTGTGTATTTGTGGGTGGTGCCAGTGTGCCAGTGTGGCAACCAGTACATTCAATCGTGCGCGCCAGCATATCTTTCTGCAGCGAGCTATTGGCCGGTGAGACTTGTCACGAGTGTCAGGGTCCACGGATGAAACAAAGTGTGCTATGTAGCTACTGACACGCATGCCTGGCTTGTCACGAGTGTCACTGGTGTCGCGCATGCCTTGCATTTAAGTTTGGACCGTTGGATTTGTATGGCCTGGCGTGTGGTTTCGGGTCGGAAAAACAAGATGTCCCTCCGGGGGCGCCAACCCACATATGTATTGTGATGTTCCATACTTGGAGTGCCCAAATCCCCAAACCTTATCTATTCCATTTCAAGAAGACGAAATTTGCACCACAGGAGAGAGGCAACGTGCATACCATAGAATGCCTTCCACGATGACATAGAGTACAGGCCTTCCCTTTTCATAAATCAGGAAGGGAGCGTTGGTGCTGGAGCAGTGAGCCATTCTGGGCTTTTGCTACTTCATGGTGGCTTTGTTGGAGGTGGGTGATAGGTAAATTGCTTTATACTATGGGTCACCGAATGCCCATGCGGCCCGGGCCTGCCTAGCGGCCTTGTGCACTTCTTGGGAGGGAGCTGTGTGAGCCGATTAAACTACTCTAGTCGACTAATATCGACTTGGTTGTGAGGCAGTGTAATCTCCTCTGTTGGGGGCTTGACAAAGGTCTGACCCGCTCTATAAGTGCATCGTCCACAGTTCAAAATCTGACGGCTTCATTGCTGGAAGCGATTCTGGAATCTCTATAGCATTAGTCAAAGACTTGAAGTATCGTCAATGAGTTATACATTGCTCGGAGGAATGGATCAATGCTTTGCTCCACGCAAAAGATGTCCCAAATAACAGTGACGCCGGGTCGGATTGCTTCCTAAACAAGGCTGAGATTAAATCTAAATGCATCGTATTTTAAGGTGACATCTAGTTATTGCCATTCATAAGAAACTGAAGGCGTGTCTGTACGCCAAGCTCTGGAGCACAGCCATTATATAGGTTCACCCAGTCTGGAGCGTTCCTCAATCGTGCATGTCCTTTAAATCCGACCCTAATTTTAGGGTCGGTTTGGGGAAACTCGACCCTAAATCCGACTGATTTAGGGTCGGGTTTCGAAACCCGACCCTAAATCGAAACCCGTCCCTAAATTAGGGAAGTTTTTTCAGAAACCGTCCCTATTTTTCAGAAACCGTCCCTATTTTTAGGGTCGGTTTTCAAACCCGACCCTAATATTGGTGCGTTTTCAATGTATTTACCACTCAGTCCCGCTTCCATTTAGGGACGTTTTTCAAACCCGACCCTAAATCGAAACCCGTCCCTAAATTAGGGACGTTTTTTCAGAAACCGTCCCTATTTTTCAGAAACCGTCCCTATTTTTAGGGTTTGAGTTCGACTCATGACTGAGTCTTTCGTGAATAGTCACTGAGACAGGGTTCTCATGACCGCTAGTCATACTAGGTCGATGGTGAAACATCGCGCTAGATATTTAGCTGGCGTGGAGAGATTCCACGCTACTAGATAAATGCTAGACGAATCTTCCACGCGTTCCGTTTTTGGATCGTGGAGTGAGTAGGATTGCTACCGCAACCTACTCTATCACACTCTACAGTCTCCCGCGGGAGTTCAGATCTACGATCCTTTGATTGTGATCTCTCTCGTTGATTAGTTTTCATAGCTTTCTAATCCTCTCATAACTTTCATTCTCTCAAACTCAAAACACTCGAAAGATCTTTACACTAGCTTTTAGCGTAGTGCAATACCATCTTCAAACGACCCCTGGAGGAACAGATGGCCAAAGGGCCGGGAGATATCAAAGCATGGCTGGCCAATTGGCTTCCAGTTGTGGACAAAGCAATGAGGGATGAGCATGCACGCGAGCAGCCTTCCCAATCAGGGTAACTATGCGCCGATGTGGGATTCCCATAGCAATAGCAGGCGATTTAGCCTAGCCTAGATAGTTAGTCGTACAGCACCCTCCGGAGTTTTGTTCAATTTCTCCGGTGGGGGGCTTACACTAGGCCCATCCTAAGTGGGCGCCCTCATGCGCCTGAGGTATATGGGTTCGTCACGGCACCGTTCAGCGGATCGTCTGACGAGGTGTAGCCTTTTAAAACCGAGTTGGATGAAGTCGTCTACGAAAACATCAATTCGTCCAATGGGTTGAAGTAGAGGTTGGTTGGACGGTCCCGCGAAGTGGTCTGATTTGGGCAGCAGGGGCAAAGTCGCGATGTTGAGGAGCTCTTGTGTTGCTTCCTGGTCGTCCGGTTCCCTGAGTCAAGGAATGGTGGAAGCGCCCAAGTCATCCAATTTGGCAGTGTGCGATTCCAGTCTGTGGGGAGGATAAGCTCGAGAGGACTTTTGGAAGCATTCATTAGCTCCGTCGCAGAGAGTATCTGACATCCCTTTGAAAGTGGGCAGTGACTGGACCCATCCCATACATCTAAGAAGCACAATTTTAGGTAGTTGTTGAATCATCATGTATGGATGTTCCCATACTTAACCTTTTGGTTGAGAATCCGCAACCAAATTTCTTCTGGATTTGAGCCATTTCTTGTAATCTGGACTGCAGATTCTCTATTGGTACCCTCCATGGCACTGGATTGACAACATACCCTTCTGCTCAATCTGGAACTGTCCTTTTTGACTCTCTTTTTTGTATCTCCTACCCACAAGCACACAACCTGTTAGTTCCCTGTTTGGTACCAAAACAGCTTCCCAATCCACGAGGAAAGGTTCCCAGAACACCGTGTGTGGAAGTGGCATTGGAGAGTACTGCTTTTCCACAGTAAAGGATTCAAACAGACTTTACCAAACAGAATTCTTATCGCTTCTCTCTTTCAAAAAGCACTTGCACGCTTCGTGAGCACTGATGGCTCCACTTTCGAAAAGCACAAGCCTTCGGCACACCACACCACAGCACGACGATGGTGGAGGAGCGGCCGATCGCTACTACTACTACTACTATTACGGGTAAGTCTATTATCAAGTGTATTATTGAAGGCGCAGTACTGACTTCTCTCCCTCATTGAATTCCTATGGTAAACAGGAGAGAAATATCAGCTTGACCGACAACAATGGTGAGTGCTTTATCCTCCAATCGGCCTTGTTGAATCGATCGATCGAATCGAGGTAAGCCTATCTATTATCAAGAGTGTTTGTTGAAGGTGTAGATTTGAAAGCCATCTCTCATTCATTTCTATGTACCACGGGCAGGCAGGCAGTTCTCGGCCGTCAGCAGGTGAGTTGGCATTTAATTATTCGAATCGATCGATCGCACCTCTGCTTACCAAGCCTCACTCAACCCGACCTTCTCCGGTGCAGAAGCGAAAGCCATCCCTCATTGAATCCTATGGACCATGGGATGGCAGTCAGTTCTCGGCCCATGACGGCCAAGTTGGTGGAATTTGAAGAACAAGGGTAAGTCGCCGGTTTTCTTCAGTTGAGCACAGAAAACAAAACTCATATCTATTTGTTATTTTCTCTGCTGCACTGCTGACGGCCGATGAACTACCATTGTCGAGTCCTTTCGGTCGAACGAATAAACGATCGCTCGGGATAACAAGAGGAGAGGCTATGGCTACGGAGGAGGCTCTGTTAACTCCAGCCCTACCACCAGCATGAACGGAGGATCGTCGTCGAGTCATTGAATGGCAACAAGAGGAGGCTACACGACACACTCCTACGCACAGAGGAGAGTGGATCCTCCTATCGGATTCATCCCTCCAGTGTTATTTCCTAGTGTTTTGGTGGTGACTCCTGTGTCGGTATCCATTTTCCTGTATGCACAAGTCCTGGAGCAAACGACTTGGTGGATTTGGCTAAAACGATGAGGGAATTTGGCTAAGTCCTCGAGGACTTGGTGATTTACTGGGTGCATGTATTAGATGACTAGATAGAGTAACAGATTAGATAGAAAGCTTATGGATTGGCAACCAAAGAAACCATTAGGAACCTAGCTTTTAGACCTAGACCTTGCTTCCCAATCTGCAACTGAGAGACATTCCCAATCCACAACCATGTGGAGGTTGCCAAAATGGACCTTTCCTTGCCTAATTGGAACCTAGCACTTGGTTGGGAAGATGTGGTTGGGATGTGCTTCCCAAACTAGACCAGAGGTTCCCAATTCAGGAACTACCTACAATTGCGCTTCTTAGATGTAGTGCACAACATAGCCCTGGACGGGCACCAGTTCCATGTGTAATTGCTGACGAGTCGGGGCTTTTGGTCCCTTTCAATCTTGATGGCTGCGGCAGGCAACAGCAGGGAAGGCTCATCCTTGATGAGGTCGAAGAAGGGAAGGACAGCCCAGAACTTGTCCTTGCTGAATTCGGAGAATTCTTCACTGAGGAAGTCAGAATGTTCGGTAGCAGATTTGTGGGTGGTGGCCTCAGCGGATGCATTCCTCCTTCTGACGATTTGGGAAGTAAGTCAGCCGATTGCTTTAATGGCGAAGATGGAAGCAGCGAGGTTGCGTTTGCGTGAGAGGGCAGGAGGTTTGTCATGTGATGAGTGTTTGTGAGCAGGAGTGCTCCTGTTGATTCAGGGAGGCTTCACTGGAGAGACGTCACGGTCAAGGGTTGTAGTAGACCAAACTGCTTGCAAGGCATGGACGCTACCAACATTGGGACATGGGCTTCAATGAGGGTGGCAGTTTCAGGCGTAGAGACACAGCCCTGCAGGTTAGGAACTTCATCATGAAGAAAAAACCATACAACTTTTCTTTGGCACAATGTGCAGTTGTGAGTGGGTAACTTGACATCGGTAGAAGTAATCGCCATGGCATCTTCCAGGGAGATGGAGGCTCCTCTCTCAACATACTCAGCGCGGCAGGCCAAGTCTAGGACAGTCTTCGCTTCCGTATGGCCTTGGCAAACAACAGAAAAAGGTGAGAGACCTTCACCGAGGGCCGTGCCTTGCAACTGTCCATTGATGAAGAAGTACTTCCGAAGGAACACCCTAGTATCGAAAATCTGTCTGATAGCTAGAAGCTTGTTGGCTAAGTTGATGGGTGCCCAGAGCTGACGCTTGTGTGCGTTCGTTAAGCTAAGCTTGCAAGATCCCGTATTCAATTCCTTCTGGGCTTTGGAAAGCATTCGGTGAATCATAGGAAGGTATACATCATCTACCATGTCGCAAGGATTGTGGACACAATCGGCTAAAGTAGCTCCTCCATACTTGTCAGTTGCTCTTTTCACGGTCATAATTCAGCTGGTTCTGGATGCCGGCCTCAAGTGTCTTAGTACAGAGGTTCGTGATTCCGGAATTGAGCGAACATGGCATTCGTGAGACCAGCTCAATGGCTGACAAGTAGGGGCAAGTACACGATTTGTGCTTCGCTGCAAGGCATTTGCGTGAATGGGAACAGCGGCATTGATAGGGTCATTGCTTGTGATAGTATGCCCTCCTCCGGTGGGAGTGCAGTAGGTGCGGAACCACTGAACCATCTTGAAATAGAAGCTTGTCGAGTGGCTTCGACGTGACTAATTTCTGAGGTGAGGATCCCAGCAGCACGGAACTGGGGAAGAAGGCTAAACTGTTCTTTGGGACGAAGGGCAAGGATGCATTCAGAAAGGTAGGGCGGAAGAGGCATGACTCAGAGTACAGGGAAAGTGTCGGTGTCTGGGACGGCTCTTGGCCCTCCTCCATGGGGACCACTGTGAAAGACAGGAGGGACTCCGGCGAACATGGCCCCACTGTCAATGTGAGTCAGGTTGTGACAGGGGGCGTCATTGGAACGTTCAAAGACTGTCATGAGGAGTACCAGTGCTGTGATAGCGCTTCGAACGTCATTCCCAACCACAATAGTGTATCGATTGTTGTACGGCGAGACATGGCTAGGGTTCGTATGATAAGCGTAGAGGGAATGGCCGATGTAATGCTTTCTTCATCACCTTGGAGAACGAAGGCAAAGGTGATGGGAGATCAAGTACAGAGTTGGCTCATGATACGAGAAGCAACGCTGCGATTTGCATTCAAGGCAACTCCTACTACTCTATAATAGCCTCTTGTTTTCAATAGTCTGGGCTAGGAGGGCATTGGGCAAAAAAGGATGGATTCAAATAGCGACAAGGTTTAGCTAAATCCAGCTGGCTATGAGGAAGGCAACAGTTTGGATATCTACACCGACCAGCTCATCTACTTAACAGAATATCTGGTGCTTTTCGAGTGCGGCTAATTCCCCTAGATCACCTGGGTGTTGTAAAAAGCCATGGAGATCCCGGTCTGTTCCCGTCCTGGACCATGACAGCTACACCACCAATTCGCACCATAAAACATGGCAAATTGCTACTCGACATTGATGTGACACCAATGCAAACACATGAAACAAGCCACATTTGATTGTCGCCGACGATTGGAGCAACCGGACGTGGTAGCGCTGCCACAATCCTAGTCTTACCCACACCACCGGTACCCTTCCAAAATTGCGCTATGAGTCACTTCCTTGTTTCATTCACGCAATAATGGTCACAGCCAAAATCACAATGGACCCAGAAAGACAACAACTACCATCTCGGAGGAGCCTAGTTTGGTCACAGCCGGCAACAAGAAAGGCTCACACTACGGCCCACACTACGAGCTATCTTTGTTCAACGACAACAAAGCGGAAGGAAGAACCCGTTTGGATTTCCGACCCTACAGCCATGATCTTTCGATTGCCGACGACCGTGGAACTCTATAGTCAAGAGTGGGGGCTGGGAAATAGACCGGGTAGCTCTGGTGTGGAATCTGGAGGTGTCGGTCCAGTTGTGGATCTAAGTGCGGGGCCTGAAGCGGGTCCGAGTGTTGGGTCAGGTGTTGTTCTTATTGAGATTGCTGTTGTGGAACTTTGTTCATGTTGATTCTGTGTGCAGTGGTTGATTTTCCGTTGCGGTTACCACAGGTGGCTCCTTGCGGAGCACCGTGAAATGACATTGTTTTGTTGGGTATTTCGCTTCACTGCGGTTGCTCACTGGAGTAGTAGCAGCAGCGCAATTCTTGTCATCGAGTTTTGTGCTGACTTGAGTAGTAGCGACGAGGCCGAAATTGTTGTTGTTGGGACTTTTGTCATGGCCGATTGTGAGGACGAGTGTTGCTGGAGTAGTAGTGTCATGGTCATAGTAGGTGTTGACTGCATACATGTATGAGACTAGAGTTGCGTCGTCCATCATGGAATCGTACGGTTCATCACTGAGGAACCTATCAGACCACTTCACTTGGAAATTGTATTCAGCCAAAGAAGGCGTTGATTGTAGTGCTACTAGAAACTGATTGAACACCTCTGCTGACTGAGATGACTCATAAGACAAGAATTGTCATGGCGGCAGCAGAACTCGGCAGAGCTTCTATCAAACCTGCCTTCCAATCAAAGATCGACCGTTGCGAGACCAACTTCCCTAGGTGCCGATGAGACGTGAACCCAGTGGGAAATTTGGTACAACACTTCAGTCAACCTCCTCTCAGAAGAAATGGTCATAAGAAATGGTACAGGTATGATTTTGTTTCTGCCGCTTGATGTTGCCGCTTGATGTTGCCACTTGCTTGCCACTGAGATGATCGCTGCTATTAACCGCAGATGCGATCTAATGCTGCTATCAACCGCTGCTGCTATCAACTGCAGACAACGCTGCCACCACTGCATTGCCTCATCTTGTTGCTGCCAGTTCTGTCTAGGTGATCCGATGCTGCCATCAACCGCAGCAGCGATCCGATGCCGCGATCAACCGCAGACAACGCCGACGACAAGCCAAATTGACTCTGGGATGGAAGAGACAACCAAGGCTACAACAGGATAGTCACTCTCTTCTTGTCTCTTCAACATAACCACCTTCGACACTCTACAACAAGAGGAGCAACCTTGAAGACGAAGGCTGCTTCCAACAAAATTATGTCTCCCCAGCTAATCTCAATTTTGGGGTGACCCTGTAGGTCCCAGTACAATTTCTACCTGGCAAAAATGTTCAACTACTGGCCGCCGTGTTGAGGCAAAATTCTGACAGACCAACCCCAGAGAAGAAGATGGGTTGGCGATTTAAAATGCGTCGAGCTGGACGAAAGAGGCGTGCTTCCGTTATCTTAAAAGTGAGTACGAGAGGTGCCCGGCTCATTTTTCTTGTGCCTGAGGCGGTGACTTTTCGTTCGCTCATGATCGATGGTGGTGGGTGTACAGTGTACATCGTACCGGTACCAGCATGACTGTACCTCCTGAGTAGGATGCCTACCGTACCACTCTCAGTATTTCTCTCAGTTCTGGGATATACTTTTACGGTGCGGTCACCACACTCTGCTCAGACTCAAGAATCATCTATCAAACAATCTCTTGCTGCTTGCTCACCTAACCTGAACACTGCTTGTGCATCGTACACTGAAGGCTTCTGTGTTGCCCATCTCAGATTGTAGATACGAAACCTTTCGTATATTTTTTTGCGGAGGCCGACGAGACACACTTTTTAGTAGGGCCGACCAAAACAAATGAATCCTGCAAAGCGCCCTTCCAACCGCGACATGACATCGCATCCCAACCAGAAAAAAGCAAAAGAATCTTTGACCATGTCTTCATCCAACCACAATCCCTCTATCGGAAGGCACCCTCAGCTGATGGATCAGAAGGAGATTTGGATTCGTATCTTTTCCTTCCTTGGGATGGGACATTACACATTCTTGGTACCTGTCTGTAAGAAAATTAAGGAACTATATGCTGCTTACTGCAATTCCGTGGAAAATCCCCCAAGTGTGCAGCTTGGCAACGGTTCATTCCGTCAAGCAGAAAGCACAGATACGTTCTATGGTGCCGCATTTTGCTCCTTGCCGCGTGTCGAGTACTGGTACAAGAACTACCACTCTCCCAATAGCAACAACAGTAAGCCGCCGTGGGGGTTTTGTACCACGGCTGCTGCTGCTGGCAGTATTGCGGTTATTCAATGGGCCAGGGAAAAGAATGACCCTTGGCATGAATTTACCTGCTCGCGGGCTGCCAGGAATGGCCACCTGGATGTTCTAATGTACCTACATGAGAACGGCTGTCATTGGAACTCAATGACCTGCAGCTTCGCTGCAGAAAATGGTCATTTGGATGTCTTGAAATATGCCCATGAAAATGGCTGTAAATGGAATGTTGACACATGCATCAATGCAGCTGAAAATGGGCATTTGGAATGCCTCAAATATGCACATGAGAATGGCTGTCCATGGAACAAGACAACATGCTCATTTGCTGCCAAAAATGGGCATTTGGAATGCCTCCAATATGCCCATGAAAATGGCTGTCCATGGGATGATGGTACATGCACTGCTGCTGCTGGGAATGGACATTTAGAGGTCCTGAAATATGCTCACCAAAACGGCTGCCCCTGGGGCTCTGACACATGTTCAGAGGCTGCTGCATCTGGGCATTTGGAAGTCCTGAAATATGCACATAAACACGGCTGCCCATGGAATGGTCAAACATGTGCTCTTGCTGCTGGGGCTGACGATGCTTTCCTTGAGGAGGACCTTCAGCCATGGGAGGAGGCCAAAATCAAGCCTACCCACATTCCCCATCGCTTGGACGTGCTCAAGTATCTGCACACAAATGGGTGTCCTTGGAACAAAGAAACCTGTTGTGGGGCTGCGCATATTGGCAACTTGGATGTCCTGAAATATGCCCACGACAATGGCTGTCCATGGGACAAAGAGGCATGTGCTAGTGCTGCAAGACGAAACCATTTGGATGTGTTGAAGTATCTACATGATAATGGCTGCCCTTGGGATGCTGGTACATGCAGGCAGGCTGCTAGGTGTGGCCATTTGGAAATCCTGAAATATGCTCATGAACATGGCTGTCCTTGGGATGAAGGAACATGTCAGGCGGCCGCTTTATGGGATAACTTGGATGTCCTGAAATATGCCCGTGAGAAAGGTTGCCCATGGGATGAAGAGACCCAGGCGATAGCAGGTGAACAGGGATATGTAGAACAAAGGAGGCGAGGAGACTCGGAGGGTAGCTATTGAAAATGGAAAGAGGTTACATGAACCCAAAGCGGGTTGTTGAGGTCGGGTAGGATTTGATGCTCTGTTTTCGGCACACTGCACCCCAGGCCACATCGATAGAAGCACCGAATCTGCGTCTTGTCTCCTAGTAGGCTGTTCTACCTGGTACTGCCGATACTAAGCGGGACGTTATCACTATAATTCAATATCTAGCAAGGTTGCCGAGGAGTCCAATGCTTGCGAATGTTGCATGCGTTTGATACCAGTCGAAACCAAGGCACATATGCTCTACCGTGGGTATGTCATCGACAGATCCTGTAGCCACAGATTGGGGTTGAACTCAGCCTTTCTCTCTGCCAAAGCAGCATCCTGGGGTGATATTGCAGTGGGAGAAGTCGTTTTCAATGCGGCCGCTACGGGTGAAGGTTCGACTTTGATTGCATGGCCCACCATGTTCTGGCAAGACTTTTTCCGACTATCAAGTCTTCCCTTGGTCTCGTCGATCATGCATTCCAGACGTCGCTTGTACCTTTCAATGTGCTCTTGCTTGGAGCCTACATCATTGGAAAATGCGGAATCTTGGTCCATCAAGGTGCAGAGTCTCGTCACAAGAGGTTGGATGCGACCAGACGCTAACGCATTGCCTTCCGCCAAAGCAACATTGTTTGTGCCCGCGTTGGGTGATGGTAACACTGTCTGGCCAAAAGCGGGCGGAAAAAGTTGACCACTCTGATTGAGAGTGGCGACATCCTCCTCCGTCAACTCGAGAGTTTTGGTCGCGGTGGTGGTTGGAGGAGAGGAGAATCGTCGGCTGCGAAACTCTTTGGCGTTCCAAGTGAACCCCAGTTCATCTAATAGTTTCTTCCGATCCGGTCGTACCCCGTTGATTGGATCCTTGTTGTACAAGAGACGATGTGTCGCAACCCACTTGCCCAACTTTTTGTTTTCTCCGTTTTGTGGCACACGGCAGTGCCCTTCTCGTTTGTGGAACTCGACTAGCTGTTTGTACGTCTTTTCCCAGCGCACGTCCTTGAGACTGGGCGGCTGCTCTCCCGATTTGTTCGAAAAGAACTCAATGTCCTCCAAGAGCTTGGCATGTTTGGGGTTCCTGTTGTCTTGTTGTCGTTACTCATTTTCTGTCTCTGTTTCTTGGCCCACTTGGCCAACTTGGTATCGTACGAATAGGGAACTCCGCAATGCTTGTACTGCTTGTGAAATTCGACCAACTTGGCGTAGTTTTCCATCCACAACGCCTCACTTTTGGCGTTGCCTTCCTTGACTTTGGGCTCTGCAGCCGGTAGAGTAGTGACTTCCGGGACCACATCGACGTCCGGGGTCGTAGCGCCGTCCGCTTCCACCGCAGCAGCTGCCACGACCGATTCATCATCATCTTCCTCATTATTGACATCGAGCTCGTCTTCTTCCTCCTCCTCCATGTCCTCATCTTCATCGGATTCCGTCGCCGAACTGTCTGCCTTTGTCGCCACCACATCGGCTGCATCGTTCGTCGTCGTACCACTGCTGGCGGCCGTATAAAAGTGTTTGCCCTTGTATCCCTTGGCATCCCACGTAAACTTGACATCGTTGAGTCGTTTCAATCGATCGGGACGAATCCCATTCATGGGATCCTTGGTATGCAATGCCCGCTGCGTGGCGACCCATCTCCCCAACTTGCGGTGCGGTCCTGTTTGTGGTACTCGACAATGTCCAAAATCTCGTTTGAACGCGAGTAGATTCTCATACTGCTGTTCCCAGCGCACATCGTAACTGGGCATATCCGTGGTAGCATTCCAAATGAATCCGACCTCGTTGAGCAATTTGACTCGATCGGGTCGCACGCCGTGTTCGGCATCTCGTTTGTACATGACTCTCAAATTGTTGACCCAACCACCGAGTGTCTTGTAGCGTTTGTTTTGCGGTACGCGACAGTGTCCGTGTTCGTTTTTGAACGCTAGCAAGTCTTGGTATTGTTTCATGAATCGTTCATCTCGAGACGGACAATTGCTGGCGGCTTGACTGGCGAGGGAGGGTCGTCGGACTTGTGGTTTAATGGATGGATTGATGGGGAGGGATAACATGCGTCGTGCCGTCTTTTTCTTTGGGAGCGAAGGTCGTCGCATCTTTTTGAGGAGTAAGGACGAGTTTCGTCGAAAGAGTGTCTTTGGTTTGGTATCTTCTTCCTCCTCTTCTTCGTCGTCGTCATCATCATTATCGTTGTCACTGTCCGTGTCATCATCTTTCGATTCTGCCGTGCTATCATGTTTGGATTTCTGGTCTTCGTCGTCTTCCTCGTCATCATCCTCGTCCTTGGCTCCTTCATCATTGTCATCGGTGGTGGTCGAGCCCAATTCCTCGTCTTCATCCTCTTGGGTATCCGACTTGGCGGATGATAATTCCTTGGCAGCAGCAACAGATGCAGCTGGACTATCCTCGTCTTGCTTTTTTAAAGTTTCTTCTGGTTTGGATGATTCTGATTTGGATGATGGATTGTTGTTGTCGCTCTCCTTGGCTTCTTCTTCTTTTTCTTCTGCTTCTTTCATAGTAGTGTCAATGTTGTCATGATCTCTGCTCGTCTTATCATCTGTCTTATCATCTGTCTTATCATCCGTATTGTTGTCAGCGTTGTTGTCTTTGTCTTTGTCGTTGTTATCCAACGTGGGTCCCTTCCAATCAAATCCCAATTCTTCCAATAGTTCGACACACTCTTGCGAAATGGCATGTTCGGGATCTTCCTTGTAAGTATTCCGCAACGTCGTCACCCATGCTCCCAGCGCATGCGATTCGACGGGAATATCGCAGTGTCCGTGTTCGACATGAAAATCCACCAACTTGTTGTATTGTTGATCAAATTCTTCGGTATACTGAATGGTGGCTCCATCGTCTTCTTCTTCTTCCATTTCTTCAGCATCATTATCAGTTGCTGACTGCTGTGACAATTGCAATCCAATTTCTTCCAATTGTTTTTGTCTGGCGCCCGACAATTGTCCCTTGTGATATTTGCCCATTTGCTCTCTTACAAAATCCGCCAATTCGATATCGTCGCTACAACTAATATCGCCGTCATGGGAGTCGCGATACGCCACAATCCGTCCCAACATTTCATTCCATTGTTTGTTGCGCATCCGTACCGACCATGTAAAACCAAGGTCGTTGAGGCGTTGGCGTTGTTCCGTCGTCAATTTGGCCTTCTTGGAGCGTTGATGATTGACCCAGCCGCCCAATGCCAAGTCGTCGTGGTGATTGTGAATCGGCACGAGACAATCGCCATGACGATCTTTGTATCGTTTCAAGGCTTCAAAGGATTCTTCCCATGTGCGTTTGCGAATCTTGATTCCAAAGGATGACATGATGATTGATAGTGATGAATACTGATACTGATAATGATGCTGATACTGACAGATAATGAAAATTGTGTGGAACTGGTTCACTCTATAGCAGTAAGGATACCACAGATAGATACGATCGATTAGCTAACTAGATAGAATTAGATAACAACAACACGAAGACTAAAAGGAGGAGTGACAGCCAGTCATCTGGAACGAAAAGCCGTTGGGGGGCTCTTAACCGTATCTTTAGTACGTAAGTAGAATTTCTACCAGATGGATTGGCGACCGCGCCAATCCATCAAATCTTTCTTTTCTGATTGGAACTGCATGCACTGCGAACTTGTTGTTGTTTGTTGTTGTCCTTGCTTGGGGTTCATGAGTGGTGACAGTGGCAGCTGCAGGGGACAGATGGGGAGAAGTGTGCGGCTTGTGAGAGTTAAGTAATGACGCGTTAGTAGGGAATAAAGTGGGTCCTGTCAATGCCCTGTACCGGCAAAGCTGCGAAGAGCTTGAGAGCCCAGGTCACGGGCCCCATCACAGACCGCAACTATTGTCACATCTGGTGTCTCGGCCCATGGCGCCTGCGGCTGTAGGTACCGGTATCATCGGTGTATTCTCTCAAGAGGTGCGGTCGGAGGCCCATCTTGCCTGCCGCCAAGGTGCGCTGGAATGAAATACTGGACCGTCCGACGGTTTTCACTCAGGATTTATAAAACTTCCACGACTGACAAAAACTTGACCAGCACAATTAAGGGATTGTTTCTTTTAAGGGATTGTTTAGGGGATAGTCAAAGATTTAAGGGATTGTTGTTAAGGGATTGTTTATTTAAGGGATTGTTTAGGGGATAGTTGAAGAAATAGGGGATAGTTGTATGGTATGTCCATTTGGCGTTAAGGGATTGTTTAGGGGATAGTCCAAAATTTAAGGGATTGTTTTAAGGGATTGTTTCTTTAAGGGATTGTTTAAGTGATAGTTGATAAGTTAAGGGATTGTTTAAGGGATTGTTTTAAACGGTCATTCAGTCGTGGCAATTTCAAGATTTTTTAAATCCTGTGTGAAAACCGTCGGACGGTCCAGTAGCTTTCGAAGAGGCCTGACAAACAATGTGCGGCCTCGCTCCAAGTCAACATAGCTAAGTGCCGCACGGCACGAATCAGTAAAATAACAATGCTAGAATAGCTAGCTAGATTGATTAAGCATTTGATGATTGAAGTTGTTGGACTGTCCTCATCAGCACGAAGCTGTCACAAGCAAAGAACAACAAAAAGGGGAACAAATAGATTGCAACTACTGTAGTTCAGCCAGCGACCAGCCCGGAAACACTGTAGACCTTCCGTTTCTTCCTCGTCGTCACTCATACCACCACCGGTATGGCTGGCTGATCCAGCTGCTGATCCCTTGCTTTGGCCGGTGGTGAGCCAAGCAACGAAAAGGAATGCTTATCCAGCCAGCCAAAAGTGACTACTGGAGTACGGTATATGGAGCATGTCATCTAGGTCCTTTTGACTAGCACCACCAACCACCAACCACCGGCACTACGTTTCGTCCTTCCTTGCTTCTCCAGCCCAATGCCAATGCCATGTGGCTGGATACAGCACTTACTTGTTCTGCTGTTACAGTGATGTATTCATGTACTCCAGTATTCAACAACATACTTGAACAAGGCTTTCACCAAACCATAGCCGTCGCTTGTCCTCCAGTCAAACAAACAAACTATGCAACTAGCAATAATTCAATGGGCTGCATTCGTTCACCCCGAACCGTTGCATAGGCTACATTTCACCCCTAGAGAACCCATTGCTACGTTGCTACACTACGAACCCCTTTCTGGTGCTTTGCAGGCCTGCAGGTGACAGCATATCACAGTCCTCGAGGCAGGCGGGTTGAAGCAAGCATCACTGCCATAAGTTAGGTGTGTGTAGTTCGTTGTCCCGTTTCTTGGCAATTGCCTGGCATCGGTACCGGGGTCAAGACCCAAGCGAAGAAACTACAAGAGTATCCCAATCAACTCTTGTGCATCCCGCTGACATTATAACATTATTGTTGCCTCGCTAGTAGCTAGCTAGGTAGCTACTGTAGATTGCTTGCCAGCTGGCCTCAGGGGCAGCACGACAGACAGTCTGTCTGTCTCAGGAGACAGAGTAGCTGACAGAGTACTTATTGCTCCTTTTGGCTCGCCTAGCTAGCTCACCGCCCCATCAAGCTCCCCATCATCATTAGTCTACTAGCTACTAGACTCGCCAGTAGATTACAGTACTCCGCCCGGTACCGGTATCACCATCTGCGTCCTCCACCGTCTGAGCAGACATCCGCTTGCCGCAGCCAAACTGTGTGTAAAAAGTGGACTCAAAAAAGGCTCCCGTTCTGCGGTACTGGCGCTACGACTAGCCAGGAATGGAAAGGAGAAGCCAATCAACCAGTCCAACAAAACGGGTCACTTCTCCTCTTGTAAGAGAACAATGGATTTAACAATCAAACGCAACTTGGTCAAGCTTCCCAGCGAATTAATGTCTTTGTTGGTTCGAAAGTGTTCCTGTGACGGTGTCTCTGGTTCAATGAGCTTTCAACAGGGTGTTAATGATGAATAACAGTACAGCTATTATTTCACCGAAGAAAAATGGGGACAACAGTATGACACGTACTGTACATGGTAGCTGGTGGTAAAACAGCTGTGGCAACCATTCATCGACCATCACTATTCCCGTTTTGGGGCTTCCCCAGAGAAAAGACTTCAGGACCCAGTGGCGATCACAACAATCGTCCCATAAATTTACTTTCAACATTCACCTCAACACAAAACCTAACAACTACGCTACTCACTACTAGAATAACACCATGACAGCCGAAGTTGGTACTATCAATACCCCTGCCAATGGCGCTCTGCCAGGCTTGGCGAGGAATAATTCGATCGATCCCAGCACTCTGGGTCGACCGGCCCGTCGCATGCGGGCAGGGAAACGGCAAGGTGTACTGAACGACTCGGGGCTCACGGCAGGTTCCACCGGCACGGACAGTGCCTCCAGTTTTGGTTCCAAGTGGGAGAGTGTCAAGTTTAGTGCCAATAACTTTGTGACGGCCAAAACGGGTATCCTCGAAGATTTCTACGATCTGGGTGACTTGTTGGGAGAAGGAGGCTTTGGCGAAGTCTATGCCTGTACCCACCTCGAAACTGGAGAAGAACGAGCCGTCAAGATTATGGAAAAGTCACAAAGCAAGCCATCAGTCAACGAAGCCATTGTCCAGGAATACAATATCCTCAAGGATTTGGATCATCCAAAGTAAGTACAACCTGACGAATCTGGCTGGGTAGCAGTATATACCTTTTGCCACCAACACATCTAACCAATCGTTTGCTACCTACCTTGTTCTGATTGATTATCCATCTTATCAACAGTATTCTCAAGGTCTACGAAATGTACGAGACCAAGAACTACTTTTTCATTGTCACAGATTTGTATTCCGGCGGAGACTTGTTTTCGGAACTGGAAGACAATGGATGTCTGGGTGAAGTAGAGGCGTCGACACTCATGAATGCCATGCTCAGTTGCATGAACTACTGCCACAAACGCAATCTGGTACACTTGGATCTCAAACCCGAAAAGTAAGTACAGTACCGTAATATGGCAACCTGGGTAGCGGTATCTGCCGTTTGCAACCAACGAATCGCATCTAACCAATCGCATCGTATGCTACCTACCTTGTTCTGATTATCTATCTATCTTATCGACGACAGTGTCCTGATTGCCCGAGCCGACAAACCAAACTTTAGCGACGTGAAAATCATCGATTTTGGACTGGCGCAGTTCCAGGAAGACAAGAACAAGAAAATGACTGGACTCGAGGGAAGTTCCTACTACATGTCACCGCAAGTCGTTGGTCGATCTTACGACGGATGCAAAGCCGATGTTTGGTCTTGTGGTGTCATGGTACACGTCTTGATGACAGGATATGCCCCCTTTGATGGGCCAGCGTACAACGATATCCTCAAGGCCATTACCAAAGGAACGTTCGACTTTGAGGATCCAGAATGGGACGGTGTTTCGGACGAATGCTTGAGTTTCATTCGATTCTGTTTGACATACGATGAAGAGGAGAGGCCATCGGCAGAACAGGCATTGCAACATCCCTTTCTTCGAAAAACTCGCAATCGTACTAGCATGTGCGATATCAAGAGTCGTTTGAGTGCTAGACGATCCCTCAAGCATCTGGGACAATTCTGCACCCGACATTCCAAGCTCAAGCAGGCTTCTTGTGCCATCATGGCATCGCAATTGCTCAGTCAGGAAGAAAAGGACCAAATCGATAGCGTGTTTCGTAGTCTGGATGCAGGTTGCGATGGGCAGTTGTGTAAGGATGATCTGAGACGGAGCTACAAGGAGTTTTATGACACGGAAGTTCCCGACAAGGAAGTCGACGCAATCTTTGAACAAGTCAACTTCTCGGCCACAGGCACCATCTCGTACTCCGAATTTGCCATTGCCACCATGATGGCTCAGGGCAAGGTCGATGAGGACAAGCTGTGGGCGGCTTTCAACGTTTTTGATGAAGATGACAAAGGATTCATCTCGGCCGATGATATCAAGCGGGTGCTCCAGCTTGGTGATGAGCAGGATGCCTATCTCAAGAAGAAAATCTTGCGGCAGGTTGACGCAGATCAGACCGGGAAAATAGACTTTGAGGCGTTCAAAAAGATTATGCGCTCCAATTCGTCGCTCATGAGGCTGAGAAGGAAGAACAGTGTGAAGCGAAGTCCTCGCACTCGGCGTATGCATGCGTCCGTAGACATGAAGGAGGTCCTTGGCGCTTCCCTTCTTGATGCTTCACTCATGGATAATTCGCGCCACGATCAATCGGATGTCATGGCCCCTCCACCCTCACCTTATGGAAGTCATCATCAGCGGCGGCTGCCAAACCCTGATATTATTTTGCAGGGCCTCGAGGAGCTCGACGAAGACAATTCCTCAAAAAGAGAAGACGAAGCGAGAAGGCGGAACAGCGAATCAACCCTTGAAGAAGACATGTAAGGCAATCTGTTTCGAAAAGATCCTATTGATAGATGTAAACTTGTGTGTAAACGAAACCTAGAAAGAACTGCCTTGAGCGTTCGACGTTTTAAGATTTAGTCGTCGCGTGTGCAGCAGTGCGTTACATGCGGCCTCTCGGATGTGACGTTTGCTCGCTTCGATCCTTGTCTATTCCATTGTCCTCCGATCAATTCTGATTTCAGATCCTCTCGACCTGGTCCGCCGTTTAGCCCTCGTCACATACCGGTACTCTACAATGGCCGCCCTAGCTAGTTCCTTTGCCATTTCAGGTGCCATCTATACATAGCTATCCAATGGGCTGGCCTTGAACAGAAAGCACTGGAGGTGCGAAACACGTTTCACCGGCTCTGAAACTAGCTAGCTGGGTGCTCTCTAAATCATTGTCTTGGTACAAAAAAAGATGCTTTATGTAGTTCCGTCTTTCATGAGCAAGCGACGAGGTATTCCACAGAAGTGTTAACAGTGGTCGCGATCGAATTGCCCTTGCGGCTCCCCCAAGGAGATTTCGCAGTCTCCGTCAATATCTGCTGGTTGTATGTTACAAGATTCCTGTATTGATGTGTCTCCGCTGGTATTCGTCTTGCTTCCAGTCGTTGCCTTGTTTTGACGCAGCCGAAACATCATCGTAATGGCAAGGTAGGTGATCGCAGCCACGCTCCACAGAACACCCACAACTACCGATGTAGCTGCCATTGCCACAGTTGTGCCTCCGTAGCGAAGATAGCTTACAACTACGTTCATTAGAGCACCACTCAAGAACATCCCGTCTGCAACCGATAGAACTCGGCGTACTCCACTGTCGTAGGTGAGCAGGAGTCTGCTGTAGATCAACAGCACTGTTTGAAGCAGGAATAAATGAGTTGACACGCTGTTGCAGACATTGAAGGCCAGCTCATCAGACTTCGTCAAAGCTCCTGAAATGACACCGAAAAGTCCTGCCAGAACCATCACGGCGTGGAAACCGAGCTGCTGATAGAGGCCATCAAATACTCCAACAAGCAGAAAGCAGATGGAAGCGCAGATGTACAGAGCTTGAAAAGTCTCGTCTCTGGGCTCGGGTGGGTTCTCTCCATCGATCGCGACATTGTAGGCATTCGCGAATGCAGAAATCTCCTTGTCAGTGCCATCTGGGTCCTTTTCGCCTTCGCTGCCATCATCTTTCCCATCGCCTCCTTCTCCCTGTTCCCCAGCCTCAATCCCCTTGTCCCCGTTCTCGCCTTTAGCTGATCCATCCACAGTTGAAGAAGTAGGAGACGCCACAGGAGAAACTGGAGAGGCGACAGAGCCGGAAACCGGAGCGGAAACTGGAGAAGCCATTGGAGAAACTGGAGCGGACACAGGGGCGGAAACGGGAGAAGCTACCGGAGAAGCCACAGGTGGTGACGCGACGGGGGTGGCCACGGGAGGTGTGACAGGAGCTGCGGTAACAGGAGGTGCCGTGTTTGGTGGCTCAGTCACTGGAGCTGCAGTGACAGGCTGCGCTGTCACAGGGGCTGGTGTAACTGGTGTGACAGGAGCTTGCACGGGAGGTGCGACAGGTGAAGCCGCTGGAATAACACTTGGCGTCGTCGTCGGCAAGTTTGCAAGGAAGCGGTCGACGAAGGCGTTCCAGGTGTCCTCTGTATAACCGAACACCAGTGCAGCTGCATCCTGTTGTTCGGGTGTCAGCTCATGCCAATGCAAATGGTCCGTGTACACGGACTCGGAGTTGTCCCATTTCTGCTTGTCATAGCCTGATAAAAGCGAATCAGCAAGATGGGTACAAGGTGAGATAGAGCCAACGTACGGCTCCGTCAAAGACGGAAGGAAATAGATGACAAATCGTGTCGCTTGTCCGTTGCAGCAAACCCTTACCTAGCAACTTTGCCGATTCCTTCACGTCATCCGGTAACGCACTCCAGTATTGTGTATACCAATTGATTTGGAGCTTTCGTCGCCTAGTGCCTTCTGTTGCGGTTGACCAGGTATGGGTACCGGTACTGGTAATGAGAGCGCCCCCAGTTCGTTCATCTTTGATTTCGGTAACATTGTCCGTAGCAAAGAAAGGGTCCACGTCTTCATCCGCAAGTTCGGACTTTGTTTCGTTCCTAATCGTCAGCAAACTGTCTGCTGGAAGTGCTCGAACACCAACATCCTTAACACGTTTGAAGTCATGGACTGAAAGGATCAGAAAGAGTATTGATCCAATCAAGAATAAGATTTTGGGAGCAAACCCAAGTGCACAGCGTGATGAACCGAATTTGGTCGACTCGTCGTCTTCGTGCTCTTCTTGGAACGTCTCTTTCATTGGTCTGATTTCATCGTAAGGGTCTTTGAGGATGTCCTCATCGTCACTCTCTGGGTCATCAGTGTCTTGGTCCATCATTGACGGGACACGCAGTGCATCGACATCGTATTTGCTGTCAGAAGAGCGTTCCGCAAGGGGGCCGGGGTTCTCCTCGTCCGTGTTGACGTCTTTCTTGCTTCCCGATCTAGAGAATAGCGAAGAAAAGAATCCACTGTTCTTAGAGTCTTGCGCCTCTTCCGCTGGTTGTGGCTGTGGCTTTTGCATTGGCATTTCCACGCTTTCGTCGTCGCTAGCCAAATCCATGTCCTGCATTTCATCTGCCCATGTCACGCCCCCTTCTTTCGTGGGCGATGATGGAACCGTCGGTGGTGTGTCTTGCTGATCATGGGAAGGTTGCTTGCCTGAGGAGAATAGCGAAAACAAGGAACTCTTGTAGTCTCCCGTGGCGGCGCTATGAGACGTCGCCCAACTTTCCTCACCGGGACTTGCACATCGTGCAATATCTGCCATGGTGTCTTCTGATGAATATGAAGCTCTCCTCGGTTTCCGCGAGTGTTCGTCGTCCTGTGTGGTTACCACAATTCGCACTTGCCTCACCGACTCCTCCTCGCCGTCGTTGGAGCCGGAGTCGTTTTGCCTACCCGCCCAAATGTTGCTCACTAAGCCTTTGAACATTCGAGCAGAAGGGGGCAGCCATGAGCAGGATATGACCGTTTGTGGTGGAAAAAATGATCCCGCAAGCAGCTTCTGGTGGGCGGGAGAGGTGAACTTGTCGTATAGCCGGTATGATCTTAGCCTGAGAAGTCGAGGTCGACGTTTTTGGGCTTGTCCCACGTGCTTCTGATGTTCCGGACTTACACAACGTGTGCTTTTGGAGTTAAATCGTGACGCTAAGCAACGCAGCCCGACAAAATCGGCAAGGCCAACGGGTGGACGCAAAATCCCGCATGACGAGCAAATTTTCGGCCATAACACTGAAGTCCCGCGCCCAATTACATTGTTCCAACGGCAATGTCTCGATGCTTTGACTATCTATTCATTCAGTAGCCACGAGAGGACATTCCGCTGCAGCAGTCCAGCATGAAGTGGTTTCGTTGGGGGAGGTGCCGTGAGGCAAGCTACATGTTGGTGAGTGCGGTTGGACGGGATGCCAACACTGCTTCTGCATTGTCAGGACCACAGAGCCGGCGTTTGTCGCTCCACTGATGGATAGCTAGCTACAGCTGCAGCCAGCCGAAGAGGATTGTATCTTTTTTTAAAAAGTTATTTATCTTGCTTGGTTTTCGAACAAGGATGTCACCAAAAAATCTCCCCGGTCTGGCTACATGTACTTTCCACGAGGCTCTCCACGCCCGAGCCTCCCTCAAGAGTTTTCCACGTCGACAATCCACGATCTAACTAGCATAGGTACACATCGGGCGTAGCTAGTAGCTAGTTAACTTATTGTTGCAGAAGATATGGCTAGCTATCAACACAATAGCAACAATATGGGAAATGAAGATACGACAGCACAGTGCCTGTAAACCATGAGAACTAGATAGCAATATGTACTACACAAACGATGCAAGATGTTTGGCGTTGAGGAGCCTTTGGGAGATCGTAGAGAAGAGGGAAACAAAGCTAGGCCTAGGCGCAAGTGCAGCCGCAGGAACAGAGAACTTCGGAACAGTCAACAGAGAGACTTTCGAGCTGACCTCCAAAGAGGCTGCAAACACCTGGGGATATCGTGTCTTTCAGATAATTGTTGTCCAGGGTTGCTCGTTGTAGATTGGTCAGGGCGGACAACTCGGTTGGTATGACGCCCGTCAAGTCGTTGTTGTCAAGATAAAGCTCTTCTAGATTGGTAAGCATCCCAAGCTCGGTGGGAATCAGATAGTCTCCACTTTGTTTCCAATCGTCGTCCCTCAAATCTTCCCCCACAAACGCTCTACCCAAGTAGAGCTTGCGAAGGTTTTCCAAGTGACCGAGCTCTGTTGGGATGGGCCCAACGAAGCTGTTCCAGTCCAGCCAGAGCTCCTTCAAGTTGCTCAAGAAGCCCAGCTAGTAGAGGTCGGTCGCAGAGAGCGCGTGAGAAAGGAGCCATGGCGAGATGTTTGAATGGAATTGAAATATGTGGCGGCAAGCTTACCTCAGTCGGGATCGATCCCGACAAGTTGTTCACATCCACATCAAGGAGCTCAAGCTTTGTGAGACGAGCAATCTCAGAAGGAACAGTACCTGTTAAGAAGTTGTAGAACAGTCGCAAAGCTCTGAGGTTCGTGAGCTGGGCCACTTCTCTTGGGATGCTTCCCTTCAAATCGTTTGTCGCCAGTGCAAGACTTGTCAGTTTGGTTAAGGCACCAATTTCAGACGGTATGCCGCCATTCAGCTCGTTCTTTTCGAGCCAAAGTTGCTCAAGGGATGTTAGATTCTTCAGCTGCTCCGGGATGGGGCCAAAGAGCACGTTCCGCGACAAATCAAGTTCGACCAACGATGTGAGGAACGCGATCTCTGGAGGTATGTTTCCTCTCAAATTGTTCTTCTTCAACACGAGATGTTTGATCTTTTCGTCTTCGCAGACATCCATCCCCTCGTAGGAAGAAAACCAAAAGCACTCGTGGATGTCATAGGAGAGCCACGACGTGGAGACAGTCCAGTTCTGCGCAATCTTTGTAGAGTAGTAAAGAGTAGCAAGAGCAAAGCGTTGCATCTTTCTCTCATCACTGTATGCATTCCGATATGGGTCCTTTTCCAACCAAAAGTACGCCTTTGTCTGGGCTGTGTGTAGGGATTTCAGCGACTCTTGCGTATAATCTGGGAGGTCGAGTACCAGCGGCTGGAACTCCTTTTCTTCCTCAGCAACGTTCATGTCTCTACGGGCACAGTTTCCTGTGATGCCACATGCCAGGCATCCGGCAATCACGGCCACGAAGAACAGCATTAGCATGGTCGCCACCGTCCATTTACGTACGTCTCGCCAGTCCAACTGCTTGGGTTGAAATGGTTCCCTGATTGACTTGTCAATTAGCGATGGTCTCTCTAGGATTGCTCGTACCATCGTATCGTGTTCTTTTCGTTCCTGCTCAGGTGGGTGCCAGTCTCTCGTTTCGGGGGTTCCCGAATAAATCACAACAACATCGTTGACATTTCGCGCCTTGAGGGCAGCGTTGATGAACGAGTTTTCTGTGTCAGTGGTCATAGTGGGCTTGACCGAAGACGGCGACGGAGAAAGAGACGGCTTGGAACTCAGCGGCTTGGGGGACGCCAAATACTTGGAAATCCTCTTGGGAGATGCCGAAGCACTCGGGGGCTTCTTGGGGGACACCCTGTAACTTGAAGCCATGGGATATGGATTAGGAGTTCGTTGGGCCTCCAAGTCGATCTCCTCTTCCAACGAGTCATAGCTGTGCCTTTTGACGTCGCCGAGTAGTCCGCCAGGAGAGGAAAGGTCTTCATCTGATGGAATCGGCGTAACAGTTCTCTCGCGGGACAACGAGCGACCACGTTGCCTAGGCTTCAAGTACTGGCTTCCCATCGTCAGCCTCGTCACTCTAACCGAAGTTTTCGTCTCTCTAACCTCTCTAAACGAGGGCCTTTGCCTTGCAGAGAGGCCGTCAGTTCGTCGAGTCTGTTTCGCATGGTTGTCCAATGAATCTTCACTCCGCCCGCGCTTAAACTCTGAATTGTGTCCACTAGAGCTTGTATCCGCAAGTGAAGATGAATCTTGCATCTTTGTTGGTGACTCGTGAGACTTCAAAGAAGGAGAGGTGCTGCCTTTGGGCTTGGTTGGAGGAGAACCCTGTGTGAAGGGGGGTTTCTCGTCCTTTCTCGCTGCGTTCGCTGCAATTGCTGGGCGTGGCTTGCTGTTCCAAATCGTCATGAGGCTTGAACGCAATGATTCTATGGCACCGACTGTGTTTTCGCTAGGCACTTGGCAACATGAATCGTCGTCGCACTCCTGGGTCTTCTTCACTGGAATATCTGACGTCTCGACGGCAACCTGGGTTAGCGGCGAAGGCTCAGAGTTGGACTGTGCAATGGTCTTCTGGTTTGATTCTTGAGGCTGCTGTTCAGATGACTGGCTCCCAGCTAATCTGGGCACGGGTTTGCTGTTCCAAATCATGGCAAGGGAGCTTCGCAATGTGTCGATTGGGCCCATCGACTTTGCTGGTTCCGCTTCTTCAGCTTTCGTTTCAACTTCTTCTTGATTCGAAGCAGCCGCTTCTACGTCTAACTGAAGGTAGGTCTTCACTGGTGAGGTGTCGCTGCCCTTGTCAATTTGCTCCTTAACCGGTAACTCGCCAGATGATGATCGACTAACATCTTGGTGAAAGGTAGACAAAGCGCTCTTGGCGTGAATCTCGTTAAGACGATCCACTTCCTTTGTCAGGTCTGCTGCTGAATCCTCTTTGCCGAACAAAGCCAAGCCAAACTCAAGGGGTTGTTCCTCCTCATCCTCCTTTTCACTGTTGGACATTCCCAGTGTTGGTGTCGAAGGTAAGGCAAATCTACTTGAAGACTTCCGGGCAGTCGGGGAACGTTCAAAGCTTCTAGACGGCGAGCGCCCCAAGCTCAAATCGCTGGGGGAACGATCGAACTGTCTGATCTGAGCCTTTACGGGAGTAGTGCAGGGACCGGTGACAATTTCCCTGGGACTCGAGATCACGATTCTGCATTTTTCGGCAGCTTGCTTGACGGCCATCAAGTACCGATCCCGAGGAGACATTGGCCCGCAGGCCTTTTGGTGCTTCGAGATTGAGTTCCTAATGGCCATCAAATACCGGTCTCTGGGTGACATTGGCGATGATTCGGCCTGGTCTTGAGTCTCAAGATTGTTCATCCGAGGGGTCTTGTCCGTGGCAGCGCTAAACAATGTAAGGGTTTCGTCTTCTCTGCCTGAGAGGGAACTCTGAAGATCACCTCTTCGCGTTGCGGAGGGTCCATATCGCGTGCGTGACTTATATGCCGGTTTTGTTCCGGCCTCAGACAACGACTCAGTATCAGGTTGGCTCATCAATCCACTGAACGCGTCCGAAGTTGCATTGGACATGATTTCGGAGTCAAAATCGTTTGTGTCTCTCGAGCTGGTCGCCGAAATACTTCCCATGGCAGTCGAAAAAGTGTCCTTGGATGAAGCGCTGCCTCCTTCTTCAGTTGGGCTCTTTGATGATCCATAGCCAACATCATCGCTGTCTTCTGACGATACCGGGCTTTCCGTTGGCTGATGAAATCCAACTCCATCTTCGCCGTCGGAAGACACAGGCTTCTGAAGGAAGACGCTGCTAGACTCGTCAGTACTTCTCGTGGGAAACCTGTCAAAGCGGTTTTTCGATACAACCTGTTGTGGGGGCTGAAATACTCCCCGTCCCTCAGGAGGACCATCCATGATAGCGTCACTGGTTCCATCAAAAGTGTGATTGCTCAAGAAGGTGCTGCTTGCTTTGGAGTGATCCATCGTTGCCTTTGTAGCATTGTCCAAAGTGGAATCTTCACTGGTAACCGTCTCAACCATGGCGATTTCGTGCTTGCTGTCGGTACTGACATTGCTGCTACCGCTGGACTTGTGGTCACTGTTGCTGTCACCGAGCCCGTCAAAGGGGTTTTCCGACGAAAAGATCGTGGTCACTTGCGACTGTTGACGCACAATGGTAGGTTTTTCGAGAACAGCCAGATCCTCAATCGTGGGGGTTTCAAAAGGATTCTCTGCGGTGAGATTACTGGTTCCGGTAGTCATTTCGTCGCCTTGCATAGTTGCATTCGTGGTAGCTGCTGTTTCTTCTTCTTCTTCTTCTTCTTCCCCGTTCGCAGCAACTGTTGAGGTTGTAGCGGTTGTCCCCGACGCCGTCCCGTCGATAAGGTTCATCACGCCTCTTCGCATCGCTGCAAGCATGTTGGCGTCCATGGAGCGAGATTTACCAGAGCTGTAAAAGTTGGCAGAGTTTCTGTCTTCGTTTATGGCTTTCGAAGGCGAGTACGAATGCGTAGCACTGATGACATTCTCGTCATTATCCTCTTGTTCGTGTCCTATACCCTTGGAATCCGAAAAGAACCCTTGGTTATTGTGACGTTGAGGACTTGTCGAACCTGACGCATTGCTGGCCGTGTGTTCCCCAAGGGGGTTTCGTCTTGGGCTCGCCATCACGCCTCGTTCCTGTTGTGGGGTATCCTGTATCCTCCTAATCCAGCAATTCGGCAGACGTTTCCAATCTGCTGCTTTCAAGCTTCACACCTCCAGGTATTGCACCTATTCTGACCGCCAGTAACTTGTAATGCTGTTGAACACAACGACTTTCAGGACTCTTTGCTCATTTAGCTTTTGCACATCAACAGACTGAACGATTGAGGAACAAAACATCACTTGGATCAAGAATTTTGTGAGAAAGAATGTGAACGTTGCCACAGAACCCAAACCGTCTTCCATCGTACTTAGAGAGCATCCCACGACAATGCTAAATCGGCGGTAAACGTTTCCCAGTGTGCGATAATGGGTTGCTTGACCTCTAAATCTTCCATTCGTCTCTACTGGTAGGCACGGATGAAAGAACAAGCCACCACTCAGAGTAAGAATAGCAGTACTAGTACCAGTACCACCCAGCAACCGGTTCCTGGTTGTCAACGCATTGTGGGAGTCGAGTCGAGTCGAGTGTCTCGCCAGAACAGATATCAGAAGTTGTCACCCAACCCCATTTGCCACCCATTTTGCCTGGCGGTAGGGCAGAGTACAGTACGATAGGCTCCGTCGCCTACCGGTACCAGGCACGGTATGCATAGCTGGTAGCTATTGAGTAGTTTGAATGGATACGAATCTAAGTTTGGCCTTTAATCATGTTAGCTGCCAATCATCACCATTCAGACCTTCAATGTTCAAATGTGCTGAAATTTGTGTTCTAAAAGGATCCCTACATGCCCTCTGCGTGGGCTGCTTGCCTTGCTAGCTGCGGTGTTCTAAAAGCACTCTGAAGGTAGCTATTTGTGCTTGGTGTTGTGTTTCGCCCCACCCTTTCTTGCCTTGTTGATTGAATGTTGTCTTGTAAACTTTTGCCTGCTGTGAAATGTGCCACTGCTGCCATTCACCACAACCAGCAACCCCATCATTATCTAGCGTCATCCATATCCAGTTCTTCCCCCTCAGTAATGGTGACGGTTTGGGGGGTGCTTCCAGTCATGCTAGCTCTTCCATAGCTCCTGGCAGGCAAGCTATCCACAACCTCCATGATGGCATCTGTTCGACTGACAGCCACGCAAGCAATGGATTTGGCAAGATATCTGGTGACTTCCCTGGGTAAGCAAGATAACAATGCAATTGCATTCTCTTCTGTCATGGGATAGAGTTCTTTGTGCTCCAGAATCATGTTCAAGCCCCGGTCACCCACAACAGCGTACAAGAACGCTCCAAGTGGAGATTGCTTGACATCAAAACTGGTTTCAGACCGCCTCCCACCAGACAGGATTTGGTAAGTTGTCATATCCAAATGGTCTTTCACATCTTCTTCGTCACTGGCATTGAAAAAAGGATTGTCTTTTACACCAGGAAGTGCATCATTGATAGACTGTGACTGATGATGCCGGGAAGGTAAGTCTCCCACAAACAAACTCAAAGGAGCATCCCCTCCTGTGAGAGCTGCGAATGCAGCAAGGACACTGGCAGACAGGAGCTTGGCACCAACATATTTCTGCCCAATTTCCAGATTGGAACGCGCTTGTTCAGTGAGTTTAGCAAGTTCTTCCATGGGAGGATCATTCTGGAAGGTGGCAAAGATTGCTGCTGGATCGAGGAAGTTGAAGAACCCATTCATTTTGTAGAGAGAGTGCTGGAACTCCATGACTGTGAATAAGAAGCTCCGTCTGAGGGTGGTGTTGGTTTCAGTGAGCAAGCTCCAAGTGTTATCCAGAAAGTGGTAGATGTCATCTGATCCAAAATTGCCAATGTCAGAATTGGCAACCTTGGCTGCCCGCTGAACATCTTTCACTAGTTCTTCCTCACTCCTTTCGAGTTTGAAAAGGGCATTTGCTTCCACCATGTTCTCGTACAACTTCTCCATGTGGGTCTTCTCTCCTTCAATTGGCTTATTGCGAAAGGGTATGGTAGCTGCAATGCAGCAGGCAATTTTGGCACACTGTGCCGTTGTGATATGATCCCCCAGTTGTCTGACGGCAACCACTGCACTCAGGAACTCATTGAGGCCCTTTTGCGCAGTGATTTCCTCTCCATGTTCATATCCAAAAATGGTTTCTACCATGCGGAGAGCACTATCTGCATGGCAAGCCTGATGCGCCCGGCAGATCATCTGTGGGGCACTTGTGCTGGTTTGGCTCTGTGGGGAAGACGGTTCGTCCGGTTGGAAACAGCCATGGAGGACTTGCTTTTGGTGCTCATTCAAACCTCCATCAACATTATAGTAAATACAGTCATGAAACATGGCAGCCAGCACAGCAATTGGATCATCTTCGGAAAAGTCGTCGCTGATGTCAAAGACATGCTGGACCGAGTGATAATTGCGGCTATCCCCAGACATGCATTCATGGATGAGAATGGCCATGGACTCCAACTTGGAAGCATTGGTGTTTTGGGCCTCCAGCTTTTCGAGGCAATCTTGGAAGGTGACAAAGAGCCGACTCATGTAGGTGCGGGGTTTGTTGTTTGCTACCATCCGATGGTTGAGGTGTCGGAAACTGGTGAGGGTCTTGGATTCCAACATTTTGATGAAGCGATTGCGACTGTCGACCGTGGATGTGCGTTTCAAGACGGGCTGCTGTTGTGCAGGCAGTAGTGGAATTTGATCCTGAGGGTCCTGGAAGCCAAGGGGGCTGTTGTTGCCGCTGGAGACACTCGTTTCCGTGCTATCCGGAGGGACGGGACTTTTAGGACCGCCATCATATCCTTCTTTTTTGACGCGGAAAACTCGAGAGACCCGAACTGGCTTGAGTCCATCTTTGGGCGTGATTTGACGGTTGAGAGTCGGAGATGGAGGTTTATCTTTGCGCGCTTTGTGCCGTCCTGCTCTTCGTGCCACATCGTTGACAATGTCATCCAGGTCACCGGTCAGGGACCTTAGTACAAAGGAAGGCCTGTTATCCACTAACTTGGCGGCTTCAGAATCATCTTGCATTATAGCAGTATTGCGGCTGTTCAGTGTGCTGACCATGGTGCTGCCACGATGAGGACTGACTTCGCGAGTACTTCGATGGTTCACATGAGCGTTGTGGCGAATGCAAGATGTGTCAACAGAACCTCTCCGATGGAACTCTGAATCGGGGCTGTCTTTCACGGGCATGATCGCATCTTCCTCTCCCTCCGGCGACGACGATCGAGATGGATCATCCTGAGCTTTCATGATGATGATAGTATGGTGCGATTTCCTGGGGTATGTAGCCTGTTGATTGCCTGGGCTAGCCACCGGGTTCTTCCATAAATTTCAACGCCAAAACCAACAGAGCCAAGAACCAAGTGGTACTGGTATGGCGCCGCTATTTGCAGGGTGCTCAGAATGGAGTTTGTATGATAACTTGGAAGAGGATTTGTTGTGGCTCGTTGTGGATTGTGGCTTGGAGCAGCTCTTGGTGCTTGGATGGGTGGGGTCGTCACTGTCCCAGTAAAGAATCATTTATTTTCTCGCCGGTACCACCGCCAGGCAGTACCGGGGTATTCTCACTTCCGCTTCGAAAGAAGGCGACCACGCACTTAGAGTGGCTTTTAGAGATTCACTTTTCTTTAATATTCTTGTTTACTTCACCGACATGAAGGATTTAGAAGAAAGGGACAGAACATCTCTTTTACACGGCGCGAGGCGACCCTCTTCTTTTCGTTAACTCCAGTACATTTTGCTTCCAGCAGTTCGTCCCTTGCTTCATGGTTGCCTCGGACGCAAAAGTTTCAGTGGCGACAGCGATGCTTATACAGCACATTAAACTAACTTTCTAAAGTTGGCTACAGTAGCTGATTGAGTAAAACCACCTAGTGGTTGCCCCAGCAACTGCAGGCACAGCAGGATGATGAAATAATGAAGCAACAAAGAATTCCTAAAGTGTGAATGATCAATCAGCATATGTCAATATGTCAATAACCTTGGGGGCGAAAAATCATGTTGGGTTGGTGGTGAAGGCGAATGCCTTCAATGTGCTGTTGTGCTGGGCTCTGGGCTTCTGTGACATTGTGATCATTCCTCAAGTGTGTGGCAGCTGAGGCCGGTAGATGGTAGATGAGCAGGTGGAGTACATGCATGTTGCACGGTTAGATCTACCAGCGCGGTGCCCCTCATGAATTTGCACGCATAGTAGTACATTCGCTCCACTCGAGTAACACTTGAAAATATCAACATGGTTAGTCTACCAGGTACCGGTAGGCTGGTAGTCTAATCCCTTTGTTGATAGGCAAAGTACCGGTACAGTGCATGGTTACCAAGTACCGGTACCGGTAGGTTAGTAGTCTAATCCTTTTGTTGAAAGGCAAAGTACAGGTGCGCACTATGATTCACACTACGATGTACAATCTTTTGCTGGATCTCTGCTGCTACATGTAGCTAGCTAGAACAGATAGGATGGAGAAGCAAAGTTCGAAATGTTTTCTTCTCTCCCTGTTTATCTGTTGATGAGCAGGATTGGAGACAAGGTCCACCCCTGAGCTACCGGTACCGGTGCCAGCTAGCAACTGGAGTGGTACACTACCTGGCGGTATTGGACTCTGACTCATCTCCAAATCTCTACTCTAGCTACTAGGCCTCACTCTCCTATCTACTAGCTAGCTAGGAGCTGGTAGCTACAGTAGCTTTAGAAAAGAAGACTAGCTAGCTCTGGCGTGGCAACTTTCCGGTTGATGGTAGATTGTAGATTGGACTCCACGAGCATCCACCCAACATCATGGATGTCACATGGGTGCGATCCGCGAGGGCACACGGTGCTTGCTAGCTTGGCAAAACCACTACATGTACATGCACCTGTACCGGTGGGACGATTTGTCACGTGGATACAGTGTAATAGTGCTCACCAGTGCTCACTCCTAACCCTAAGATATTCATGACTCAATCTAGAGGATTGAACGCGGGCCGACTATTTGAAGGGCAGGCGACAAAACACGCGCACCGCCATCGGCGAGATTTTGCCCGTGCCCTCACTTTTTGGTGAATGGATTCTTAGAGGAAGCAGTTGAAATTGTGAGTGTCGGTCTATGTGGAAGGATCTCTGGAGGGAAACCAGCGATTGATTTGCGGAGGATGTCCACGTCAATATCTTTGCAACCCGCGATACAGGTCTTGGCTGGCTGCAGAGGTACAGCACTTTTATATCTGCTTTGGAGAAAGACAAGGCACCCCTGTTGCTCAGTCAGTTCGTTGTGGAATAAATAGGTAGCACCAACCAAGACAAAGAGTAAACTAAACGGTGGTTGGATCGTCACTTTAATCTGTGCTGCTGCTGTTGTTGTGTGAGCGACGAGGCCGGCCAAGATGGAGGGAGCTGCTGATTTATTGACAAAGATGGCGAACGAGGTTGAAGAGATGGAGGAAATCAATGACGAGAGTGCTACCTCTCACGTTGAGAATCAATTGGAACACCTCGAGAACCTGTTGGCTCAAGCCGAAACAGAGGGTCTTCTGGAACAAAAAGAATCTGATGGCTCTGGAGAAGACACCGAATTAGGCGGCAGGCAGCTGGATGCCATTATCACCAAGGCCGACTCGGGAGGTTTTGGGGAACTGCTGGGGGGTTCCACGCCCACCAATATACTCGACATCACGACGACCGACAACATTTTGGACCTTCTTGGTTTTCACGATAACTCAAAGAAGAAGAAGAAGACCTTTAGTTGGAAAGAGCAGGACCTACTACGAGGTATTGAACCCACTATTGTGGAAGAGCAAGATGGACTCGAGGAGGAAAAGCAGGAAAGTGAATTTGATCAGGATCCCGTGGCCGTGCTTGAAGCAGATGACACCGTCATGATGCAACCCATTAAAGAACAAGATCCCGAGCCAGTCGCAGTATCTGAATCAGAGGTTTCTGTTCAGTCAACTGTCGTTCCTGGAAGTGAACCGGAGGCCTCCACTGAGGAAACAACAATCACAGAGGCAGGTTCGCCAGAGTTGGTCACTGAGAAGAAAGATGTCCGGGAAGACCATCCGGAGGAGACTGAGGAGGTTCCAGAGGCTCAGAAAGATACTCAAATATGTGACGAGGAACTTTCTGAGGATGCCGCCAAAACAGAGGTAGAAGTCCAAGACGAGAGGAAGGACGATCATCCCGAGGACGAAGCCTTGCAAGACGCCCCCAAGTACACCGAGCAATGCAACAAAGAAGGCTTTGTGGACGCCCCCATAGATGAAGAAGAAGACGAAGCTGTTGCTGTACCAATGCCCGAGAACAAGGAAGAGAAGCAAGACGGACCAAAGGAGAATACAGATGCCCAGAAGGACAACGAGGCATCTCAAGTGGAAAACCCTACGGATGCGGACCACGAGGAGAAAAATGAAGAAGATTCCTCGGGCAAAACAATTACAACTGAAGACAACCAAGAGCCTGATTCCAATGAGGATATGGAAATGGTGGAAACTCAAGTTAACGCACCCGTGTCAGCATCAGAGCAGACAGGGGCGAATGTTGAGGAAGCCGATTCACCTCTTGTGGTCAAGGAAGGTGATGTTGCCGAGGTCAAGGGAGTGGCGGAGACTGAAGAGAAGGAACCGCTTGTACTTGAGGTTAGAAAGGGCAGTGGCAGTACGTCCAAGGATGCCATCGAAGTTCGAATTGAGAAAGAACAAGCGCCTCGTGTCGGGGCGTTCGTGGCGTCTTCAACTTCCAGCGCTGAACAGGAAATTGCTGCTGCGGCTTCCGACACAATGCTGTTCCAATCAGGAAGGCTGTTGATGGAGCTCAAGAACGAAGTCCAGAAACTGAGAAATGACTACGATCGCGTCCAGGCCAATAACAAGAGGCTTGCCGAAGCCAATGTTAGTTCTGGAGCTTCGTTTGAATCCCTGAACCATCACGCTGAACTCTTGCAAAAGAAGCTAGACGAATCACAAACACAGGCAACGGCGGCTCATGCGGCCCTCACCGGAGCCAAGACCGCAGTAGCAGAAGTGCGAGTTGAGTTGAAGCTCAAAAAGGCTGCGTATGTCGTCGAAGTTCAAAATCGACTTGCCTATCAAAAGGCACTGCAACAGGTAGCTGACTTGGTACAGAACGAATGCAAAGATTCGGCCCTTGTTGAAAAGATATTGGCCCTTGTTGAAAAGACTGAGGCGGAGTCCATGGCTGTTCCCGCACTCAAGGACACTGAAGAGACCAATAGTGTTGCTGCATCAGTCAGTGGTGAAAAAGACGAAGCACACCCCTTCGACGACAAAAGTGGACAAGGACAAGACCAAGGGTACTATATGTCCTACATCAAGGCCTGTGTTTGGTCTACTTAAAATGACAATGAGGTGAGGCGACAAATCATTTCCCGGTCAATGTTACATACATATTATCTAACTGATCAAAAACGGATGAACTAGAATAGTGAATTTGAATAGCTTTATAGCTGCATTTTAGGCCACCTTAGCACCAAACGTGAGGGCATTCTTCGGGATTGCACCAGCAGTGGGGTGGAGGACTGAGTGCGAGTCCTCAGCTGACGGCCGATCTCCTTTGTGTTTATCGCCCAGCCCTCCTTTGGCCAGTTTGACGAGCTTCTTCTTCCACGACGACTTCTTCTTTTCTTTTGCTGGTTCTTCTTCTTCCTCCTCCTCTTCAGCAGCGACGTGTTCATATTCATAACCTAACTCCTCTGGAGAGGGAAGCTTGTCTGTGGTGTGACTATCCCTCTCCTCTACCAGTACGGGTCCTTCATTGCCATCTTCAAGACCAGTGCCAGGTGTGCCTGCGTCGACTCCTCGCCGCCCCAAACGGCGGCCGCCATGTCGACGTGAAGCGATTCGATCCAGTTTACTAGGCTCGTTGCCGACTGTCGGCTGCTCTTCACTAGAAACATTCTTGTGATCCAGAGAGTTTCGGCGTTTTAGCCTTCTACGCCCCTGTCGTGGTGTGTCGGCTGAACTGCCTAGCATGAGGTTTCTGCAGGAGCTTGATTTCCTTGCCATACCAGGGCGGTTGTTTGGTTTCTGGCCTTCTCCTGTCGAAGCAGATCGTTCGGGAAGCTCCTTGCTCCCTTGAGGCTGGTCACCCAAAGCCAGTCCATCCGGTTGCTCTATTGGCCGCCTTCGAGGTTGCCTTCCAGAATTTGTTCGCTTGGGCGCTTCCCCAGGCCTTGTCTCACCCGAATGGCCAGGTGTCTTTTTTCTACGTTGACTTCCAGAGTTTGTTTGCTTGAGGGCTTCCACGGGCCTCGTCTCACCGGGATGGCCAGGTGGCTTTCTTCGACGTTGGGTCCCAGAACTTGATCGTTTCGCCGTCTCTGGCCTTTCTATCTTCCTCGACTCACGTTTCCGAGTCCGTCTCTCGCTGTGCGCCGAGGTAGACGGGATTTCATTCTCTTTCGACGAAGTTGATTTGCCGGAGTGGTCACTCTTGCTGGCGCTACCACCATCTGCGCCTTCAACTGTTTTGGTTCCTTCGGTCTCTCGCGTGCCCACTTTCGAAGCCGATCTTTCTACCTTCCTTCGTTGTCGCTTCTCACTGTGACCAGAGGACGACGGGATTTCCTTTGGCATCCCCACACCGGGAAGGCTTGGCATGTCGCTCTGGTTGTGATCACGACCAGTGTTTTCTGATGAGGCATCCGTCGCAGGCTGCACCTCGATTGATGGCACTGCTTTAGTCCTTTCCCCCTTCTTCCTATTTCGCTGTTCACCATGACCAGAAGACGATGGGATTCCATCACCTTCAGCATGAGAAGTTGATTTGGCTTTGTCACGGTGCCCTGAGCGATCGAACGCCGCATTCCTGAGGGAGAGCTCTTCGGCACCACGTCCCGATTGCTTGTCAAAGTATCCTGCCGAGCGCGATCTCTTTATGCCATCAGTTCGACGTTCCATACCACTCATCTTCGGCGACCGTGTACGTCTTCCCTGTGAATGACTGGAGCCCTTGGGAATCTCACCACGTCCATGATTGGAACCTTTGGAAATCTCACCAGAATTCCGCTGGCTTGACTTGCCCCTGTAATGGGACCGATGGATATCGCCAGTACCGACGTCCGAACGCATCTTCCCGAAACCACCGGCATGGCGATCAGAGTGGGACTTCCTGAGGCCATGTCGACGATCGCCCGCGTCTTCGAATAGGGAAATGGTCCTGGAGGGAGTTAACCGATGAATTCCATCTGGGCATGGCGACTTTGACTTGAGCCCTTTGGCACGCATTCGTTGCCTCGAACGACGGTCAAAGATGTGATGGTACATCCTGGAAGAGTAGGGGAATCAGACAACATCAAAGCTGATAAGGCGCTGTATTCAGACCATTGAAACCGACACTTCGCAGGCTTACCTTTCGCTAAAGAACTTGCGTTGCTGATACTTCTCCTGGATAAATCCTTTCATGTCCTCTTCTTTGAGGCGCAAGATCTTTTCCTTTTCGGTATCGTCCATAACTTTGATGCTGGCCTCGTATACACAGTTTCCAGCACCATTGCCAGTTTCTTCAAGGACCTTCATGTCTGCATCCGTCCCTGCGAAATGAAAAAAGTCGCAGAATAGGCACAGCAAGTGTCAGAGATGGTCTGGTAGAAATGGTATGGGCACCTCAGTGGAGTGGTTCCAATGTGCCGAACTTACAATCTGCAGCCAACTTCATGCTCTTGACCTCGCAAACATCCTTTCCTAGTTGTACATGATGACCATAACACTGAAAACAGCAAAGGACGGCAATTCTCTGCCCTCCTTCAGTGACAGGCGTAAGTATTGATGCCCAAGTTGGATACAATACATTGCAGTCGATACAGGTTCTGTTACAGCCTCGCGCTGTCACAGCATTCAATCTCTCCTGAATCTTATCTTCCCCCTCAAGCGGCTCAGTTTCGTTGTGTGGTAGGACCATGGTGGCTTTGTGATCTATTTTGTTGTTGCAAACTCTGGTTTTATGAGCATTCAATTATACCGCGATCGCTTTCTGCCAGCATGCAATGCCAAAGCCTCTCTCATGCGTGCCAAACTCCCAAACTCCATCGGTGTGGCCTCTGGCCTCGTCCCCGACTACTTTAGGTCAAGCCTCCAGCCTTCGTTCGAGTCCGGGTGGATACTGGTGAATCCAGGAAGACCCCAAGCTACTAGCTAGTAGCAAGATTGATGTCTCCAGCATTCTTTTCTGAAGAATTGGTTAAGTCAATAGGTGCCACTGAACACTCCTTTTGTTGCTGACCTGGCTCAAAGAAGAAGCCTGGAATTCTTCCAAATGGTGAACTTCAAGGCCAGAAACATTCCCTGGAGTTGAAAGAGCTGTTGTAAGTTACAGCTTAAGTTACTCTAGTAGACTCTACCGGTACTAATACCAGGTACAGTACTGTGCCGTGCCCATCTATCTGAATGTAGCTCCCATCTACAGCGTACTGGTACCGTTACCGGTACCGTTACCGGTACCGTACGGCTGTTTGCTCCTCTCAAGGCCAGCAACTCTTCCTCATCATGCATCGAGATTCATCTGTCCGAAGGTCCCATGGATTCCCAGAAGGGAAAGCGGTATTGAGAGTGCTCGTTGCAGCGGCTGTGGCTTTCCAGGTCTGCTCTGGCGACGATGCCCACAACTTTTTTCTTGGGCCAACAGTTCCACATAGAGATGGCACTGTACAGAAGGTGGGGCAGGTATAGGTTCTACAGTGTCAATAATGCATGGATCGCAATGACTCTTGACTGTTGAACCATTGGCATTTAGCAGCTTGGTAACTGATAAAGGCCAATAATTGGAAGCCCATGCGTCGCACCAGAATTTCTTTACGATCACATGGGCTATCTAAGTTGACAGCCCATGCATCGAATCTTGCAGTCCTTTGCAAAGAACCTGCGGACCTCAAAGGAATCCAAGAAAAGGAAACCAAGGGAAAAAAGAATGCTGTCTCCTTTTGACCGTCCCAAAGTGTCATTGAACACCAGGACTGACACATCACGTAGCTAGTAGCTATCCCAAACCTACCTGGTTTGCTATCATTATGTACTTGTATTGTATGTCCTTGTAACGATGTGCTTGTTTTTTCAAACAGTTCTTGATGGCATAGCGATGCCAAGCAGTGGCTGACCAGCTCTGGTTACCGTGATTTATTTCCTTGGTATGATTGAATCCCTGACTACCGGTACATAGCTTGCTGGCATCGTGGGAATATGCTGTGGAGTGCAGCGAGGTACATCGCAATCTCATGGTCCTCTCTTGTGTGTCAACTTCACCCCCTGCCCGGTACCAGTACCTCCTCTGGGCATAACTAGAGTAAGTATATGCAATAGCGTGGCACATCATAAAACGAGAGAGGAGAATTACTTGAACGGCGCTAATAATAATATTAGAATATAGGGACCCTTAAACCTTTCATCCGGCCCGTAGGTATTGATAGGAACCAACCATACCGGTACGGTACGGGCCAATCGACATTGCCGGATTTCGTCTGCGAACAGCCACGGATGGCTTTCCTGTCGAGATTTTCTTTTCTAGTCTAGAATGTTGATGAGCTCGAACCAACTCGCCGGACGGGGCTCCGTGTTCATCCCAATGTAGATCACTGCTGGCGCAACTCCATAGAGGAGGAAAATCCGTGTCTTCTTGAAAACAAAGTCAATATCGAACAACTTCAGAGCCAGTGATGGCAGATTCTGAATTTGCATAAGCGTTGTTCTTTGGCGTCTTCGAGGCACTGGCATCTGCAATTTTTGATATCATCATCAGGAAGTCCAATGTTAGAAGCGAAGAAACAAGATGAAGAATCCCTCGACCATCGTAATCGAATCAGCCTCTTCAATGGAAAGGAAGTGATCCCCATACATTCGCACGTACCTTAGTATCCTTTCTTCCAGAGTTGTGCAAAGTTACTAGCTAGTAGCTACCAGTGAGTTGTACTTGTACTTCTTTGTTGTTGCGATTCTGCTACTGGTCCATGGTTTGGTTGGCGGCTCGTCGATTTGCAACAGCTGCTTGGTTGTTGGAGGGAGTTCTTGTTGGGTGGAAGGACGGACGGCATGACGCACAATGGCTCTCATTTGATTCGTGCACTTCGTGGGAGTGAATCCGAGTGACAGTCAATCCCATGCCGTTTTTCGAACGATACCCCACGAGCCGACCACACAAGGATAGCTTGGGAAGTCTCGGAACGGAACCTTGCTTCGATGATGAGGTTGAGCTGTCCTCATCGTGTGATTAAAATAGGATCATAAACACAACATCAGAACAATTGAAAGACAGAAACAAAAAAACAAAACAAGACAGGAACATGAACTTCAGCAGAAACTCCAAAAAGCAACCGTCTGCCCAGAACGCGGAGCCTGAAATTACAGTGGCCCCAGCTACGTTGGCCAGCGAGAGGTTCGGTTCTGGCACTGTAGTAGAGGCAGAAGCTTATCAAATCCCAGCGGCTGTCACATACGATCCCTCCAAAGGGACAACAGCTGAAATCCCATCCTTCGAGGATGCACTTGACGAGAACTTGCCTACTGCCAATGCAAGGCCCACCCCCAAACGACAGCGTCCCAGTCCCAAACGACAGCGTGCCACACCTCAGACCGGAGAAGAGCTCTTGCGACGAATGAAGATGCAGCGTAAGGCGGCTACGGTCAACAGTGGGCTCTGGGGAGGTCTGTTGGGCCTCATTTTGCTTGGGCCCGTTGGTGCTGTTGGAGTTGGTGCTGGCTCGGCCATCATGACAAAGCACTCGATGAAACGCAGGGAAAAGGTGTTGCGTAAGCGTTTGGAAGGTAGGCTGCATGAACCCATGTTCTTGATTTAGACGGCTCGAACGAGAAACGGAGGAGGTCGGCTAGGAGCTACGTAGATAAAGAACAATAGCAAAATCGTTGACCAACCCAAATTGTTCGTTTGTTTGATTGCTTTTGTACGGAGGGACGAAGACCCGAGTAGATTGAAATGGCCTACCTTGCCGGAGACTTCACGACTCGTCACTCTGCAAACCAACTGCACAAAAAAGACTGATTAGTAGAATAAGATCTCGTCTAGGATGGACGAAGGCCCGGACAGTAGAGCAAAATAATAAATAGCCGCCCACCTTGCCACACGACACAACATGCCGACTGCACAACAAAGACCGATTGTAGAATAAGATCTCATCTAAAAATATCTATATGGAGAGGTCCAGCCAATGGAACGAGAGAATTGGTGTTCGAGGAATAGAGCTGGCTTGTTCGAACCCACGTAGAATATGCATGCGGCAAGAAGACGACACCAGAGAACAGCCAACGATGCCGTTTCCCAACCTTGCAGTATTCATCCTGGACAGCAAACATGTAGATTGAATTTGGAACTTTCATCCTTCTCTTCAAGGCACAACAGAAACAAGGAACCCGCTCCACGACCACACCTCACACTACAACAACCCTCTTCCCAACAGCTATCACCATAGCAGCACTTGTCCAAGTCAATTGTTGCTTTAGGTCCAATGTTCTTCCTTGACCTTTGTTACGCTGTCGATGTCATGGGTTGAGACTTGGATAGGTTGCTCTTGCAGGGGAAACGAGATAGAAGGAACGTCCTTTTGTGGAACTTCAATGTAGTATCCTTCAGGGATTTCCTCTGGTGTGTTCCTCATTTTGGCATCCAAATATGCCGGCATCATGTTGATTCCAAAGGAAATAGCAGCAATTCCAGCTGCCATGGGAGTCATCACATTCAAGGGAAAGTAAGCAAGTTGCATGATGTCTTGGAAGCAAAGGACAATGAGCCACTGTCCTGCCAGAGACAACTGATAGATATTGTCACGAGGACCAGAGTGAACTCCAAAACTGCGAGCAATTCCCCAAAGGCCATGAAGTACCTGAATACTCCCGACCAAGATGGACACAACGGGATAGTTGACTATGAGCATGGCAGCTCGGATTCTTCCCTCTTCCAAGGCTCCTGTTCCAAATTCAGCTGCTGAGTAGGCACCAAGTGCCAGCTGCGCTCCTCCTCCAATGGTGAGCACAAGCGAATAAAAGGTCAAACGTCCCTTGTAGTATCCAGATGGGCGCTGATCATATTTTCCGGTGTTCATTGAGTGAAGACCAAATGCCATGAAGGATAGGGATCCAACATAGGCAAAACCGTAGCAAGCAATGGCAATCACGCTACAAAGCAGTGATCACGTTCAAAACAATACAGCCCGGTCAGATGATTTCAGGATTTTCATAGGGTGAGAGCAATAACGATGTGATCAATTCTGCTTACCCAATGGAGGCAACAAACTTGACATCAGTCTCAGTTGGATTATGCCCAGCTGGAACCAAACCTTGCTTGGCCGGATCACTGCTAGCCATTTTTCCCACATTGGTCATGTCGGTGATGTAGGGAATCCAACAAAGCTACCGGGGAACAAAGAAGGGAAAACACAATAGTGAGCAGTTAGCCTTCCATTCTCCACAAGTCATCCTTACTTCACTATTCCACCACTCCCAACGAGTTCCAAGCAAAACTGCAGCCTCACCTGATTGATGGCAGTCAAAACTGTTGTGACTATAATGTGACTTGAGTCCATGGTACAAGCAGCAAATCCCACAATGACTGAGGCTACCCCATTCAGGAACAAGGAGAAAGCTCCTACCATTCCCCAGAATGGAATGGTACTGGGATCTGTGTTGAGGGCTCCGTCAGCATTGAAGGCATTGACTATGTTGGCAATGGGATGGATGACTGTCATCAACGGGAAAAACAAGAAGAAGTGAGCAAACCACGGAGATGTCATCGCAAGTGAGAGATAGGAGGAACACTCACCAGCACAGAAACCTGTGACCATCAACATGCCACCAAGTTGGCGTCGATCAGCGTGAAACCGAAAGTTGAGGTTGTTCATGGCGCGGTATCGTCAAAGAGGTTGGTGTCAAAATCTTTTTATGGGAGATGTTGCATTGAGACAACAGATAAAAATAAACGAAGTGCTTTCTAGCTTTGTGTGCTCGAGTAGTCTTCCCCATTGTCAGCTTGAGCAGCAAACCGATCGACAAGTAAATCGTTGATGGTTGTAAAAGTCACGGTCATTGAAAGCTTTGCAGAAAACTACCAGCTTTCACTGTAGTAGCTATTGCACACATTGTACTTGTGGTGGTCACTGGGGGTGATAGATTATTTAACCAAAGGAAGTCCATTCCCTCTTCTCTCTTCTCAATGTCCAAACCTTGCTTCTCACTGGGTTGATTGGAGATAAAGGGCTTAACTTTCGCATTATCTATGACTGTTCCTACTTCCGGCCTTGTACTTTTAAAATCTATGGTGACAACGGAGCGAGCAGTCAAGAACAGCTGGGCTTCCGGATTTCTCCAAGCAAAACTTCCATGTCATTCGTGTAGAAGGCTGCAGGGCTACGATGGCACTGGCTGGCTATGGCACCGGCCGTTGCAAGCTCCATTGCACCACCGGTGCTAGTCAAGTCGCGTCTCTCCTGAAAGGTGCCGGCATCCAGCTTAGCTGATAGCTAGAGATCCAAGGCGAACATCCAGCCAGCTAGCGATACTGCAATCCCATGCCAACCAAACTTGAAGGAACTCCTGGTTCCATGGTACTTTGTCATGTCTCCCTGCATTATTTTTAAAAGGATAGAAACAAGATGAAAGAGTGAGACACAACCTGGTACTCTTTGGCGATGATCCAGCAGATGGAATCAATCTTGTTGTTTTGGTTGCAACAAGAGAGAGAGAGAGAGAGGTCATACTCTTCCTATCAAAAACTCAGGTTCATCATCCCCAGAAAGATAGCACACACATCATATGTCATGCCAATAGAATCCTCCGGGAAAGAGCACCACCTCCATGCTAGGGTGAAAGAGAACGTTTTTGCCCTCTCCCTTGTTTTTACCCTAACAAGAAGGAGGCTCTCATTCCATATTTTGGTGACTCAAACATGACTTTCTGTGCGTGCTGTTTCCTGGTTGTGTGTTGTAGCAGGGAGTTTCTTTGTCGAATCATTCCTCTCTTTCTACTTGGTGTTGATTGTTTTTTTCGTGTGGGCAAACAAAACGAGACAATTTTTTTGCCCTTACCTTGATGATGGAACAGTGTGAAACCAAGAAATCTGCCGCCGAGGTTGATATTGATGTGGTAGCCAAAATTCTTCATCTTTAGTCCTCCTCACGCAGTAGTCGCTCCTTTTCCAGCTCAGCATCAAGTAGATCTGACCTAAGCTTGGCAATTCGGGCATCCAGGGCCTCTAGCCGCAGCTTCTTGGACTGTCGCTGCTGTTGAAACGGTGGCGGAATGTCGTCTTGTTCCATTTCCTCTTCCTCCTCTTCTTCTTCGCTGTCCTCCTCTTCTTCGTCCTCCTCGTCCTCTTCTTCCTCTGGAACATGACAGTCTTGTTGCTGCTGTCGTTGCTGTCGCTTCTGATACTGCCGCTTGGGAGGGACCTTTAATTGTTGCGGATGATGTTTGAGGAGCGTCCGATGAAAGTGCCGCAATGCTTGAGCACGCGACAATTCCGGATGTCGTTGTCGTACAAAATCCACCGCTTCGTGGGCCAACAATCCGTCTCCCTTGTTGGCTAGTTGTCGTGCAATCCACGCCTGTTCGGCCTTGTCCAGCAGCGGTTGTCGTCCCGTGGAATTTCCCACACTGCGAGCGCCCGAGGCGTACTTGCGAAACGTGTGATAGGGGATTCCGACCAGCGCGGCGTAGTCCTTGAGGGGCAAGCGTTTCCCCTCGGCGGACAGGGCTCGTCCGGTTTGTGCGTCCCATTCCTGGATGGCGTCTTGCAACTGATCCTTGGCGGCTCCCACGGCCCAGTTGGTACGGCACCGTTTGCGTTTGCGAGCTGCATCGGCCAAGACAGTCATGGAGGAGTCCTTGTTCATACCGTACTACGTCTTCTCATGGATAGAGTTGAGTTGAGTCAGTACTCCTCAAGGGTCAACTTAGTTCAGAGATTCAAGAGCTCTTCGGCAAGGCCCATGGTTGCATGGTGGCCACTCATCACTTTGGGTTTGTTTGGTGTTGTTCTGTTCGCCGTTGCATCGCCAGGGATTTAAAGGCTAATTTTAGGGTTCAGCGTTAGAGCACCGCAAAAGTCGAGAGAGAATGATGAATCGAATCGAATCAATCGAATAAATAAATAAAATAAATAAATAAATGATTAGGAGTGCATGTACATGTACTCTTTGCCAGTATGGTACTGTATGGCGCGCTTAAGCCAGACCAGTTCCTCCTTTTGCTCACTGCTCTCCCCTCCCCCCCCCTTGCCCTGCCCCTGTCCTCCCAGCTCTCCCATTACTACCTGGTACCCACTACCGATACCACCACTCTGCCTAGCTAGCTTAGCCCCCCCTAGCTAGCTAGCGTATCTACTTTGTATTTGTTTGTTATACTAAGGTGCCAGAGTACATGTAAAGAAAAGAGCAGAGCAAAGAAAAGGGCATAGCCACTGGATGGTATGAACATGTACTCTGTCCTTTGGGCATCCAGTGAGAAGTTGAAAAGTTGTTTTCGTGCCATTGTTCGTTCTAGCTCTAGCTACCGGTAGGAGCTGGTTGTGGCGTTTTGTTTTACTCGAAGAACTAGCAATACTGGCTCCAGAACAGAATGAGCAACAAAGAACCTCCGGGCGCCTACACCGACCTTTGCAAAGAAGGAGAAGAGAGTGGTCCCTCCAAAGGACTGGTGGCGGCAGAACACAATGGTGGACTGCTGAAAGTTGACGGATATGAGGATAAAAAGCCATCTGCTGTTGCAACCCCTCCGAATCAGGAGGCTCCCGCCAACGCCGCCCGCAAATCAGAATTGAAAGGGCAATCATCAGAAGAACAATCTAATAATAATGGTCCGAAGAACCATAGCGGCATCCCAAAAGACGACGGATTTCCCTTTGATCCGAGTCTCCTGGCAATCACCGAGGAAGAACTGCATTGGGCCTTGAATGTGAAAGATGCCGTCAAACGGCTTCCAGATTTGGACACGCTCAGCGATCTGATGTATTGCCATTTAGGTATTGCTTCCAAGGGAGATGTTGAATGGGCCATTGGTAGGGCCTACAAAATGCAACTGGTCCGTCAGCAGTACAAGATCCTTGGCACTTATGAGGAAGGAGCCAAGGCCATTCGCACCTTTATGGAAAAGGCGCCTGGCACAATCATGTCCTTTAGCTACAACCCCCACAATGGCAGAGCGGTTCTTGTCATTGATAGTTGTGCAACACCTCTCAACAAAGTTTTTGAGGATCCAAAGAGTACAGAGATTACCGTGCGAGGTTGTTTTTACCTTTGCTACGCGTTGTTCCCTTCACTGGAATGTGTGAGAGTGGGAAACATTCATGCCTTTGAGACAGAAGGATATGATTATGGACGAGGATTTCTGCATGCCAGGCTGTATGCCAAACTCACCCAGAACACACACTCAGCCTTTCCATCAGTCCTGAAAGAAGTGCGTTTTTACAATACATCCGCCATAGGAAACATGATCCTGGGCATGGCGACTCGATTAATTCCAGAAGAAAATGCCAAGAAACAAAAGTTGGGATGTAAATTTTCAGGAGGTCGTCTGGACAGTTTCTACATGCTTCCAACTCCAGAGGAAGCTTTCCACAGAACTTATATGAACATCTGCAGTGGCCTCAAGATGAGGCTGGAGAGTGAAAAGGCATTCAAACTGAATTTCAAACCTCCAACCAAACATTCTCAGGCAGCGCCATCGACCTCAGCAAATTAAGTAAGCATCACACTGATGGAACTTTTAGAACAACTTGAATGCATTCTCGCGGCAGCTCTAATGGAATGTGGAAGAGAAAAACTTTTGAACTTACTACTAGCTAGCCATAGCAACGTCTGTACCTGATCTAGTTGGCGGCTCCATCGTTGGCCACCGCGGTTGCATTCACAGGAGCACTCCCTGTCGTGTGCCCCGCTGCCATTTTCATCTTGTACAAACGACTCAACCTCCCCATCCGATCAAAGGCTCCAGCTAGTCACGTCCAATCACGGCTCACAGAAACAACCGCAGTTGCATTCGAAGGAGAAGCAGTCCGCTTTCAGTTCGATCCACCCGTTTTCGTACAGCGAGCAAATATCAGAAGGGAACGTTCCAATGAAGGAGTTCCCCGCCAGTGACAACTCCTGGAGCCGAGGCATTCCCTTGAAGGAATCTGGGATCCGGCCTACCAACAAGTTGTTGCCCAGCTGCAGCATCTGCATCTCGTGCAATTCGCCAATTTCAGAGGGAATCTGGCCGTGGAGACTATTCTTATTCAACAACAGCCACTCCAGCTTTTCTAACCGTCCTAAAACCGATGGGATTCTTTGATCCAATTGATTGGAATCCAGACGTAGTCGAGTTAGGGCTGTCAATTGGCTGAGCTCCACTGGGATTGCCCCCGTGTGATAGTTTGTGTGCAAATATAGCCCTTCCAACATGGTAAGCTCTCCAAGTTGAGAAGGTATCCTGTTTGTGATGCGATTGGCGGACAATGAGAGGCGCATTAACTGAAGGAGCTTTCCAATCTCTGTTGGGATGGCCCCAGTCAATTTGTTGCTATTCAGCACCAGCGCCTGAAGATTCGAGAGCTGACCGACTTGGCTGGGAATGGAGCTCGTCAACTCGTTGAATTGCAAGTTGAGTTCACGCAGGGACTCCATGGCCCCAATTTCGGACGGGATAGGCCCAACCAAACCGTTTTGCTTTTGGCTAAGCACCAAGGTTTCCAGACGATTCAGTTTCCCGATAGCGGGCGGGATGGTGCTCTCGAGTCCATTTTCTTCCATTCGAAGTTCCAATAGATTCGTCATGCCACCAATCTCAGAAGGGATCGGCCCGTCGAGATGGTTGTGGCTCAAAATCAGCGTTTCCAAGTACTTTAGATTCCCGAGCTCTGTCACAATCTTGGATCTCAAGTCATTGAACTCCAAGTTCAGCTCTGATAGGTTCTGAAGCAAGCCAAACTCCGATGGAATTTCTCCAGTGAGCTGACAATCATGGAGCAGAAGGGTCTCCAGTTGAGCCAGGCGTCCAAAGGTGGTTGGTATCGGGCCCGTCAGGCCTCGATTGCTCTGCAAGTTGATTTCTTGGAGTGCAGTCAACAGACCGACCTCCGCGGGCAGGGTTCCCTCCAAGCCATTGGTCACGAGCGTCAAACGCTTGTAATCCCCATATTCGTCGCAAGCACTGCCATATGCTGCGTGTGAAAGCCATTCGCACTCTGGTGCATTCATTGAGAGCCAAGAGGCCGAGGAACTCCAGTTGTCTCCGTTTGTGGCAAAGTAGAATGCCACCAGAGCAAATCTCTGTACCTTTTGCTTATCAGTGTACTTAGAAATGTACGGATCACTCTTGAGCCATTGGTATGCACTTTTCTGTGGTGAGGGGTTAGGATTGTTGATGACGCTCCAGGTGGACGGAGGAAGCAGTTCTTCTGGAAACGGAGCTCCCTCGGGAGCAGAGGAGCTGACCGTTTGCGCTTGAGACCCAGTCTTGTCAGCGTCATCTGTTTCGTCTGTTGGAGATTCACCATACACTCCGATCAAGTATCGAACGCCGGACACCGAGAGCCCCGTCAGGAAGACGACAAAGAGAACCACCATCATGCATTGCAAGATGCGAAAGAACGTGCTCTTTGGCTTTCTTTCCGGTTTGATTGGTTGTTCTCCAGGATCCATCTTTGCGCTTCGGGTAAGCAACGGATGTGTCTGATCTTTGTTCAAAGCCACTCCCTCCTCGGCCCGTTCTTCCATAGATTTCTGTGGACTGGTTGCACGTGCGTCTTCGTCAGAGGTTTCTGAATCGCTAACATGAATGTCTCTTGAGGATTTCTTTTTCGATTTTTTACTTTTCTTCTTTCTCTCTTTCTTCTTGTCATCTTCACTGCTGTATGTATCTTCCGCGTTGGACCTGGTTTTCTTCTTCTTCTTCTTCTTGGACTTTTTCTGGACCTCCTCCTCCTCCTCGTCGTCGTCGTCGTCTTCACCAAGGTTCAACTTGGATGATCGCTTCTTCTTCTTTTTCTTTTCACGTTTTTCGCTCTTGCTCCTTTTCTTTTTCTTTCGGGTCAATTCCTCTTCGTGGTCCCCGCTGTCATCGGCACTATCCTCTTCTTCCTTGTCCTTCTCAACGCCCTTTTTCTTGGATTTCCTCTTTCTTAGCTTTTGGCCTTCCTCTTCGTCGCCTTCATGAATCAACGGGACAGTCTCATCTTGATCTTTCTTCGTCTTTGTCATGGTGGAAGTCTTCACGCAGCTGTTTGTAAATTCTGTATCGCTAGCTACCTCGCCTTTACATCATGCATCCATCCCGACACCACACACAAGTCGTGTTCGGAATTTGGTTCAAATTGTGATTGAAATTTGAAGCACAAAATCGGCCATCTGACCTCTAAATCTTTCGTTTATTGAATTTGGATACTTAGGAGCTGCTTCCAAGTAAAGATCCAGGAGGGTGTTTACTACTAGCTAGTAGTACTGGTACTGGTACCGTACGGCACGGCAGTACAGTACGGTACGGTAGAGGGGCGTGCTCCTCGAGATCTCTGTCTGTGGTTGTGCTAGCTGAATGATCCGTACCTTGATGAAGGCTCAAGACAGCGAAGGTTCCGTGTCCATTTGCAACAGAACAGAGGCGAGTATACATACAGAGTATTCCTACCAATGGCACGTCAAACCAGTGGCAACGTGGACAACGACGCAACGTGGCTTAATGCCAAAGACGCAGTGTTTGGTTTGGAAATGCAGCTTCCATGGTCACGGCACCTGTTGGAGGGTCGAAAGTCAGTGGAAGTTCGAAGCTACAATTTGCCTCCGCAACTGCTTGGAACCAAACTGTACATTCTCGAGTCTCAGCCCGGTACCGATGGAGTCAGTGCTCTCGGAGACCAGATTAAACTACACCACAATGTCAAGATTCGAGGATGGTGCCTATTTGACGCAGTCAAGGAGTACACCACGCAAAGCGATTTCGAGGTTGACGAAGGCCGTCATTTAGTATCCCCAACATCAGGCTATGCCTGGAAAGAAGGATCCACCCAAGTTCTCTACGGATGGATTGCAAAGGAATATGAGCTGATTGGTGACAACACTCAAATAACTAACCACGAGGCAAGTCATTACAAAACGGCAGTGCGAAGGAAACGATCCATATTCCAGCTCTATAAGGAAGACTTATAGGTGTTAGGAACAGCAGCAAAGTGATCTGCCTGTTGTAAAACAACAAACATCTTGTAGATTGTCGCCAAGTGTATTGTAGCTATCAGCCTGGAGAAGCGAATAGCGAAAGGAAGAGTAGACGGCGTGTAACCGAGGCTTTCTTCACCATTCATTTTCTTTTTGAGATTAGTCCACCAACATTTGCTTGGCAATTTCATCTCTCTTTTCTTTGCCATACAGTTTCTCACCCAGGGCCAGGGCAAACAAGAGTGAAGTTCCAGGTCCTTGCGAGGTCACTACATTGTCGGCAATGACGACCTTGTCATCGGAAACAATCTTGAGATTGTCGCGAAAACCGGGTGCGGGGTAGCAGGTGGAAGGAACGGATTCGTCCAAAAAGCCCTGGGATGCCAAGACGACGGCCGGAGAGGCGCACACGGCACCGTACAGCTTTTTGGCGCCCTTTTGTTTTTCCAAAATGGACGTGAGCGCTTTGGAAACTTTCAAGTGTGTGGCTCCTAATAAAAAGTTAGTTGAAACAAGAAAAAGAATGAGAAAACGAGGACGAAAAATATTCGGTGTTGAGACCACAACAATGGTAGATTGGATTGGTGGGATATTCGCTCGTACCAGGCATTCCACCGGGAAGGGCTACGAGGTCCCATTCCTCCTTTGCGGCATCTTCAATTGTGGCATCTGCCATGACCTGGAAATATACAGAGATCAATTGGGTGTGAGAATCCGTTCTTTAGAAGCCTACCATTCTCCTAGCTAGCTAGTAGACCAAGCTAGTAGACATCACAGACTCCATGTCCTCAGTTAGCGTTTGACGTACCTTGATTCCTCGACTCATCTTGCAGACCAGCTCTCCATTCATGACAGAGGCAATGGTGACATCGGCACCAAAACGGGTCAATGTATCCGTGATGCAGGTAGTCTCAATTTCCTCGGATCCTTCCCCGATGGGAACCAACACTTTCTTGGACATGGCGAGACTGGTGGTGGATGTAAACGAACGTGTGGCAGTCGTAGTAAATGCCAGGGAGGGTCTGCTAATGACAAGGGCGATGGAAACAATAGCACGACAACTGTGGGCACGAAGAAACACACCAACCATTCTACTGATTTTTGATGTGTTTTTGTTGTCAACAGTTCTTGTGAGAAGGGGTGGAGGAGTTTGAAAGATCTAAAGATACGCTTCTCATTATTTGTAGCCGCACACTTGCTTCTTTTTTGCGATTTGGGACTCGACTCGACTCAGGACTGGAGCAATGGAGCCAGAAGGTCCTGTAAAAAGTTTGATATATGGGGTTCTTTGTCTGTCTTGGTTCGGGCTTCTGTGACATGTCGGAACAGTTGTGGAATTGACTATAGAAATTTAAGTGCATCTTTGGGGACACTAGTAACTCCAATGGCTATTGAGACATTGAGCGGAAGACTGATTGATTAAAAAGCCATGCGGTGCTTTTTAAAAGTAACTAGGTGCCACGTTGCCACGTTGCCTTGCCAACGGTAGAATTGAAGTGGTTTGTACTGCTGTTTGGACTATGATAGATACAAAACTTTAGGTACCGGTACCATACCGTACGAGCAGCTTCGATTTTATTGATGCAAACGCGTGCCGACCTCCCTGGTACACTTCTACTCGAGCACTCGTAGAAGTGTACGAGAAAACCTGGCACGCGTTTGAATCTTTAAAACCGAAGCTGCCTGTACGGCCGAACGGTACTTTTACACCATACTCTGGAGTACATAAATACATGTACCGGTGAGCCGGTGACCCCTATGTCATAAGTCGATCATCAGAACAGATCGATTCGATTCTCTCATCTCTGCATGCAATCCCTTCACCTTCACAATTCACAACTCACAACGGATTGTCGAACCATACGTATCGCTCAAGAACAGTCGAGTAATTCTCACAACAGAACAATCCAAGAGGGACAATATCGTTCTCTCCATCTCCTGATTGTGCCACCATGAGCAACCTCAACTATCGGTTTCATGCTGATCGCCGCCAACTTGGTGGCATGCTCATGATCACAGGGTTTTGCGCTGGTAAGATATCGGTTTTGCTGCTACCGTATTGCCATCATGTTCACGAATCTCGATGTTCTTGAACTCACTTCCTTTCCTCCTGACCCCATTCCTGCAACACATACAGTCATTCACCCCATTGCCAACATTGTCAATTCCTTCGATGCTGATGGAACCCTCAACACGGATCCGAGTACCATTCCGTTCTGGGGTATGATAGGAGCTTTTTGCTTGTTCTTGAATGGGGTAGCCTCGGTGACGGTTGGCTTTGCTGCTTGTACCATGGACTCAAGTCCACATCATAACCACAACAGTTTTGACTGCCATCAATCAGGTGAGACTGCACTTTGACTTTGATTTTGGTGGGAGTGGGAGTGGTGGATAGTGAAGTTCACTGAGAAGGACTTTTGGAGAATGGAAGCTAACTGCTCGTTTGTGCTTTCCCTTCCCCTGTTTTGTTCCACGGTAGCTTTGTTGGATTCCATATATTACTGATATGACCAATCTGGGGAAAATGGCCAGCAGTGATCCCTCCAAACAAGGGTTGGTTCCAGCAGTGCATAATCCTACAGAGACTGATGTCAAGTTTGTTGCCTCCATCGGGTAAGCGGAGAAGATGGCATGATAATTCTTCATTGACAAACTGTGCCATCTGACCAAACTGTGTGGCATTTTTCTTTTTGCAGTGTGATCGCCGTTGCGTGCTATGGTTTTGCCTATGTTGGATCCCTCTCCTTCATGGCATTTGGTCTTCACTCACTCAACGCTAGAAAGTATGAGCAACGTCCCTCAGGATACTACAAAGGGCGTTTGACATTTTACTCCCTTGTACTCACCGTTGGAGGAGGAGCACAGCTGGCATTGGGTATCTACGCAGCAAACAACTTTGGAACAGGAGTCTTGAATGATGGAATTGGAACAGGAGCATTGGGTGAAGGAACAATCCGAGCTGCCATGCTCATAGTCAACTATCCCCTTGTCTCTATCTTTGTGGGTGCCATACAGGTGTTTCATGGCCTTTGGGGAATTGCTCGTAGCTTTGGAAAGCACCGCGGTCCACGCGACAATAAGTTTCAGCTGTACTTGGCAATACAGTGGGTCCTTGTTCTTTGCTTCCAAGACATCATGCAACTTGCTTACTTTCCCGTGAATGTGATGACTCCCATGGCAGCTGGAATTGCAGCAGTTTCCTTTGGAATCAATATGATGCCAGCATATCTGGATGCAAAAATGCGACATACCCCTGAGGAGATCCCTGAAGGGTACTACATTGAAGTTCCACAAATGGAAGTTCCCTCTATCCTTGACATTGCACCTGTGAAAGCCACGCAGCATGAAAGTGTATCGCAGACCAAGCGGGAAACATGGAGCGACGAGAGTGGATCATTGCATGAAGATGACATGATTTTATAGTGTGCTGTACCTATGGTACGTCGTGCTCTTTCTGGTCACATACGCTTCCGTGGAGCGGAATCAAGACCACAATCTACACTTTTGGATCTCCTTGCTGTTGAGAAATGGGTGTTTGTGGGCGGGCGATGATCTCTGATCGGGGTCAATGGCTGGGGGTGTTTTGCCAGTGTGTGTCTTCTCGATTGTCGCCATCGAAACTGGGGCAGAGTGTTATGCTACGGTGCTGATCCGAAAGTGTGAATGTTAGGCGCCTGTAAGAATAGTTTGGTGCGAATCTATGCTTCAATATTGTAAAACAGAAATTATTCCACAGCGTTTCATTCATCACAAAGATCTCTTCAGCTTCGCGGAAAATGTGCCGCCCACCTAGCCGGGAGAGATGTTGTCCGTGTGATCCTCTCAATGAAACTAGCTTTCCGCCTTTTCTCCCAAAACAACCAGGATGTCGCAAGGGGCGGAGGGTTGCGAAGTCTAGCTCCATATTGAATCATTCATTCCAAACAATTCCATGTCGTATCATCCTTGCCCGATGACAACTAACTTGTTGGTGTTTTGATCCAGCCTGAATGATCCTTGTCCCCACTTTGAACATTGCCTGAATTGGAACTAAAACAAGAAGGCCCGGAAGTCATTCAAATCTTTGTGGAGCAACAAAAGCAGGTACATTTTAAAAGAACAGTGACATATTGTACATATTGATTTTATTATAAAGCCAATACAGCAGCAACCCTATCATGCTCCAGGAAATACTACGTAGGGTTGGCCGACAGACTTGGTTGACTGGACGGTATTGACGAGGGCGATCGAGACGGCGCCTTGGAGAGACTTGGTTGTACCGAAGGCGAAGAGGAAGGACTGCTGCTGGGAGAACGGGAGGGTGTTCGGGATGGCGAAGCAGATGGATCGTTGCCTTCAGTGGGCACTGGTGTAGGCCGCCGTGTTGGCACTGCAGTCGGACGCGGCGTTCGTTCACTGTCACGGGATCGGCTGCTACCCATACCCATGCCCATGCCCATACCCCTACCCCCACCCATGCCCATACCTCTCCTTCTCCTACGTCTTGGTCCTGGTGCAAGAATGATATTTGCTCCCTGTGGGAGAAATCCAATGCCTGGTTGGAAAATCTGAACGTTGGTCATGATTCTTTGGAGTTGTGGCGTCGTTTCAACGTTGGGCGATGCCCGAGGTGTCAGGCCGCCGTTTAGGTAGAGAAGGTCGTTGCGAAGATTGGTCCGGCCCCCGCCTCCCATTCCACCCATTCCCCTCCTCCTCCGGCCCCGCCCTCGGCCTCCTTTGAGCTTTCGCTGTATGGCTGTTTGTTGTTTGTCAGATAAGCCACGAACAGGCAATGCTTTGGTGGTATGCTGCTGTGATGAAACTTGGTTTGTAGTTTGTGTTGCCTCCGTTTTCGCTTTTACGCCTTTCTTGCCTTTTTTCGCATTTCTCATGGTTTTTGCGTGTTGGTGATAGTGCTGTTGTTTTCCTTGTGACGATGATAGTGTCGGTGACACGACTTTTGGGGTGACAGGAACTGGAGATCGCGTATCGCCGGTGTTGTGTGATGATGTGACGACAAGTGATTCTGTCTCAATTTCGGGATAGGTCACCCCGACTTTGCTAGCGTAGCGTATACTTTCCGACGTGAAAAAGATGATGCCCGCACAAAAGACAAAGATAAGTGCCACTGATAGCGGGGATCTTCTCGAAGCGCTTTTCTCATGCCATTCCTCCTCTGCGCTGGACGAATCCGGTAAGCGATGGCTAGATGAGTGGAACGACACGGAATCCAGACTATCGTCGTCTTCCCTGCACCTCTTGGGCGAAGGTGTTCTCGGTGCCTTCATCGTCTTGCTTCCTGAAGCGATCTCGTTGCCTTCTTTGTTGGTTGTCGAGGTTTGCGAAAAGATGAGACGACCTCGGAACGGTCGTGCAACAAGATATTTGGAACGTCGTGAACTCCTTGGTCGTGCAAGTCAAAATTGGTTTTTGGATTCCTGCGCGCCTTCCCTCTGATGACGTCTGATTCATGATTGCTCCGAGAGTTTAGACCCCAATGGGTTCAACAGCTGTGTCACCTCGTCGCCTCACAAGAAGCCACACAAAATGAAGATCGGAACGAAGCAGCTGTCCATCTTCTCACCCGAGAGGAAGATGAACATCTACATGTACTGAGCATCATCAGCGTCTGGTGAAGAAGATTAGACAAGGCGAGGACCAGTTTCAACCCGATTGAGTGGATATGATCTCTTTCCGATCCTTCCTTTTGCTGCTGCTTGCGGGACAATGCATTTTCTCGGATGGTCTACCCTGGGGAAGTCTCCTGCAGACCACCTACTCAAGTCAACGCTACCAAAGATCCTCCAAGCCTCTTTTCCTGGCAAGATTCGGTGCTCAGGCATCGTTGGTTTGGAATGGCACTACGATCCTCGATCACAACGTTACTGGTGGGGCTTTCGTGGCGGACAAAGGCAATGACAGCGACTTCGAAGACACCAATGACGACAGCGACTTCGAAGACGCCAATTGCAGCGACGGCGGGGAATGCAGCAGCGACAATGAAAGTGTTGATGAGACTACAGCTATCAGCAGTGATTTGAGAATCCTGAAGGATAGACTCAAACAGGCAGTCACAGAACAGCTTCGATCTATTCCTTCTCTGAGGGAATTCCTGGACAGCCCAGAAGAAGAAAGTTCTACCAGCAGCCCCTCCTCATTGCAACGACGACGACGACAATACAGAGTGGAGCTTTCTTTCCCGAGTGTTTTTCACCACCAAAAACAGCAAATTGGCAAATACTCTCACGGAACAGATCCAAGCCTTCAAGGAACGAAATTCCGTCAACTCTACTTTTGATTTTGTAGGAGCTGTAAGTCCTCGCTGTTGTCGTCGCTGTTGTGTCAACCAGAGGGTATCATTGATACACCGTGGGGGCCACTCAGAGGCTGCTAGTCTTGTTGCACCCCTGAGCGGTTGGGATATGCTGGCACGGAATATCGCCCTGACAGCGGGAAAGATTGTCCTCTTCCAATGTCTTGTCTCCTTTTTGGCGATGCGCGAGATGCATTGGGTTGAGCAGGTCGGTCTTGTCGTTCGTACCTGTAGTTGTTCTCTTGTTGGCACCAGACATTGTGCTTGTCATTTGTTACATATGACTTCAACCGCCCTTTGTCTCTTTCCAACGTCTCATTTTCGTTTCCTTTGTTCTGCTTTCCTTTTCCGGTCTCTCTACTTCCCGTAGTTTGCAGATCGAATTTTGAGCAAAGAAACTGCCACGGCTGTCAAGACCATCCGTACCATACTCACCAACATGGAAGATCACGGTGTCGTAGACGTCTTTTCCAAGTATTCCTCACAAGACGTGGCGGCAGCTCTCTATTGCCTCTACCGTTTGCAACGAGCCACCAAACGATACGAAACTCTACTCGACCTGCAGGAGCCCGATCGCCACCCGGAAGACCTGCTGCATGTTTTGGAAGATCTGTCTCATTATGTAGTCTATGCGAACGCTGCCTATGGATGGAAAATGGATCTCGCCTTTAAGCGAAAACTTCATCTTGGAGATGAACAAGCCCTCATGAAAAAGACTGGGATACAACAGGAAGATATCCTAAAGCTAAGCTTGAAGTCCAAAGCTCATGTTCCGGTAAGAGAGAGCTCGCAGGCACAAGTTTTGTACATATCTGCTGGTTGCTGTGTGGTTCAGGTCTTCTCATGGTGCTTGTGTTTGTTCACGTTCACTCTAGTAGGCATACTTCTTGGTGCGAGATCGTCGTCAAAAGGCACTGGTTCTGGGTGTCCGCGGGACTTGGTCGGCCGCAGATGTCTTGACCGATCTATGTTGCACAGCAGAAGAATATAAAGGGCCATCTGATGATGGTAGTAGAGGTGATGATGGTGAATCTACACGACAACAATACCGAGCCCATCATGGCATGTTAGAGGCCGCCATGGCGGTTGCAATTGACATGGAAGACATGATTGAAGAGGAGTTAAGGGCCAACCCTGACTACTCATTAGTGCTAGTCGGGCATTCCATGGGGGCTGGTGT